TACAATAGTGACTGAATTACTTCTATTTTACACCTCACAATGGTGACTGAATTACTACTATTTTACACCTCACACTGGTGACTGAATTACTTCTATTTTACACCTCACAATGGTGACTGAATTACTTCTGTATCTACACCTCACACTGGTGACTGTATTACTACTGTATCTACACCTCACAATGGCGACTGAATTACTTCTGTATCTACAGCTCACAATGGTGACTGAATTACTTCTGTATCTACACCTCACAATGGTGACTGAATTACTNTCACGATGGTGACTGAATTACTACTGTATCTAAACTTCAAAATGGTGACTGAACTTCTACTGTACATGTATCTGCACCTCGTAATGGCAACTGAATTAGTGATAATTGCAACTATTTTCTGTTGAAAAACAACATACATTTGTTTTGAAAAAGATGGTTTATTGTCATTATCATTTGTTTCTGACATAAAATCGATTCTCAAATAATATTAACACTGCGTTGACATTGTTGTTATTATTAAACCTGTGTATGATATATTTACTAATGTGTACAATGCTTGTCCTTATCTCTGTAAACTTTGTAAAACATTCTTCATGTTGATGTCAAGTAAACATTACATGTTAATTGTACATACAAATGTCATAAAAGAGATCAAGAGCATTTTATAAGATGTACAGGAAGAAAACAATTGAAAGAACCCATTTGAGGTAGAATTAAACTCTCACCTTACCCTGTTAAAGAGCTAGTGTCTCACCATGGAGTGTGACTAAATCTATTTTCATGGTCTTACATATTAATTTCTGCTGCAAAACAGGATTCATTTCAAAATGTAAAATTTGATCACAAGCAAGATACATACAAATTATTGAAGATAGTATAACATTTATGATATTGTAACTGAGATTCTCAAAAATTGCATTAATTTATTTTTAGGCGTTTTTTGTCTTTATTTGGGACTCAATTAACATTCTTACAAATATTTTTACTTAACTTAGTAGCAAACAGTAAAATCAGAAAGCTTTTTTGTGGTTTTATTTTTTAGCATCGACAAGAGGGCAAATTGGTTTCAAAAGGAAAGAAGGTAAAAATTGTACAGTCACAGTAATTTTACAATGAATCACGTAACTGGACAACTTCATGTAAATAATATTATTGACGACCATGATAGCAATAAAAACAACCCATTAAGTATAAGTTAGTGCACATTACAAGTTTGTAGAGAAACACATTGCCACTGATCCAAGGTCACAGCCGACAAAGTCAGAGGTCATCACAAGGCTACACTAAGGGTCATCTGGTACAAGACAAAGAGGGTTTGCATCTTGTTCCGTCATTGTAAGCGCCTCCTCCTGATACCTCCAAGTTCTTCAGCTAAAATAACCAAAAACGAAAAAGGATTCCAAATTTTAACTTCGATACACTTAGAACTATTAGCCTCTAGCCTCACAATAATTATATACTGTATAACATGAATGCTTCGTTGTGTATAAACATTCATTGTTTTCGTGGTTGTTGTAGAACCACGAAAATAAATACAATGAATTTGAATGAAACAAGTCTACTGTTTGTTAATAAAGGATATCCACGAAAGTTTGTACCACGAAACAATCTAAATGGCTTCAAACCACGATGGAGAGTACCCACGAACATTTCGTGTTATACAGTACTGTGAGGCTATGGTTGGCTCGACTATGCAAATTCTCCCTTACATCAAGACAGAGATGTTAAATGGAGTTTTAATTCTGAGTCCCAAAAAAATCTGATACCAGTACTGATATCAATAAACAATCCAGCCAACTGTAATGGTAAACTATCTGGTCTTACAGAAAAGTAAATGTCACTAAAATGTTAACATTAACATTTGGACAGGGGGCTTTTCCCGACGTTTTTAAACTACAACACTTTTACTTACTGCGATCCTTGACCTGTGGCCACTTTCCTACATCAAGAGGCTGCCTCAACAGCCTTCACGATCTTATCCAATTTGGCATCAGTGTCAACATAGCCATCACTATTCTGGTGGGTGCAAACCAAAAGAAATTAATGTGTAAATCATGAAATAGGAATGCATATATGACATGAACATTCTACAGAAATCCTGCAAAAACCATATACTATATTACATGTATATATCTATACCTCTCGCAACCACTCTAGCTTTCCTCATTTCAAACTCATTTGATAGACCTGCCAGAAATTGGGAAACCTTTTTGATTAATGACAAATGAGTACCACCATGATAACACTACAATGGCCGATATTCATGAAAATGTTCTTATGCTCAGGCATGGATTCTGTGCTCAAATCAACTTTCTTGTTACTCGCTCAAATCATGTGACACAATCAAAAGTCAAGGGTTAACATTGAAAATGGTATCTGGCTTCAAAAATCTCTCTAAAATTCCTCAAAATTATGGACAAGATGTGCTTTTTTGTTGACTAGAAACAGGGTTTGGGCACAGAATCTGAGTTTGAGCATGGTTTCATGTTTCATGAATGCTAACCCAGGTATTTCATTGGTCAATCTTCTTATTATGAGGATAAGTAACAATGCTTGGCAACATCATCTTTCATTGTGACGTCATAATTCATGGAAAGTGTTTGCCTATTGGGAACAGGGATAATCAGGAATAACGTATTTCCAAAAGAAATATTGTTTCCTGGATATATTATCTGAATGTTCTTCTTCTTTATACGAGGGCTCCATCAGTTTGATGATTATGCCATCGTGGGAGAAGAAAGTCTCCAAACTTGTAATGGGTTTGGTTATGATGTTTATCTAACTTTCGTTAGTTAACTTTAAAATCTAGGTAAACCCAGTGTCTTTGTACAATTTGAAAAGTAACTAACTCAAAATAAATAAACATTATAACCTACCATCACAAGTGTGGAGATCCTTATATTGTATTAACTGTATTACATTTATATATGCAAGTATGCTCCAATAAACATTCACACGGGGATACAAGCTTTAAGTACAGATTCTTAGACTAGAATTTAGACAGAAATTGACCCAAAACCATACAGGTACATGTGATAATGCAAGTTTCTTGAAGTAAAATCTAGGATAAGAGTTGACCCAAAGCCATGCTGGTATGTATCAACTGATTAAGATTCCTGGGCTAGAATTAGGCAAGAATTGACCTAAAACTATACAGCCATGGGCCAGTGCAAACTATGGTGAAGGGGAGATAATTACCTTCTTACTGTGGATAAGTTTGTCGTTTACAGAAACTTCAAAGAATCCTGTTACATTTGGTGTGGCATAGTGGTCCTGTAACAACACAGTCAGAGTTAGAAATAATCATACAAATGCATATCATACTCAATCCATTTTTAAATGTACCTAAGTTTCCAGTGAACCAATTGTTTTTGTCATTTCTAGACAAGCAATGCCTATAAAATACTAGAGCTCTATAAAAGCGTATTCTACATAATTTAAGAAATGCTTAAAAGTATTTAAAGGAAGAAAAAAAATTAGATTTGAACAAAAAAAAAATCAGCTTGTGTCAATTATACCCTTGAATATTATTCTTTGAATTTATATCCAAGCCGCATTTGTAAATTAAAACTTCTACCAGATACAACCTTTCTTAAATTACAACTCGGATAGCAATAATCCAAATATGCAAGAAAACTTCTCAAATTATATCAAAACCTTGTTACACTGTCACCGTGTGTACAGAGAAATTTTGGCTTTATAAGGGATTTGGCGATATTTATAGAAAAGTATGAAGGAAGTCTCAAGAAAAAGATAAAAATGAACCTTGAAATATGTCAGTGGTAAGTACGGTCACAAATGGAACAAGGGGCGATATTGAGGTTTAACTGTATATAAATCAATTCTGTATAATATTTTTTTGCCATTGATGAAGATTTCACTAGTTTAATTCAGCCACTTATTAGGCTTATAACAAAAAAATAAATCAAAATCTTTTCATGATCACTGCTCAAGATATACAATCATCATACAGCATCTTTTTCTTATATACAATGAGTCAAATGAAAATTATTGTTAATACATGTGTACAGGATATCTAATAGTTTTCCATTGAATGCCATAACTATTTAAAGAGTATGGCAAGATACCTGTACCAATATCTTTTAAAATCTTGTGAAGCACAAGTGACAATATTGGTTTACTCTGCCATACAAGTGAAATTTATATGGTATTCATTTGCAAAACCAATGTATTTTCTGTTCATTATATTTTAAAACTAACTTCCATGAAAAAAATGTTACTGGATCTAAACAGTAAGGGATTTAGAAAATAGCATAATCTTAGCAACATGATCTAAAGACATCACACTTATCGATTTTGATTGGGTTACTCAACACCGTCCTACATTATTTTGCTTTTATCTAGTAAGATTTGCTCACAAAATGTTATCAATAGTTTAGTTAAGTATCTTAGAGTATGAAGCAAAGATGTACCTAAACAACCACTATGGTCACTTCATCTGGGCCTTACACGAAAACCTGTGGCTCTGGATGCAGCAAAAAGGAAGAACCGTTTTGTTTGGTCAATACAAAAAGTGAATTCACTGTGACAAATAAAGCAGATTTTGTTTAATGTCACTTCTCATTTTCATCAGAAGATTTTTTTTATATTTTTCAGAACGTGACATAACAGAAAATGTGTTTGCTATGTTTTTAGCAGTCAATACCCAAAAGTGACCATATTTAAAAGTCTAAGTGAACACTTCTGATATCTGTCACAGTGTACTGTTATCAAGTTGACAGAATTCAGTATATCTCAGGCAGAAGTATAATAAATTGATTTTGATTGTGCAAAGTGTATGTATTGTATTTTATGGTATTGATTATTTTTTTTATTATACTATGTTATTATACACTTTTTCAAACTCTAGGTTCAAATTTTGAAGTGACAAAAGTTTGGAAATTGCCAGTATACAGGACCTACCATAGTGACGCCATTTCCAAATTTCTTCTGAAGCTGATTCTTCAACTTCTGAAACTGAAAATGTAAAAAAAAAGCATGAATAAATAGAGTAATTTTCCATTTTAATCAATTCTATCTATATTCAATACACATGCCACACTGCTAAACTGCTAGCCACTTTCTATCAACTCTGTTAGCTCATCTGGAAGAGCATCAAAGACAGACTTGTAAGTGGATGCAATGAAAAATAATTACCACTGTAGTGTTACAAACAAGTTATCATCCTTGATACTCCAGGGGTTCGCTCACTTACGTTCTCTACACCCCTGGAATATTTCATGACGAAATCAAAGGCTGATTAGTGTGCGCCATCTTGAAAAAGAGATAAGAAGTTTGATCCTTTGATGTACATTGTACATAAATAATCTCATGGTTGTTTAATGGTAAATTTGACTGACTTTGAAGCCGGGTATTGCCCCTCTGTAATCTTCAAAGGACAGGTATCTGCCTAGCGATTGGTCAATTATTTTTTTTACCCGAGACCAATCAAATAGATAGCCACATGCCTTCAATTTTCTATGACATTTTCCAGGATTGCTGAGAGCGAAAGTGAGCATAACCCCTGGAGTATCGAGGATGCTACATTATATCCATGCAGGTTACAACAGATTCAGAACATGGATACTGTCCATCCTTCAGATTCAAAACATAATGTTTGTTTGTTTGTGTTTATATTTAACAGCCCATCGACAACTGTGGTCATTTAGGCCTGAACTGACACGTCGTTGACCGTGACATTGTCAACCGGCGCCTTGCCTCGAGTTACCTGTGCGCAAAAGGGTGCAGCAATGTCTGCACTCTCGACTATCCTCATTTATACATAAATGTCTATCCTACAAACGCAATACAATATACATAAGGTCCTTAAACAGATATAACATATTTCTAGACCACTGTTTCAATAAACTGATTTAACACATCTTTATATACATTCAACCACAAATTCAATTCACATAATTATAATGTTAACCAATACAATTGAATGTCATAGCTATATATATAATGGTTTTAAATATAGAGCCTACCAAATAATTTCATTTCAGTAAAAGAAAAACAAATGATACTTTATTCAAATTCAGATTTATTTATTCTAATTGTTTTTTAAGGTGTACAGTAAATTGTATCGATGTAATACCAAAATTGTCTCTAGAAAAATAACTACAGGACACCAACTCATCAGAATCAATGGAAGACATGTACAGAACACACACACTCTTTTGACACAAACTAAGAGCAAACATTAACTTCTGAATTTGTAAGGTGTCAATTATGACCAACTGATCTGTTTAATACGGACAAACTTTTATTAAATATTACACTGCCACTAATTATATATCAACAGCCAACAACAATTAGTCTAGGATTTAAATTCTGCTATGGATGAAACCTCTGGAGTGGTTTTTTAAATGTGATACAGATTTTATCACATGCATTTCACATTTTCATAGTGACAATAAATTATAATTATACTGTTAGTTTTACACTCTAGCTACCAAGGCTAATAATTCCACTTTTAATGGATTATTTGATGTGGGTTAATTAGAATCAAAAGATGAAATTAGACAGTACAGAACAATCTTCAAACAACCAACATCACTGTAATTAGAGTTGTAGCCATGTATGAAATATAAGCAGGTCAGGAGAGGTGTTGGATATATCACAGAAAATCAGCACGGGAGAGCTGAGGTTATAGCCTGCTGCCAGCTGTCACATCAACCCACAGGTAGTCAATCATACACGGGAGTGTTCAGGGATGGAACACAGGTCCAGATATATAACACACACACATATATGGAAATGTACAAAATGTGAATGTAAAATAGGGGTTTGTAAGTGGAGGGAAGACGAGAGGTTAAAGATCCCTGTCTTTAACTGTTTAAAGTCAAGATCAGTCACTTATATAAACCTATGAAAAATGAAATAAAAATAAAATTTGTTACCAACCTATTCTATTTTGTTCAGACATGTAACAGGAAACAAACATGTACTTTTTGTTTTGCCTTACTGTATTCTGCCTAGTAAGCATCTGAGCACTGCGAAAATTGCAGAATCTTCCAAAATTCTCAAATAATAATCATAATAGACATTTTCAACCAAGTTAGTAAATTATGGTGAAATCTAGAAGACATACTTACTTTGGGGGCGTACCCTCATGCACCACTGAAACATAAATGAAATGTGTAAACAAGAATTAATCAGAAAATGATAAATTAATTTCCAGACAATCAAGATAACTGCAGGTATCAACAGAAAGATCTGCTGAATATGAAGTGATTTGTTATACATCATCACATGTACAATGTTACTGAGAACAAATATAACACAAGCAAATTCGTGGAATATTTATCCCCCGCTTGAAGGACATATTGTAGGTTAAAATTATTGAGGTTAGGTTTAAACATGCGAGTATCTTGCTGTTGAGACATAATGTATAGCTTGAAACTTGAAGAAAAGCCCTAGACCTCATTGAATATCCGTAAATATGCACAAATCACATCAGTTGGCAAACTAAGCATGAGTTAGATGTGCATACGGAATATGGTTGAAGCATCTTAACAATATCTACAGCAATTATCACACGAAAACCAAAGAGTGCCCGAGATGGGTGGAAAGACAAAGGAACACAAACATTGTTATCAAGTTTGAAGGAATTTGGCTAATATTTGCTGGAGTCCAATTAAAGTGGTTGTCAAACTTGGCTGAGCCCTTAATACGTTGAACCCTGTTACTAAGTTTCAAGACAATCGGATAATATTTGCGAGAGTAAATTACAGAAACGGCAAATGATGCTTTTCGTTATTCAAGGGGCCATAACTTCGCAAAATGGGGTCCAATGAAAGTGGTCATCAAACTTGGCCCAGCCCTTAACGAATTCAACCCTGTGACCAAGTTTGAAGAAATCTGTTAACATTTGTTGTAGTTATTGCACGGAAATGAAACGCAGCAGATAGTGACGGTTTTGTTATTCAAGGTGCCATAACTCCGCAAAATAGTGTCAACTGAAAGTGGTCATCGAACTTGGCCGAGCCCTTGAGGCATTTAACCCTGTGACCAAGTTTGAAGAAATTTGATTAACATTTGTTGTAGTTATTGAACGTTAACGAAACGCGGCAGATAATGATGGTTTTAATTATTCAAGGGGCCATATAACTCTGCTAAATGGGGTCAGCTTAAAGTGGTCATCAAACTTGGCCGAGCCCTTAAGGCATTTAATTCTGTAACCAAGTTTGAAAAAGAAATTGGTTAACATTTGTTGTAGTTATTGCACAGAAATGAAACCCAACAGATAATGAAGTTTTTTGTTATTCAAGGGGCCATAACTCCGCCAAATATGGTCCGCTGAAAGTGGTCATCGAACCTGGCTGAGCCCGCCATTTAGCCCTGTGACCAAGTTTGAAGAAAATTGGTTAATATTTGTTGTAGTTATAATTGCACAGAAACGAAGCATGACAGACAGGTGGACATACAGACAGACGAACAAATCCAAATTAATATTCCCGGGGGATAATAGCAATACGAGACAAGGGAAGGAACAACAAATGTACAGGATCGACAGTGAAAATGTCTATATCATTGTAAGACATTCACTCTTTTGGCCATCAGTATGTAGCAGTCAGTATATAGACCTGACCAAGATAACAAACTGGGACCAGCGTGTTCAAGCTAGCTTCGTACACCGATAAAAACATCATAAAACATGTAACCCCTATATCAACATTGTGACATGTGTTTTTTACGTGGGTTTTCTGTACATATAACATTACTTGTATGTATTATAATCCAGTAGCCCATGCTACAGAATATTGCATGCATTATATAACTAATGCAGCAGAGATATTTCTTTAATGAATATTAATGTTAGATTTAGGGAAATACAGAATGCGAAGGACCAATCAAATGATTTTGAGGAATTTACCTTTTTGTGATTTGGGGAAAAGCATACACACTGACATTATATGGATATAGTTTTCGAACATTGAAATTCAAATTTTATAATACAGTATGTGCATTCTTTTACATTTTCTGTTTTTTTTTGTGTTTTTTATATATATTTCTCATATACAGAAAATGGAAATTTCCAAAAAAAAAAAGAGTACACTTTTTCTGGATGGGGAAATATATTACAGAATAAAACAATAGTTTTAAGTTTTAGCTAAGCTAAGAATCTTAACGATAGGTGGATTTTTCTCAACAGGAAATTCACCATATCCAGTTAGATTTTGGCCTAGATTGATTCCTGACCTTTTATACCTTTTGTAATAATTAAATGAAAAATAGGACTTAGTCAAAACTATACAGGAAATTCATCAATTTATATTACATGATATACAGATATCATGCATTGAATACAGAGCAAAAAACCCTCTGGATCCGCCACTGCTGTATCTTACATAAATCTCCATATTGTGGCTGGAAGTTTTACTGGTGGGTCAATATAAAAAAAATATTCGACAGTTGCCTAGTACAAGTGTAATGATCACACTTGTACTGTTCTGTCGATTTTTTTTAAAGAGGAACCTGACCCTGTAAGACACCCATGCAATTATCTGGCATTTAAAAATGTTAATTAACAAAACAACTTAAAATGCATACCAATACTCCACGTGTACTTTTACGACCATGCTGATAGATCTCTGAGGCACACAGTGACAAACGTCCAGCTAATGTTTACAGTCTTATTTATGGTGATGGTGTAACGCTGTGGCGGTGTATAGGCAAATTGTATGCTTACTTATAGTTCCGACTATGATTGAGCTAAAAATCAGATTACACTCGATACAAATGTCACAATCAATAAAGGTAGAACTTTCCAAAATATAGATTAAGGAAATCTCAAGAAGTCTAATTTGTATTTCAATTGCGATAGAAAAAATATACTCTATTGACTAACCAGTACATTACGTAACACATGTTAGATCCAACACTGTTCTATTTTTGAGATGGTCCCCGCGCCAAACGATCCCCGCCCGGTTCTGACTGCCTTAAAATGAGAAATCATAGTTTATGAAATGCATTACATTTTTTAAGTTATTGTGCGCTATAAGTGAAATTATCAACTGTAAGCCTAAGTGATTTGTTTTTCGAAAGTCCGTTTCCAAAAAGGATTTTTTTTGAAAAAGACTATAGACTGTCAAGTATACTGCGCGCGCATTCACTATCATTCGATTTAGCGCCATTTATGAGAGGGGTTTTGTTGACAGTCACGAAAAGGGCGCTAATGTAGGCAAAGAAGTCAATTTGCCGAAGAAGATGGCAGATCTTAAGATTTATAGTATAAACAGTACACGAGAACCTCCAAGTGAATTGAAGTAAGTATGAACCATCTAAGAAAGAAATGCGAAGCCTTTTCTTGATATCAAGGCCGGCAGGTGATCGGCAAAAGATCGGACTGAAAGTGAAACAGTTTTTTTTTCTTAAATATTAGATGTGAGATGGTTATAATCAGTTATAAAAAGAAAATGCGTTCTGTGTAAAGCAATAGAACGTGTCTACTCTATCAGAAAAAATATAGCTGAGCCTTTTCTTTGAACGTAAGAAGGTCTGGTAACCGTGAGGTTGGACATCGCCTGATCCAGTATTAAATTACACTGCATATCTCAAAGGCATCTTAATTTTGATCAGTAAGTTGATCAATACAGCAGAGTTGAACTATCGACCCAAAACACATCTCAATATATGAATTATAAATACTTTTTTTTATATATATATATACATGAGGCATCTTTTTATTAGGGGGGGGGGATTCTTTAGTCTATGGCTATAAAGTATTAATTGCTGATAAAATTTTAAAGGCTTGTTAATAATTGTAGCCACATATACTGTCCAGCATGTGTGACAATTGTTAATTGTCCTTGAAATGATCATACAGTCAACCTACTTAATATTTTTTTAAATGTGGTTTTCAAGTTCATTTGAAAAATCTAAAATTTGGTAAATTGCTAATGGCAAAAAGACTATCTTACTCAACTAAATTAATGAAATATTCAAATAAAGCACAAAATCCAAAGTAAAGTAAGGAACCTTGTTTTGACTTTGGCAGGCCTTTGTTTGTATATATTGAATATGATTATATATATTTAATAGCACTAAGATAACAAATCAAAATATATCATAGTTGAGATATACTGAAGAAGCAGATTTTACTTTAAATTTCGAAATTTAGTTGAACAGGCCACTATTCACAGCAACAGTAATACTGATGTTCAGTTTAAACTTTGAACTATGTATTTGGATGGGTTTGCAAAAATAAGGATAATAGTTGTCTATGTTCATTTACATTTGAACTTATTAATAATGTAACAGAATGTTGAAACATGCATTTAACAAGAGGACAGAAGTAACAGCTGTGAAAGTGAAGAAAAACTGTGTTCAGTATTTGAACTTTTAAATTTTAATACATATTTCAGCGTTCAGAACAAAGACTTTTTCCATCACCTTCATGACATGCCCCTTATATATTTACCAGTCGTTCTCTTTACTTTCGTAGTGAAATTATATTTGTAAAGAAACACTTAGCCGGACATAGTATTTATCAAAGTTTCTGGCATGAACTAACCTTACAAACATGACAGAAAACATGTTTTGTGCTAATTCTGTGCGGTATCAACTTCACAGGAAATTTCGATGCTGAAGCCGACACCGTCGGGTAGTGGTTAAGACTAAGAATGTCAGGCATTCTGTAGTATCACGGATATATATGTATACGTATTGCAACAAAAGAGAGGATCACACTAAATCTTTTATATGAATTTATTTTAATTGTTCAGATATATTACTTATTGTAAAAGACACTGAAATCAACCCGGCCATTTCAACCAGCTTTTTCGGAAATAATCGAAAGAGCTCTTTGATCACATGAGTGCTACTCGAGATCTCTCGTGATTTATCCCTGAAAACATTGTGGAATCTCGTAAGACTTTGAGTAAACAACAACAGGAAAATGGTTCACCGATCGATCATTAAAAAACGTTAGAGTTTGGGGACTTTTTCGTAAATTCATGTCCCACGCCGTGAGACTTTATCGGAGTTGAAAATCTGTGAGATGTTGCCTCTCGCCGTGAGTTCGGGCATGTATGACTACAGCAGTAAAACCCTAATTGAGAATATATATATTGTGTTTTTAAAGCAGTGAATATGCACAGCCTGACTGGAAGTCGAACCTAGGACTCTAGAATCCTTTTTCTATGTCTTCGCACATGAAGACATCACTATTTACAACCCAGGTGACGGTATCCCCTTGCCAAGTATTCACCCAGAATCTGAAACAAGGTTTGGTCATGGTACCATAATAGAGGCGGAAAAAATGCATGGCCAGACTCGGATTTGAACCTGGGACCTTCTGAACTCTAAACAGACGCTCTATCAATTGAGCTACCAGCGTACAACCAGTCCAGTTCCTATATCATATTGGTGCAAAATGCTACAATGATATAAATCACATGTTAAGAAATTCTTCAAGAATTCATATCATTTGATTTGTTTTTTACAGAGTTCAAATAAAGGATACTTAATTTGTATGTGAATTTGTATACATTTGATCTTGCATACATTTAGCAGTACATGAAAGATGGAACATGCAGGTGAAAACAGTATACGGCATATTGTTAAATTGATGTCCATCTTATCTTTCAATATATAAAACAAAGATAATATATGAGTAAAGAGTTTTAAAAGTGAAATGCTTTATGCTGTTTCAGGGCCAGTGATGGAGGATTCTACCAATACTGTTCAGTTCCGCTGCCTGATCAGATGGTCATATTCTGTTTGGGGAAATTTCCTGAGGGTGATGGACATGTGTCGATTGAAGCCACATTTCTTTACAAAGACGACATCTTGACACTGGGCACACTCAGTCAAAAGCAAAGGTAATTCAGCATTGGATAGTAATATCTACATTTTTTTTCAAATATTTATGTAAAATTGATAAGTTCGAACTAAATTGTTCAGCATGTATAAATCTGGCTGGTCCGAGACAAATATATGCTTGATTATTAGAACCGAATGTTTACCTACAGTCTGATTGTAGTGTCACAGTGAGTGCATTAATTGAATTGATTAATGATCATATGTAATTCATACATACTTTTTGTCCACGTTTTGGTGATTTGGATTCCTACTTTCACAGTGTCTTTTCATTTGACCGATTGTTTTGTGGTCTCAGCTGGAGAATTTAAAATTTCAACATTCTTTAAATTAATGTTTCATTTAATAGGCTTTGACTTAGTTACTTGTTTCACTTCAGTGCATGCAAGTTTTACAGACAATTTTGCCAATTTATTGGTCATCGATAATGAGTTGATACATGATGTTAACATGTTGAAGAATTGAAAATGAAATGATCTAAGCCTGGGTTTTGAGTGATAAAACAAATGAATCCATAAGGCAGCTTTATATCGATAGATGAGTGAACCGTTCTTGCTGAATTTGACGGTACATCTTTTACAATTTATTTCCATCAAAGGATGATTACAATCCACAAGCATTAATCCTCCAGATCAACACTTGTTTGTTTCCAGAGCCCTGTGTTGGGAGAGAGGAAGCAGTGCTGTACCAGCCAGTATGGTATCCACTACCGAGAACGGTATGGCAAAGCTGGTACTGGAGATCCATGGGGTAACCAAGTCATCTAGCGACGAAGACATGAACGTAGAACCAGTCCTTAAGGCTGGAAAGAAGAGTGACCAGGAAAAGTCAGAGAAAACACCACAGGTAAAAAAGCAGTATTTTCAATGCAAGGTGAAAAAATAATCCATACTTAAGTGAAAACTGCTAAATCCTCAGTTTAAAGGATTTTTACACAAATACCGATCTGTCATTACATTACTTGTTTTTTTCTCAGGTTGTTGAAAAGAAGACTGAGCCAAACAAACCAACCAAACAAAAGAGGCGGTCTAGCATTGGTAAAGGGGAGAAGACCCCTACAGGACCCTCATCTAAGAAACAGCGTAAAAATACAAGGGTCCGAGGCTTGAAACTAAAGCTGGAGAATGAATCGTCATCAGAGGAGAAATCCGACAAAGAAAACTTCAGTATGGAGGAAGCAAAGCTTTCAAAGTCGGCTCAGTCAGAAAAGAAAATTGTCCACAGCCAGCCTCCCAATCTCACAAAAGTCACTCTCTCCGTCTGTAAAGATGTGACAAGCAGAGGTACAAAACTTTATAGTTGTTTAATTTCACAGTTCTAATATTTAATAATCACAACATCATGAAATATGAATCCAGAAAATATTTTGAGTATAAACGTTGTAGAAAACGATCCACTGTGGTCATTATTTCATCATACTAGTTAAAATATTAATGGCAATTGCAGTATTTTTTGTCATCAAATTTGCACAAAAGTGAGTTTTTGAAGATACATATATATATGCCTGCTAAATTGGAACTAATTATGTAAAAAGTATGGTTGTAGCTTTACCTATAGCAAATGTAATTGCTTTATACCAATAGGAAAAGTCCTTGTAGCGTTGGAACAGTCTGTAAGACAACAATTCTGATATATGTGATAGTCCGTTTCTCACAGCTTCAGAGAAGTGAAGTTGTGGTTTTAGACCATCACAGAGAAATCCATGTCCTCCACCGGTGAGGTCATGGAGTGCATTGCTTCACCCAGGAAAACTGGGGACAGGGTTGTCCTCCATAGCTTTACTGGTTTTGCGGATGCATACACCATTAAAAACAATAATGAACGAAATGAAAATTACAAAATTGAATAGCAATGTTGTTGCCCCATTTTCAAGATAAAACCAATTTTGCATTATCAGATTCAATAATTGCAGAGATGCAAAATATAAACGGTACATTTTTGTTCACTTCAAGGATTTCTGAAATCTTGAACCTCTGGAAAATAATATATTTAAGAGAACTTTAGACCTTTATCACCTATTAAGTGATATAGATTAAGATAACAATTATGCTTTACAGCTGGCCCCAACCCAAGCAGTCGATGGGGTCACAGCCTGTGTATGATACCTGACAAGAAGATGGCTGTACTTGTTGGAGGACAGGGGGAGCGACAACAGCTCAGCAAAGACTCCGTTTGGACACTCGATCCAGGTAAGTCTAGCTAGGGCATGGGGCAATATGTTGATGTGTCCTGATACTTTCTTTAATGATACAATGTAAAGAAATACATTACAATGACACAGTATGGTGATACTTCCCATATATGAGAAAAACACTTCAAATGGTTGTTTATGTCCATAGTAATGTTGTCTCGCTGCCACAAAGTAGCAGAAGCGAAACTTAGGTGTTGCTTTTCCGGCGGCATTGACATGAAGTTTTGTGTTTAAGTTAGTTTCTCTGAAACTATAAGTGCTACACCAACCAAACCTGACATGTTCATTGATGGTCAAAGCGGGGCACAGGTGAGATATGAATCTGAATGGCTTGTTCATTTAAATAAGAGGGTATAATTTACAGCATGTGACCAAGAACATCAGGAATTTCTAGCCACTTATAAAAGGAAACTTATGTTATAGGTCCCTCCTTATAATCAAGAGGTCCAGGGATCAAACTCCAATCACAGACACAGGGATATTTTTGTGTCGAAGGAAAACAATATAAACATTTTCTTGGTATTGAACTCTTTCAACTATTGTTAATTTGCAAGCAGCATTAGAACTTTTCTTCTTGTCTGGGGATAAAAAGCAGTGTGCTGAGACTCTATAATTTTTTAATAAGGCATATTATAAATTTTATTATATATGGTTAACTTATTTATCTTTCTTGTTTTTATTTCATGAAATAAAATTTTAAATACACTGCAATAATATTTTCAAAGAGACTTACCTCCCCTTGATCAGTTGATGCACATTTCACTAGGGGTCTGTTTGTTTATGCGGAACAACTGGTTTGACCGTTTATAAATGTAACAATTTCAGGTATAAATCCTCGCAGACCTGCAAATGTTTTTGCATGCCTTGTAAGACATTGTCAAGGCTTGCCTGAAAGCAGCATCAGATCACTAGGTCCGACCGGTTTGACCGTTTAAACAAAAACGGCCTAGTATTTTAACAAGACCGAAAACTTGACACAAGTTAACTTAAATAACAAATTATTACCACATGGTGTGAATTTAGGTGATTTTTTTAACACATAAAATGGCACATAACGACATTTTTAACATCTGTGGGTTGGTATATAGGTATAAGCCCATTGAGGAATTCAGATTTTCAGTCTTTTCAAATGAAGTACAGTCAGAATTCCAATGACTATTGGGTGAACAAACTAAATAGCACAACACTAAATAATTATACCCAAATGATTTACAGATAAAAGTGAACTGATAGAGAATATAATGTAATAAGGAGTGTTTTACTCATTTCTCAGTGACAAGGAAGTGGCGGTGCCCTGAGCTGAAGTCGGAGACACAGAAGCCCGAGTACAGGATGGGCCACACAGCCACATATGATCCCATGGTCAAGTGTATATATGTGTATGGAGGCTCCAAGAACCTCAAGTGGTTCCATGATGTACATATGCTGGACATAGACGAGTGGAAATGGCAGCTACTCAAGGTAATTATAAGCCTTTGGAAACTCTTTTTGATTTTTAGGCTGCAAAATAGAAGGTAAGGATGGACATTTTGAAATATGTAACAAAGCTTAAATTTAATCTAAGCAATTTTGGGACGTAAAAAAATTATCAGGGATGAAGATATTTTTTATAATGTCAAACATTTTACAATAAAAAATTACAGGCTACAGGCACATAAAGAGCTGTTTGGTTGGATTAGACAAGTCATTTGCAGACAGAATATTTGCCAGATTGAACCGAAGGTACTGACAAAGTGGCAATAAGGGGAGGGAACTATAATATTTTAGGATGAAAATTATGTGACATGTCTATTCATATTATCTGTGTTTCATTGCCAGGTGTCTGGTAAAGCCCCAACGCGTGCCTACCACAGTGCGACACTGTACCGTAATGAGCTGTGGATCTTCGGTGGCGTGTATCCCCGACCAGACCCCCAGCCTGATGGCTGCAGTAACGATGTGCACATCTTCTCTCCTGTCATGGAGAGTTGGTACACACCCATCATCAAGGGAGACAAGCCCATTGCCAGATCTGGGTATGTCAATATTCTGCCTATGCTTATGCTCATTCAAAATAGAGGGAAAATTGAAAATATTTCATTAATGTTTCAGAATTGTGAAACACTTGACAGAAGAAATTGGGCATGGTACAACAGATTCATCAATAAACATTGCAGATTAATATCAAGAATAACAAACCATGTCAATATATTTTAAGATTTGGTAAAATTAGCATTAAATGCCTCCGTCAACTCTTGCTAGTATTACACTAGGTAATGGATATATTGTCAATGCTCTTTGATGACAAATATGCTGTTTGTGAATTACCTGTGAGGTATACATCGGATCAGATCTGGACACTATTAACTGATTTATACATGTTTTCAGCCACTCGGCCACGCTGATGAAGGACCAGCTGGTGGTGTTTGGAGGCTGGGATGCTCCTTATGTGTACAACGACCTTCATATCCTTGACCTCAGTACGTGTAATGCTTTATGCCTTTTCAGCATTAGCCTTTTAGTGTAATTATTTTGATTTTGTTTGTTGCTTGAGTTTGCTCTGTTTACAGTATATGTAGTTGTTTGTTGACAAATTGATGAGATTTCTGTAATGTTTAGTAATATTTCTATATTCCCCATGGTAAAAAATAAATAAACTCAAATGCATGCTTTCTTGTCCCTTAATACAACAAAATTGTTATAAAAACTTAAACCTCCGACAATAGAACTCATCACAACACAAACTATTGTAGTATAAAGGACGACAAGACATAATAGCTGTAGATAAATAATCATAAAAATGTTTCCTCCTCCCCAAGTTGAACAATTATATCAAGAAGAAAACTGTCAACATGAGTATCTAAAAAAGTGTAGCTTACTTGTGCTTGCTGGCAACATGCTATATCATTTCATGCACATAAATACACATCATCACTGGTAATATTCTTCATAAATATTCACATTTGTGTTTTTGTCAAACAATTGTTCATTCAAATTTCTCATTTCAGGTATGGTGGAATGGTCTCAACCCAAAGTCTCTGGTACTCCACCTAATCCACGCAGGTATGTCATCAATTTGGAAGTTTCTGCATTCAATTTTGTTAGGTGACCTATGAATACATGGTCCATACAGGCTATGAAAAAGCTTAAATTGAGGTCAGTGCTTGGAAAATGTATGCATCCTTGAATTTGTTGTTTATGGGTTGAAAAGAGCTGGAATATTTTAAAATTATTTACCAGAGACAACTTGTATATTTTTCTATGAAAAACGTTTTAAAAAATGAATACATATTTTTTCAATTTAAATATGACCTTGAGCTAAGTACCAAATGCTGTTTAGGAACAGATTATTAGTAAATTGGCCAATCTGCAGAGAGTTACTGATTGTACAGTGTACCTTTAATATATTTTCATTGTCAGAAATAAACGTTAGTTGATTTAGACAAAAATTCAGATTGGATAGAGCTCGGGTTAAACAGTGTATTGCATATTGTTGCAAACTTAAAACATAACCTCTTCTTTCTCTAGAAATCGGCTAAAAAACTCCAAGCTCCTGGTAGAAGTAATGCTATAATGTTATTTTCAGTTAAAAGTTTTTGGTTGTGATTTGTTCTGTTAAATCTCTGACAGATGTCTTTTGATCTGTGACATCACAATGTTGGAAAATTTAGTGATTTAGTGTTGTTAATCTGCTCTCAACAGCTGGTTTTCCTATCATACTAGTAGGTGGTATATGAGAGCATGTATAATTCAATCAATAACAAAGTCGCATACATTCAACTAATTCGTCTGTTTGTTTTTCCAGTTGGCATGCTTCCTCTGCACTGTCTGGAAACAGAATACTCATTCATGGTGGCTATGATGGCAATGTGGCCCTAGATGACACCCATGTCTTCTGTCTTGGTACGTAACAGATTATCAAGATGATGAATAGGGAAAATATAAGGTTTTCATGGAAATAGATGAAAAGAAGAAAGGTTGATTCTCTCATGTGATAGTCCGTTTCTCACAGCTTCAGAGAAGTGAAGTTGTGGTTTTAGACCATCACAGAGAAATCCATGTCCTCCACCGGCGAGGTCATGGAGTGCATTGCTTCACCCAGGAAAACTGGGGACAGGGTTGTCCTCCATAGCTTTACTGGTTTTGCGGATGCATACACCATTAAAAATAATAATAATGATATACATTTCTGTGTAAACAGTTATTATTAAAGAATTAAAGAGCATAAACATACTAAGCTATCAACCCTTTTCAAAATAAAAAATTGATATGACACCAAATTGTCTGTTAGAACGCCTTCCTAGTCTCCGTTCTGAAACATCAACATATGCTACTCGTATTAAACCAAGACGATTTCACTATCCCACGATGTAGGACAGAACTTTTAAAAAAATCATTCATACCTTCATCTGTAACACAATGGAATTCCCTCAACTCCTGTATAAAGTCAACCCATTCTCTTGTTGCATTTAAAAACTGTTTCAAACATGATGTTGTTTCTATTCCAAAATTTTTAACAGTAGGAGATAGAAAATTTACAATTTTACACATCAGACTTAGGAACGAATGCAGCAGTCTTCAATATGACATTTATAGAGTTAACCTCAGTGATAACCCTTTATGTTTATGTGGGGAAGTAGAAAATGTACATCACTATTTCTATACATGTCCAAATTACTCAACTGTAAGAAATCACCTGGTAAGAAATCTTAGGAACTTAAATCTTCTAGAGATCCTCCTAACAGACATAAACACACTTCTCTGGGGTAATCATGATCTCACTTTTGAACAAAACAGTAAAACCTTTAACTATGTATGTAAGTACATTAAGGATACAAACCGCTTCTAGTAGGTAGTCTTAATTACAACAATTACATCATGTTCGAAGAATAATTTTTCTTTATCTGTGGGAAAACCTCGGTTAATTCTCTATGAGAAGGTCGGGGTACAGAGAAACAGTCGTCAACAACCTATTTTGTTAATTCAATTTAAATTTAAAAAAAAATGAAATGTACATGTTAAGACAGCTATGATGTACCAGGTACATACAATGTATTTAAGTCAGGAGAGGGCTTAAATAAGTTGTAAAAACTTGTGCCCAAACCTTTTGTCATTTTCAAGGCAATAAAAATATGTTTAAACCAATAGGGAAAATATAAGGTTTTCATGGAAATAGATGAAAAGAGGAAAGGAAATTTAAAGCCAGGTTGATTCTCTCATGTGATAGTCCGTTTCTCACAGCTTCAGAGAAGTGAAGTTGTGGTTTTAGACCATCACAGAGAAATCCATGTCCTCCACCGGTGAGGTCATGGAGTGCATTGCTTCACCCAGGAAAACTGGGGACAGGGTTGTCCTCCATAGCTTTACTGGTTTTGCGGATGCATACACCATTAAAAATAATAATAATGAAATAAATTTATGATGTAAATAGTCATTATTAAAGAATTAAAAAGGACTAAATTGAAAACAATGTTGTTGACCAATTTCAAGATAAAATCATTTTTGCATGCTCAGATCTATAAGATACATTTTTGTTCACTTCAAGGATTTCTGAAATCTTGAACCTCTGGATAATAATATATTTAAGAGAATTTTAGACCTTTTGCAGACGTTGCTCCATATTTTTTCAGTGATTTGTACTTGATTCTGTTTTTGTTCGGGCTTGGCTGGGTTATTGGTTGTAACTGGTTTAAATTATTATTATTTTTATATATATATATACTGTCTTTTGTAGATTCCCTAACTTGGATGAGAATTCGTCTGGATCCCAAACCAATTGCCCGTGCTGGCCACCAGGCGGTGTGTCTGCCATACTCCCATGACAATGACGACCAGGACGAGGTGTTAGTGTTCGGCGGTGGCGACAACGATGGTGCCTTCTACAGGGATCTCATCAGTGTCAATGTGGCTTTTAACCCGGAGCTGGAGATCATCAGTAAGGAAAATGACGCCCCGCCAGTCTTGTCTTGCATTGATGGCAATGTGACCTGCTAAGCTGAGATTAAGCCGATTATTCAGGGACCGTGTTGAAGAGGGAAGAGATTGAGGGGATAAATTCCTTGGAGACAAATTAACTTGTAAATTAAAAGATTCTGATTGTTAAAGGGCACAATCTGTTGAACTTTCATGCTGTTATGTTTCATCATGAGAAGTAAAATATCCGTTTTCATTGTTAAAATGTGCAATTTTCAGATATTATTTGTTGGCAGCAAAGTATGTAGGAAGTGTTAATGAGAGTGAAATTGTCCACTGTTATATAAATGTTTATACATACATACTGTTGTATTGTAATTATTCTGTTCTGCTTCCTGTTTCACTGAAAGCAGTAACTTCTGTAAGAAATTGTTGGTTGAAAGATTTGGAGTTGTTCTCTTTTGGGAACGGAAAACAAATTAAAACAACCATGGTAGTATTTGCATGAATCCAATGTATTTATGTAATTCAAATCTCTTTTATTTGTAAATTAACTTTTAATATAATGTCACAATTAATCTGATTTATAGTGATTCGTGTTGTATGTAATTATGTATAAAAGCAGTTTTTAACTTGTATAATGATTTACAGTGAATGACTTATCATTTATAATGAGAATATCACAAGAAAACTTTGTCATAATGGCAACAAGACGACAAATGTTTAATCAAAGGTTATAATTATTAATAAATTTGATTTAAAAACTTTTGACTGTTCAGAAGATTTTTTCATTTCAAATAAGCTTCATACATATTTCACAACAATGTAGACTGATATCTTTGTCAAGAAATTCATTATTGTGTACATTGGACCATGCACCAATGTAGGAAGTATGGCACTGATTTTGTCAGGTGATGTATATGCCAGATCCATGATCCAAAACCTAGGAGAAAAACTTGTTTATATATCATCACATCATGTAGAGGAGCATAATTTCTTTAATACTGAATACATTCTAATGGAACAGCTCCAGCACAAATCACAAACTTTTATGTATTGTTTAGCATGTCTGAAGTTCCAGGTTCTCCACCTATTCAAAATATTATGAAACCACAGCACTCTTGACTGACCTGTGCCTCTCATCACTGGTCATATGGCTAATCAGTGTCTCCCATGACTCCTACTAGTGCCTTGCACTACACATGCCCGACCACTGCCTTGAAGCATGATAATAATTGCTGGTCTCATCAATTGAATACATGTAGTTCATAGGACCCTGCCCTTTTAAGACTAGGTGTCACAAAGCACTAACCTTTATAAAACGCACACAGAAACAACTGACAACATATGAAAAAAATATGGAGAATGCATCAATTAAAAATATTGCAAGCACCGGTACATGTACTAAGACATTAACAAGAGTGTTAAAACTAGCTAACATAAAAAAAAGTTGCAATGAAGGCAACCTATCATTTGGATTGATAAGTTGCCTTTATCTGGCATCGTAAATCATCAAGGTATGGTCGTGGTGCTATTTGGTATCCAGGGTAATGGGTTTTTATGATGTCATTTAAAACGAAATCTGGTTTTTGTGGCGTCGTTTAATTCAAATTTCGTAGAGGGGGAAAATATCGTATTAATGTAGCACAGCTGGTACATGTTTATGTGTGACGTTTGGATGACTAGTACGGTACATACTCGCCCTCCTCAAATGACCAGTGAGCGTATACATAGTACACAAAGATGTAAGAGTTGGCAATATAAGATCGACGTCGATTCGGCTATGCTATAAGCGTATGCACACTTAGTTGTTATGCGTGCACGAAATGATTATTCAAACCGATAAATTAATGCGGATAATTTTTGTTTATACCTGGTCATATATGTGTCAAGTCTTTGAGACCCCTCATCTCGATTCAAATCTTGTCGCTGCGGATGGCGCCCCTTACCTGCCGCTTAATAGATTATTCTCTGTTCAGTACCTTACAGTTGTTCCAGTAAATACCATGGTTTTGCTAAATATAGCGCATGGTTTGTTTTATTGACCTGGGACCTGCTTCCTTTCAGACCAGGAGAATTTCTTTCCCTGTTGCGTTTCCGTTTCTTTTCGGTGTTCACTAAATTGCCTTCCAGTTTCTTTTTCGATGTAGAATGCGTTATAGTTCTTCATCGTGTGATTTACTGGGGTAATTCCAAAGTACAGGACAGTTCTAAAGCGAGATGAGGGGGCCAATAGACTCTCGCACAACTATGACCATGTATAAAACAAAGCGTAGCCAGATCGATTCTTTTATCTTTTTCGTCATTTTGTACATATGATCTACATCGATTTTATATTGCCAACTTGTTTACGCTTCACGGGTCATTTATTTGATGAAGGTGCCGATTATGTACTGTACTAGTCTTAGAACGTCGCACATAAAACACGTACCTGGTTGTGCTACATGAACATTTCTACGATCCATACTAATAGTATTATTACTGATGTTCACGACAGTTTGGATTTTGATGTGGATCATCAGAATATGTAAATTTATAGTATACTTAAGTGGTATATATAGTCTGCTGTACCTCAATAGAATGTCTCCTAGAAAAATTCAACACTATTTTGAAAGTTTTGTTACCAGAAATATATCATTGTTTTGTGACGGAAAAGAACGAGGCTTAAGTGAGCATGAACACAACGGCAACGGTGGTTGTTTTGAGGGCTGTGTTATCGCAGTTGTCCGGTATGAAACAAATTTTTCCGGTTTTGTTTCTTCTTAACAACGTTTTTCTAGTAATAGTACTAAGTAAGGCTGATATAAGCAACAATAATATATCCATGCGATGTTAGTGCTTTTAAGTAACTTTATATCAATGGACATGTTCTTTCTCTTATTTTGGCAGTTTGCTACTTCCCATTGATATTTTCTGACTATTTGGACCAACTGAGACAAACCACGACCAGCCAGTCTTCTGTTGTTAACGTGCCGTCAGTATCGGTACCACGTCGAGTTAAGATACTTATAATTCAGTGGCCTTTATATTTGAAACAAAATTGAAGGATGGATATGTTTCAATTCAAGCGGTTCTGATATTTTAATTGAAATGATATAACGCAACTCAAACAAGAGGTTCTCACAATGTACCGCTTTCACCCGGTGAGGAAATACCACATTGTGACCTTTCTATACTAATACCATTCCAATATTGGAACTTTACACAATGATCTATATTTCTCGGACTGATGTTACGGATGGGAAGTTATATTTCCTATACAAACACTGACATCAATTATTCCTTGAAATAGCGTGGCGTAGGGAGCGAACGTGCTCCCGCGACTGGTGTCATCCCCCGCTAGCGGTACACGAGGGACGCCGACAGGTAATCACACATCCGATATTGGTCTGGGTTATAGCTGACTTGATGGCACTTTATTGGCTGAAGCGCACGGAAATAATTTGAAATAGTTTGCCTTCCAGTTTATGATGGAATGTAAAGGTTGAGTTTTATATCAATCAATTGAGTGTACATTAAATGTATTTAAACCAATGCATGATTCATTGCCTTGCCATTATTACAGATATGAGAATTTGTTCGAGGTGTCCACTTTTTTCAAAACTGAATATCACATTTTCTCTCTGTAAAGAATGCACTTTTACAATAAAGCAAAAGGGCCTTCACTCTGTTTATTATTCCTTTCCACTAGTTGTTGTTTTCCTCTCGTAAGTATTGTTGTTGTTGCTGTTTCCATTGTGATTACCGTTGTTTCACTCGATTTATTGCTGTTTTTACTTTATTGTTGTTCCATTGCGTTAACTCTTGTTAGTTAATATTTCCGGTTTCTCCTCTTGTTGGTATAACCATTCTTTTCCCGTGTAAATGTCGTTCGTTCCTCTTGTTTTGTTGTTCCTCTTGTTACAGTCGTTCCTTCCTCTTGTTTTGTTGTTTCTCTTGTTACAGTCGTTCCTTCCTCTTGTTTTGTTGTTTCTCATGTAACAGTTGTTCCTTCCTCTTGTTTTGTTGTTTCTCTTGTTACAGTCGTTCCTTCCTCTTGTTTTGTTGTTTCTCTTGTTACAGTCGTTCCTTCCTCTTGTTTTGTTGTTTCTCTTGTTACAGTCGTTCCTTCCTCTTGTTTTGTTGTTTCTCTTGTTACAGTCGTTCCTTCCTCTTGTTTTGTTGTTTCTCTTGTTACAGTCGTTCCTTCCTCTTGTTTTGTTGTTTCTCTTGTTACAGTCGTTCCTTCCTCTTGTTTTGTTGTTTCTCTTGTTACAGTCGTTCCTTCCTCTTGTTTTGTTGTTTCTCTTGTTACAGTCGTTCCTTCCTCTTGTTTTGTTGTTTCTCTTGTTACAGTCGTTCCTTCCTCTTGTTTTGTTGTTTCTCTTGTTACAGTCGTTCCTTCCTCTTGTTTTGTTGTTTCTCTTGTTACAGTCGTTCCTTCCTCTTGTTTTGTTGTTTCTCTTGTTACAGTCGTTCCTTCCTCTTGTTTTGTTGTTTCTCTTGTTACAGTCGTTCCTTCCTCTTGTTTTGTTGTTTCTCTTGTTACAGTCGTTCCTTCCTCTTGTTTTGTTGTTTCTCTTGTTACAGTCGTTCCTTCCTCTTGTTTTGTTGTTTCTCTTGTTACAGTCGTTCCTTCCTCTTGTTTTGTTGTTTCTCTTGTTACAGTCGTTCCTTCCTCTTGTTTTGTTGTTTCTCTTGTTACAGTCGTTCCTTCCTCTTGTTTTGTTGTTTCTCTTGTTACAGTCGTTCCTTCCTCTTGTTTTGTTGTTTCTCTTGTTACAGTCGTTCCTTCCTCTTGTTTTGTTGTTTCTCTTGTTACAGTCGTTCCTTCCTCTTGTTTTGTTGTTTCTCTTGTTACAGTCGTTCCTTCCTCTTGTTTTGTTGTTTCTCTTGTTACAGTCGTTCCTTCCTCTTGTTTTGTTGTTTCTCTTGTTACAGTCGTTCCTTCCTCTTGTTTTGTTGTTTCTCTTGTTACAGTCGTTCCTTCCTCTTGTTTTGTTGTTTCTCTTGTTACAGTCGTTCCTTCCTCTTGTTTTGTTGTTTCTCTTGTTACAGTCGTTCCTTCCTCTTGTTTTGTTGTTTCTCTTGTTACAGTCGTTCCTTCCTCTTGTTTTGTTGTTTCTCTTGTTACAGTCGTTCCTTCCTCTTGTTTTGTTGTTTCTCTTGTTACAGTCGTTCCTTCCTCTTGTTTTGTTGTTTCTCTTGTTACAGTCGTTCCTTCCTCTTGTTTTGTTGTTTCTCTTGTTACAGTCGTTCCTTCCTCTTGTTTTGTTGTTTCTCTTGTTACAGTCGTTCCTTCCTCTTGTTTTGTTGTTTCTCTTGTTACAGTCGTTCCTTCCTCTTGTTTTGTTGTTTCTCTTGTTACAGTCGTTCCTTCCTCTTGTTTTGTTGTTTCTCTTGTTACAGTCGTTCCTTCCTCTTGTTTTGTTGTTTCTCTTGTTACAGTCGTTCCTTCCTCTTGTTTTGTTGTTTCTCTTGTTACAGTCGTTCCTTCCTCTTGTTTTGTTGTTTCTCTTGTTACAGTCGTTCCTTCCTCTTGTTTTGTTGTTTCTCTTGTTACAGTCGTTCCTTCCTCTTGTTTTGTTGTTTCTCTTGTTACAGTCGTTCCTTCCTCTTGTTTTGTTGTTTCTCTTGTTACAGTCGTTCCTTCCTCTTGTTTTGTTGTTTCTCTTGTTACAGTCGTTCCTTCCTCTTGTTTTGTTGTTTCTCTTGTTACAGTCGTTCCTTCCTCTTGTTTTGTTGTTTCTCTTGTTACAGTCGTTCCTTCCTCTTGTTTTGTTGTTTCTCTTGTTACAGTCGTTCCTTCCTCTTGTTTTGTTGTTTCTCTTGTTACAGTCGTTCCTTCCTCTTGTTTTGTTGTTTCTCTTGTTACAGTCGTTCCTTCCTCTTGTTTTGTTGTTTCTCTTGTTACAGTCGTTCCTTCCTCTTGTTTTGTTGTTTCTCTTGTTACAGTTGTTCCTTCCTCTTGTTTTGTTGTTTCCCTTGTTACAGTCGTTCCTTCCTCTTGTTTTGTTGTTTCCCTTGTTACAGTCGTTCCTTCCTCTTGTTTTATTGTTTCATTTGTTACAGTCGTTCCTTTCTCTTGTTTTGTTGTTTCTAATATAACAGTCGTTCTTTTCCTTGTTTTTTGTGTCTCTTGTTACACTTGTTATTTTTATTGTTTCTTCTCTGTTTGTTTTTGTTTGACAGTGACTTTTTATTTCAATATCTCTTCACCTGTAACAGTGGCCCTTTGTAAATATATCGATAACCTGGTCGAGTTACGAGTCTATATATATATAAAAAAAAAATCTCAGTTTATTGCTAAAACGGTTTTGAACCATATTGTCAGATGTGAAGCAAAAAATAATAATAATTTGGAATTCAGTGTTCTTTTGTTGTTACTGTCATTCCTGTTTCAACTGAGAAAAGATGCATGTTTTGATAACAAATATCCGCATCCAAGTGCACACTATTAAAAAAGACACTTAAAGTGCATGCTGCTAATTATGCTTGAACATTACAAAGAAGTGAATAGCCGGATTTTGTGTCGTAATTAATATTCTCTTTGCGGCAGTCCACGAGTGTTCAGTTATAAGGCTAATTAAGCCGACAAGGACCAGCATTCCAAGACAGCTGTAAGACTAATACTCTGGAATCCCAGGCACAAGTACACATCGTAGTGCCTGACCAAGTTTTGGAGTGCCACGTACTTGTATGGTTACATTCATATCAGAAATGAGGAAATCTTATCTGATCGGAAAATCATGCGGGTCCTTCTGCTGCACCAGAAACGTTTTCGAGGCATAAGGGAATTGTTGTGATTTCATTTTCAGAAAACCTGTACACTGTGATGTGTCTCATAGTTCTTCTTAAGGACCAAGCTGCATAGAGTCATAGTATGTTCAAATAAATGACATTGACCTCACATTCAGGACATCGGTTCAAATCAAATGACTTATTTTCAAGAACTGTAATAAGAAGCTAAGTTGGGTAACGGTTTATCGGTTTGTTTGTTCATTCGTTCAATATTTATCAGTTTTGTACAAATGAATGACTGTCTCTGTAGGTCACAGAGGTCAAATGTGTTCTATCAATAAATCAATATACCAAGGTTAACGAGAAGCGCTCAAAGGTTAGTTCAAAGGAATGACAATGTCGTACCTTCAATATCACAGAGGTCAAATGTGTTTTAAAAATGCAAATGTCTTTTCCCAGTGAATCACGAAGCACATATTAATGCTACTTTGCCAGTAACTTGCATATATGAACGTCTGTTTAAATGAATTACCTAGAAGTGTATTCAACGTTACAGCGGTCAAACATATTGAAAATTCCAAACAACTCTGCTAAAGAACCACAATACATTAAAAAACCTTTATAGCCTGTATCTTTCAGGGGTGAAGGGCCGATACTAAAATCAAACATGACCGCCGTAGTCTTTTGATTGGCTTAAAGGGGACATCACGATAATCATAGTAAAATTATTCATTTTTATGAATAGATTTCAGAAAATCCGACCGTTATTTTCCATAAGGAGACTCCATTGATATGTTTATGTAGTTTGAAAAAAAGAAAGACAAAAAATACATATACTTCACCGTGATGTCCCCTTTAATTAAAGTTTTCTGCATTAAATATATTTGTAAAAACATGTCAATATAGCGACACATACTAGAGAAACAGGTCCCTAGGGCCTCTTGTTATATCAATGAGGTTGACGTCTGACATGGCGATAAAAGTGATGACATTATCAAAATAATGAGACCATATCCCGACAAATTAGTGACGTCATTAATGGAGTGAAGACACTGTATTTAATACATAAGTAAACTTTATTTCGCAACAGACATTGGCGGTTTGTTAGATATCCTCTCAAGTGAGATCATCATAAATCAACAGTACCGTGTATGTCCCCTCTGTTGTAACTCGACAGGGCAGGGTAAACATGCACTGATCACGTGACCTATATGGCGTTACCTTTGATTAGACTTTCAAGATATTCCACTTGCCGGCACAAGTTTGCTCTCCTGTACACGAGGGTTATAGAGAGGTATAATAGGCACTAGGAAAGTATTAGTGGGGTGATTAAGACAAATCATTACGGCAATGGCTGAACAGCGAGTGTCTATCAACGACTACTTCTAGACCATCATTCAGTTCATAGAGGCCAAACTGTCAGACTACATATACAAATGTATTCAACAAAATCATGTTTACGAACCCAGGAATTTACAAACCAATAGCCAAGAGAGGGAGTAGAAAACATATTAATATACATCTCCTATTTTTACTCTTTATAAAAGTAACTTGATACAATTATTATGTAACTGCTTTTGCCCTGACTTTGCTGTGCAGGGAGTTAGTCCTGTATCAGAATGTTAGTCCGAACGCTAAAACACTACTGCAGACTAATTAACACGGCAGTTTCCGTAGCATCAAAGAGCCAATCAGGTTAGAGGAACAGAAACTTGTATTGACCTGTCCCTAGTTATCGATCGTGAGACAAACAGCAGACGACAATAGACAATTATGGCTCTCGATTTTTATTGTTGTTTATTTTAATTAATATATTAATATATATTATTTTTTTAAATTGCAACTAGAATATCAGGTCTATTTTTCTCAATGGAAGTAACCCGTTAAGTTTGTAAGTCCGACAACTAAAACAGAAATGTAGACTTAATCCCCGGCTGTTTCCGTTTACCTTCCTTGCGGATATGACCAAGCCAATCGATCAGGTGAGAGATGGGCGGAACTTAAAAATGACCTTTCCCGGTTGTTATCGACCGTGAGACAAACGCGACTCTCAGTAGGTTTTGGGAAACTGCTGTCGAAAAAGCTGAACTTCAAAATAAATACGATTTTTACGATTTGAATAGGTAAAATAAAATAATTAAAGTCTATTTTTGAAGAATAAAATAAGTTTCTGATTTCTCGCAGCCAGGGCTGTTTCCTTCGCTCCACCTTAGGAAATATACCCGGTTTCTGTGAACAGGAAACTTGCTAAATCCCTCAATACAGGCCCACACAAGCCAACCAGACCTCATCAAGGTTCTAGACGTCACATAACTCAATGGTTGGTAACTGTTGTTCTCTATCAATGGAGTGGGGGAGTCAAGTATTTCAAACTAACGTTGTGTGATTCTAATGTCCTCACTATCTACGGGTACCGAGTTAATAGATCGAGGACACGTCGAGTTGATACCTATTGCTTACCTACTATTGTATAGACCTATACATGCGTGTCAGTTGTACATGTGTCGGAAACAATTAACACACCCATATTTAATGCTGTATTATGAATAAACTGTACAGTATATAGATTTTAACTACGTGATATAAAAACCAACCAAGTCCTAGGACACCGGTGTCAGTTCATGCTGATTTCGTCGACGGTTGGCGTGACGGAGGTTCGTTGTCACTGAATCATTGAGACAATTCTGTTGTTGGCCCAAACACTTCATTAACAAGCTGGCGGTATTATATTGATGTACGCCGTAACGCGAGACGTTATCTGTCAATAAAACTGCCTCTGAATACAAATACATGTATTAAGGACAAACAAGAAAATTGGATCATTATTTTCCTCATTAAAAATGTAATAATATTCAAATTTTGCTGATCAATTGTGAAGCTTCAAACTTTTACGATGTGAAACCTGAAAATAAAATATAGTCTTTTTAAATTGATAAATTGATAAAAGACTGATTTACATATCAAGTCAATCGACTGTACACATGCATTTTTAATACACACGGAATAGAGTGAATAGTCATTGATATTGAAATGTTCCTGCTCAATTATACATCTGGATTTGGAATATAGAAAACATTGACAGGTAAATTCGTATAAAATGGTTGATATTGGCACAATAAATGTATATAATCAAGCTATCAACTGCATTCCTTTTTCAATACGAACATTATCTATAGTATCACAAAGGATCCGTGTGTCAGCTGTAGCAACACGCTGTAATAATACACCGAGGAAGGAAGATATCGTCCCTTGGTACACCGGTACACTGGGGCAGACACCCGTTACACTGGTACACCAAGGGAAGGTAGCCCGTGACCGATACACCGGTACACGAACTGAAGACACCCGATATACTGGTACACCAAGGAAAGGTAGCCCGTCCCCGGTACAGTGGGGGAAGACATTCGATACACTGGTACACCAATGAAAGGTGGGCCCGTGCCCGGTACACTGGGGAAAGACACCCGATACATTGGTACACCAAGGAAAGGTAGCCCGTGCCCGTTACACCGGTATACTGAAGGAAGACATCTGATACACTGGTACACCAATGGAAAGTAGCCCGTCGCCGGTACAGTGGGGGAAGACATTCGATAAACTGTTACACCAAGGAAAGATGGACCCGTCCCCGGTACACCGGTACACTGGGGGAAGACACCCGATACACTGGTATACCAAGGGAAGGTTGCCCGTCCCCGGTACAGTGGGAAAGACATTCCATACACTGGTACACCAAGGAAAGATGGACCCGTCCCCGGTTCACCGGTACACTGGGGGAGGACACCCGATACACTGGCACACCAAGGAAAGGTAGCCCGTCCCCGGTACAGTGGGAAAGACACCATATACCCTGGCACACCAAGGTAAGGTAACCCGTCCCCGGTGCACCGGAACACTGGCACACTGGGGGAAGACATTCGATTCACTGGTACGCCAGGGGAAGGTAGTCTGTCAACCGGTACACCAGGGGAATGTAGTCTGTATACCGGTGCACCAGGGGAAGGTAGTCTGTCTACCGGTACACCAGGGGAAGGTAGTCTGTCTACCGGTACACTGGGTGAAGGTAGTCTGTCTACCGGTACACTGGGTGAAGGTCGTCCGTCTACCGTTACACCAGGGGAAGGTAGTCTGTCTACCGTTACACTAGGGGAAGGTAGTCCGTCTACCGTTACACCAGGGGAAGATAGTCTGTCTATGGTACACCACGGGAAGGTTATCCTTATACTGGTAAATGGGGAAGATAAATTGTAGCTTGTACGCCGGTGCAACAGAGGAAGAAAGTTCGTCTACTGGTACACCAGGGGAATGTAGTCCGTTTACCGGTACACCAGGGGAAGGTAGTCTGTCTACCGGTCCGTTTACCGGTACACCAGGGGAAGGTAATCTTTCTACCGGTACACCAGGGGACGGTAGTCCGTCTACCGGTACACCAGGGAAAGGTTATCTGTCTACTAGTACACCGAGGGAAAGGTAGCCCGTCTACTGGTACACCAGGGGAATGTAGTCCGTCTACCGGTACACCGGGAGAAGTTCACCCATAGACTGGTACATGGGAAGCAAGGGAAGATAGCCCGTCCACTGGAATAGTCCATCCACGCTAATTGGCGGTGCTGTTTATAATAAGATAGTAACACAGATGGTACGAGCATGGTTCTGCTGTAATACAAACCATGCCCCTCAGTCGGTGCTAACTCGGGTCAGGTATGACCTCCAGCCAGGCGTGACGTCACTCTGGTACCAATTGTATCTGAGCGCACGTGTGTATATATATTGGAGCTGTATCGACTCTATACAGTAGTACGGTACTGAGGCTGAACTACGACTGTCCGGTGATGAGATAGACATCCGGGCAGTAGAGGCATGACTCTCTCTAGTTTATTGTTTTTATTCTATCGGAATTCGTCTTCGAAAATGAATACTATTATATAAAGGAATTAAGATAATGGTGATATAGAAAATATATATGTATGTGATGATAACTGTTTTGTCCTGTGTACATGTTTAAACTTCAAAGATTTCCTGTGGTAGCCGTGATGTACAATAGTAACACAGCGATACCCGTTTCCAATTTCCGCCGTTAATTGGCAGAGCGCTGGATTCTTCTTACCTGTGGATGCCGATAGCCGCGATCCTTGGTGACAGTAGCGAATCGCTCCACCACACTGTCTACGGAAACACCGACAACGATAGCGGATCTGGCACTACTTTTACTACCCAGTATTTTAAGAAAGCTACTCTAAGTTTACATCAGTGACATTCGGATGGTATCCGGTATATACATTGGCAGTACATGTGTATTTGTTCTGGACATAATCCAGTGTGATTATAAACATGGTTCTTGTACATGTGCATTGTATTCACATTTGGTACTTCAAAGCGGTTCCTACATCATGGTGTGTTTGCGTGGGCTAAGTTTATAATTGATCAGGATTTTTGTTAACATGTTGCTGGATTTTATAAAAAAATAAATGACTGTTCGATGACCAAAGGTTGAGTGTACGGATTTTACTTCACTAGAACAAATGGCGTGTTTCGAGCGCCACAAACAGAAACATCCTCTGTGGTGTTAATATTTACACAACAGTAAAATCAAAGCGTTTAATTTCCTTTGTTTTGTTTCACGAACAACACCATTTGTCGTGTATTCTAAATAGTGTGTTGGCACACTGCCGTGAAAGTTAGCTGTAACTTTTTATATTTTGTAAAATTATCACAGATGTTCGACGTCATATTTTGAAGATAGCCTTTAGACGGTGACGTTATAAGCCTGCGACATCACAATGGATCCCGGTCCGACATGGAAGAAGATGTTACCACTGTCCATCATTGTGATCATTTTTCTATGTACCGGGGCACTCGTGTTCAGCGCCCTGGAAGGCGACCCGGAACTGGAGAGGCGACAGGTGCTTAGGGAATACCTCAACAGGTTTCTCAGTAAGTATTCTGCGTTTTACGTCTTAAACCCATCTTACATCAATCTATTCCTTCAAACTTAATGTTCTATTTGTGTATGCTCCAACAACTTCTTTTGTAATAACCCAGTTATATATATATGTACCCCCCCNATTGATACTATATTGTGTCCCTGCTTATGAGAGATATACCGTTACAAAATCGATTAAAACACGATCCTGAATAGTTCATAGTTAAATAAAACATCTGGGTATGTGTACTTCCTTGTATTTTGGTTTTCGTTTTACTTGCTTTCTTTGCATTCAATATTTCCATTGACCCATCGTTTCCATCTCTATATAAATATATAAAAAAATCTAATGTCGCTATTTTAATATAACCAGCTTGATGTGCAGAACATGTTATACCGTTTCTTCCCTTCCTACTAACACAAACTAGAACTGTATTTCCCTTCACGAAACAAACTGATGTAGCCTGTAATAATTCGTATCAATGTAAGATATTTCTTACAATGCGGGGATCATTAACTCTAACAAAGCATCGACATGCTTCACTTTCTGCCGGGTGTAACGACACTGTTTCAATGAGATATTAGTTTAACACAATGTTTCAGTGTGCTCTCGGTGTAACGACGGGATCAATGAGTTCTCTGTGTTACGATACGGTTTCAATTAGTTTTCAGTGTTATCATTGGCTATTTCCGTATATCTTACGTCCAAGGTTCATGTACTAAATTACAAGATAATAAAGAGCATTCGTCCAACGCCAATTGCCGTATCTTATACCTGACTCAACATATAATACGGGTTTTCCGTTTTCGTTATGATTTGTATTCCCAGCTATTTTTTTGTCTAATTGGCCGATTCGCTATTGATATTGTATATTATGGATATTTTTGTTATAGTTTTTTTTCGGTATTCTTGCTTCCACGTTTTGTTGAACAAATTTTAGCTGTTTACTATCTCCCATCACCAATAATCAGTTTTGTTTTATAGATAAACTACATAATTTAGTTTCTGTAGGTGTTTTAATCTCAATTCAGTGCTCACATCTGATTAAATCATGTTTAAACTTCAAGGGGGCTCAGGAAACAAGTAATATGTATCTACTGTGAATCCAACTGTTCAAAATGCAGATGTACTGCTACAGTATCTAGATACTCATCAGCCTTTCCTTGCCGGTAGCTGCACGTCGTTCTCTGCGTGGAAACAAGCAGTGCTCTCCTGCAGTATTAGACAGGTGTCCTGACACAGGAAAATTAAATTTTACTCAGTGTTATGGTAATTTGGAAAAAAACGATTAAATACGTAAACATCTTTTCAGGTCAGCTTTCTAACTTCATCATGGTGGTAAAATTAATTCACGAGTTTTGTATTATTATCAGTAATCACAGACAGAGGTCTACATAGCACCAGACTTGTGTAAATCGCAATCTGGTTTTCGTAATTCACCAGGTAATTATCTAATATTTCGCAAGTAGCCTCTTTCCAATAAGGTCATTGACCCTAATTTCTACTTATAGTACATCGCTGCTGTTATTTGATAACGCCTATTTTGACGAAGCAAAATTAGTCGCGAGAAAACGGCGTCATATGGCTTTCCTTTTTTCACGCCTTTTGGTAAGTGTGTTTAAGGAAATGACGATAGCAATGGCGGCAAGTGATGATGGGGCCAAACAAAAGCAAACGTACAAGAAGTATGACGAAATCGATGGTATCCACTGATGACGAGGTCACACAACAGAAAATACATTGTTCTTATTACGATGTTGTGAGCTGATGATGAGACGACACAACAGCAAAGGTCTAATAACGGCAGTGTCGATTGGTGGGGGTCACACAACAGCAAAGGTCTTATAACGGCGGTGTCGATTGGTGGGGGTCACACAGCAGCAATGGTCTTATAACGGCGGTGTCGATTGGTGGGGGTCACACAGCAGCAATGGTCTTATAACGGCAGTGTCGATTGGTGGGGGTCACACAACAGCAAAGGTCTTATAACGGCGGTGTCGATTGGTGGGGGTCACACAGCAGCAATGGTCTTATAACGGCGGTGTCGATTGGTGGGGGTCACACAGCAGCAATGGTCTTATAACGGCAGTGTCGATTGGTGGGGGTCACACAGCAGCAATGGTCTTATAACGGCGGTGTCGATTGGTGGGGGTCACACAGCAGCAATGGTCTTATAACGGCAGTGTCGATTGGTGGGGGTCACACAACAGCAAAGGTCTTATAACGGCGGTGTCGATTGGTGGGGGTCACACAACAGCAATGGTCTTATAACGGCGGTGTCGATTGGTGGGGGTCACACAACAGCAATGGTCTTATAACGGCGGTGTCGATTGGTGGGGGTCACACAACAGCAATGGTCTTATAACGGCGGTGTCGATTGGTGGGGGTCACACAACAGCAATGGTCTTATAACGGCGGTGTCGATTGGTGGGGGTCACACAACAGCAATGGTCTTATAACGGCGGTGTCGATTGGTGGGGGTCACACAACAGCAATGGTCTTATAACGGCGGTGTCGATTGGTGGGGGTCACACAACAGCAATGGTCTTATAACGGCGGTGTCGATTGGTGGGGTCACACATTAACAAAGGTCTTATAACGGCGGTGTCGATTGGTGGGGGTCACACAACAGCAAAGGTCTTATAACGGCGGTGTCGATTGGTGGGGTCACACAACAGCAATGGTCTTATAACGGCGGTGTCGATTGGTGGGGTCACACATTAACAAAGGTCTTATAACGGCGGTGTCGATTGGTGGGGGTCACACAACAGCAAAGGTCTTATAACGGCGGTGTCGATTAGTGGGGTCATACAACAGCAATGGTCTTATAACACCAGTGTCGAATAGTGGGGTCACACAACAGCAAATTTCTGATGACAAAAGTGTTTGCTGTTACTAATGATGGGACAATGGAACAGCAAATGTCCAAAGGTCTCCATTGATAATTTGGACCAACCAATTTCAAAGGTTTGGTCGTTTTAATTACTACAGAGCCCAACATCAGCAAAGGTCTTACGGCGGTTGTGACCATTGATGAAGAAGTGACCTTGTCCATTTGAACTACCATTTCGTGCATGTTATCCCATTGGTTACATTATGATAGATTGATAACAAGCTTACTACAGGTAGGTAGGGATACATCATCGAAAGAAAACTGTCTATAACCTAAAGAAAAATAAAGATAGAAGTCCAAAGTGTTACAACAGGGACACGCTTATATTTCTGCGGTGTCTCAAGTATGAGAGCACAACAAGAACTCCACAATCTACGACCATTCACTCGAATATTTTTCCATGAACTGCTAAACAGATCTTTTCAATACCCAACGTCTTACGGCCGTTAAACCGTAGTTTCACACTGCAGTTGAAGGTCATGAGGACTTAAATTCCCACAAGTGTATCACTACAAAGGGTTTACAAATACACCAGGTATATAACGGAGTAACACTTGCAGGTTCGAGGAAAGAATAAGCCTGCTATACCTAACTGCATGTTATTTTAAAAGCGGATTAATGTGTGCTCCTGCAGAACTAGGGGTTTCTTCTGTGACAACAAATAATTTGTTTCCTTTTCTCACTTTCTTCCACTTTCTTTGCGACGGTGTATCCCTAGGCAACCGTCTTTATATCACATGACCTGTTACAAGCACGTTAACCACAAACAAACAAACAAACAATGTAACTATATACATGTATATATATAATCTGGTCACGATAGCGGGAGGATTCTGAACGCAAGAATAAGACATCGGTGCCAAATGTTTAATTCACAATAGAAATAACGACACGGACTTGTGCACACAGAATCTTCATCATTATGCCTAGTGATACTCATTTTGATCCCTACCCAACGAGAAACATATCTTACGTCATCTGGTGGTGATACTCCACAGGGGTATGACTGCACAACAAATACTCGCTCGCAGAACTATTTTTGAAATTATGTTTTTACCTCAAAAAATGAGGTGCATGATACCTATTTACGTTAGCTCATAATTAAGATAGAAATCTGTCACATCTAGTAAAGTATCTCATTACAGCGATCGTAATTCTTTTGTGAACATTGGGCATTACTTACACCAAGAAATCACAGTATATGTTATGATGTAGCTTACGCATTAGGTAGATTTGATTGGATAACAGGCGACTGCCTGCGTGGATCTATCAGCGTATCTTCAATGTGTGGCTACGGGAGTTCGCACAGAATTGATGTATCATGTTGAGATCGGCGCAATTCACCAATGTACTTCCTCATCCATGTATTTTTATAAGCGCTCGACGATAATATTTCAGCATAAAGTATAAAGTTTATTAACACAACATCTGAAACACGAAAGTGATTTGAACTGCTTACAGGCTTTTAAGTGCATGACAAACAAACGTCATAGAAGAAGAACATGTTTATTTATTTGCACTGCCATGGCATATCGCTGTTTGTACACCAAGTGTACGCTAAGATGCACATTGATCGAGTTTTGTCTTACACGGATATTTTTCCTCCTTAGTAGAAAATATAGTCATTCGAAAACGTGCATAAACTAGGAACAACACCTTCACTCCTATCTCCTCGCTCTTCGACAGGATACACAGGGTAAGGGATACACAGCGATACTAGTACTCGTATCACTGCTGCCACAAAGGCCAGTTTGTTTGGAAATAAATGACAAATAATCCTTGTCATTTTCACAAATAGTAATTTCACATCTCATTTGCCTAGTCATTGTCTATGTCTAGCAAGAAGTCGCATACCATGACATAAGTGTATATACTACGTCAAAATCATTATAACGGCTTATGTTACTTTCATGGGGTGATGAATTTTGTGGGTCTTAAGACTAATTTAATGTGCTGCCAATGTTGAGACGAATTTAATGAGGTACAAATACTGACACAAAAGTAATGAGCTACGAATGTTGAGATAAATTAAATGAGCTGCGAGTATTGAGATAAGTTTAATGAACTGTAAATGTGGAGAAAAAATCACTGATCTGCGAATATCGAGACAAATTTAATGATCTGTGAATGTTGAAGCAAATATAATGAACTAAAATTTTGACACAAATTTAATGAGTTACGAATGTTGAGACAATTTAATGAACTGCGAATGTTGAGACAATTTAATAAGCTGCAACTATTGAGACATATTGAATGCTATGCGAATATGGAGACAAGTTTAATGAACTGCGAATGTTCAGACACATTTAATGAACTTCAAATGTTGTGACAAATTTAATGAACTACGAATATGGAGACAAGTTTAATGAACTGCGAATGTTCAGACACATTTAATGAACTACGAATATGGGGACAAATTTAATGAGCTGCGAATATTGAATTGGAAAGCCAACTTAATTCCTCATTTTATGAGGTCGACTTAATCAATACCCAGTCCTTATATTTTAACTAAACACGTTTGTTTATACCTGGAACTTGTTTAAATCTACCATTTTGCGCTAGATAAACTGGTGCATGTGCAAGTCTATGTTTAAATTTGATGTTACAATATTGTCCATCAATTAATGTTCTTCGTCATAACGGGAATAAATTATGAAGAAAGCAACAGTTTAATGAACTAACGCATATTATAACTATGCATGTTTTAAGTTGTCATCTGTAACGATAGCGTTTTTCATTAATTAACCCAAACAGTTTTACTATTGCATCGAATGAATACTGGTTAAACGGTTTAAAACAGGCACGAATTCATACGGACAGGCAATGTTAATCTGGTCAATTTCATAGCCGAAGGTAGCTAACAAAATTTGATAGTTTCACTGAGTCTAACTTCAGTTGAAATTGACATATTACATAACATTAGCGGATTTTGAATGTTAATTCAGGTTTTGATTTGTTATATGTTTTATTCATTTGTTTTTCCGAAAAACAACAACAATATTCTATGTTACGTATGCAACATACCGTGAAATGTAAAGTCGGTTAGCTAGCGGCGCAGTTGAAAAATTAACACCTAATTACTAGGATTGTCGGTAGTAGGAGGAAGTATTTATGATGCCTTTTGAACGAAGAGAAACAAATCAACCCGAGCTGGAGTCGTGACACCCTTTGATCTGGTTTACATAGATGTTGAATACACTACACGGTTTAGTATTCAAAGCAATATCGGGTTTAGTACCATTTTGGAAACAGAACAAAAAACTCATTTATATTGCAGCATTTTGTATTGGGAATATTGTCAGTATGGTGTTGTTATTGACTTCCCTTGATATTTCCGGGTTGGTTTGCTGTGACTGATTCCTGGAGACAATGTTATTAATAATATATGCTGACTATGTAGGTCTTCATCACGGATATGAACTGTGGATTTGTTAGTGTTCAGTGTCAATACTCAAGCGGTAGTGTCATAACAACTTGTCCGTCATCGATTCGTCTGTAATATATCTTCAGCAGACTATGGGTTTCTTATTTGGCCTCTGACGTACCCCTTAATAGGTCAAAACGAAGTCATTACAAAATGTATAGAATCTCCAATTAAACATTACTAATGACATATATTGTCGGTTTCATACTTTGATACCTTATGTCCTATTCATGTAGACACTACCTGAAACACATCGTCTGTAGGCTGAAGAAATTCAGATATTCATGTTTACACTTTTAGAGAAACCTTCCGGCACCATCAAGTGGTAATATCAAGAAGTCAAAAAATCTTCTTCTGAATTTAGGCAAAATAGCAGTAGTTTCCGTAACAAGTTCAAGATTGGTTTATTATGATTTTTAAAAAAAACGTAAAAAAAACCCACAGAATTATGTTCACATACGCCCAATTAATTATAAAGAAAAAACAATACCGAAGTGCCAACAAAATTCTAATTCGAACTCAAAATCGATAATACTAGAGCAAAATGTGAACAAAAGAAAAAAAATAGCGGAGTACAAGGTGAATACGATCAGGTGTTCCGGAAGGGTCAGAGTCTTCTGCTTCGTCGACGACGCCCGCCTTGTAAATCTAGGTCAAATCCAAGTAAGGTCACGTCCTCATATCGAAAACTCGGGGCGTCACAACAAAACAAGGATCGACATTTAGGAATACCAGTTAAAATATCTTTTCGACAAGCTTGATACTAGGGCTTTCAGTTTGATAGATGTTAATTTTTAAAACGATGATTACAAAAAATGCTTTGTAACCATACAAAGGGTCAAACCGATTTGGTCATATTTCAGAAAAAATAGAATGAAGATAATATATTTCTTTCTTATTTTTTCTTAATTTTAAAATCTTTGTAAAAAAAAAACCCCGATCAAACAAGATCTTTTCAATTAAATATATACAAATTATTAAAACTCTTCTACGCATATCATGGTCAATAGGGAACTACACAAGGGGTCAAATACAATATAAGACTATATAATTTTCAAATAGCATTGCTTACGAGTATTGATTAAGATTAATTGAAATTCGGGCTCTGGGATAATGATGGAACTGTGATTTTAATAAGTAGGTAAAATACAAATCAGGTGAGTGGATTAACACCCCTGTGTCTCTTGTTTTCTGAACGGTCACTAAATAAATCATCTATCAAATACATGACACAGAAACATACACACACCAGTATCATAGAAGAAGATCATACTTGTAAATAGTGGGATGTGAGTTTCACATAGATACCTAGAGACGATCGTCAACGATAAACAGAGGCTTAAAAACAATGGCTGTATTTTGAAACCATTCCCAGTTTAATGTCGCACCTGTTTGTGTTTAACCTAGATTTTTCAATCGTTTTAACGAACTTCTTTCTTTACACTGCCAGAGCTACTCTTCATTTAGAACATTATACCTATATATCATTTTTTTATCGTTAAATGAGCGTTTAATGCTTCTTTAATTTATTTTGCAGCTTTGCACATTTGTGATGAGCTATTATTTCTCTAAATAGTTAAGGTTTCTTGAAGTTCGTCCGTTTGTTCATTTAGAGCAAAATACAAAACGTTTCATCTTCTAAAATATAAAAATAGATTAGCACTCATACAGCTACACACATTTCATATAGTTTGATTAGAAACATTTCGTTTGATAAAGACAAAACAAAACAAAATCATTTTTATTGTTGACCTCTTATCTAAAGACCCTGATTTCCATTCATGATCATGCTTGCAAAGATTGGCAGCGTAACATTACTAGTCCATACTAAGTACATCAAGAGAAACGCTCTCAGCGAAACTTTGTGAGATACTGACTGCGTATATTTATCGGACAAGAATCTCTTGCATGGACAGGTGTCGTGGAGGAAGGAAGCAGACACATGTTGCACACCACACAGACTTTCTTCATGTTATCAAACGTTAACAGTATACAGGGCCAGGTGTGTGTTGGAACACCAGTCGTTTCAAATAAGCGAGCAGTTTTACCGGCCACGAAAACATCTCTTTCGACGCTATTTTGCTGTGATGATGTCGTTGTTTTTCACCCTCGAAGTTATTCTGTTGTGATTAGGTCATTTTGGTTCTGATTAATCATTGCCTGTCTAACAGTACTTTCTGACGTTTTTTGTCCACACAATTCACCGAGAAATGTGTTTGGTCGTATGTCTTAATAGAAATAGTGTTTTGTACATTATCCTTGAGTTAAAGTAATTCTTGACAATCATTTTTTGTCGTTTTCATTATCTCTGTTCAGCTGCCGCACAATCAATCTACAAAAAGAAAATACGGAATCCATGAAAACATAACAGTCATCTCATACATTAAGGGACCTAGATATACGTGGTCTTGATGGTTTACCAAGTCCATACATTAAGAACACTAAGATCGTACGTGGTCCTGGTGAGGTACCGATTCTCACACATTGGAACGTGGTTCTGATGATATACTGAGTCTCATACATTAGGAAGATGTACTGAGTTATTGCAAAGGCAACCAGCACAAGTACTTTCGTTTTTCATCACAGTTTAAATCTCGGTTTATTCACAGGTGGACAAACTTGTTTTAATTACTTTTTAAATCTCCTTAAAATCTCTTTTTTATTGTAAAATTTCCCGAAATTCATGTTTTAGTCAGCCATTTATGATAATTTATTGTCCTTAGCTCCTAGCATCGCTATAAAAAGTGTAATAATAATACCTTGTCATCAACCGTTACAGGGAACCACACCTGCATTGATTCTGACGAACTGCACGAATTGCTGTCAGAAGTGGACACCGAGATCAACTTCGCTTTACGGATGATCCGAAACAAGACGATATACACACAATGGGACTTCTCGGGGTCATTCTCCTTCGTCATCACCGTCGTCACAACTATAGGTATGTCATCAACAACACCGTCTTGGCTTTGTACTAGGACACCTGCTAATCGATATTATAATATATTTAAATTTCTGCCAAAGACTTTCGACTTACGACACGATATGTCGATATGATTTTCAAACGATGTTGACATAGTCTGAGATGTCGACACAATATATGAATATGTTGCAACAAATTTTGAATTATGTCAACATATCAATTTTTTTTTCAAAATATTCGAACATATTTCGATTGTTTGGTGGTTGCTATTCAAATGCTGAAACCTTGTAAACAATACATACGCTCAATATTAAACTCGACAATATATTTCACCATAGCATATAATGTCTAATCTATGTTGAAATAAGATCTCTGTTATAACAATTTAATGCCTTTTCGGGGGTGTAAAATGACTATGTAAATGTCCATATCAATCAATAACCCACTTTTCCTTTGTTATTTACTGCTGTACTTTAAACATAAACGTGCAGGAAAACTTGATTAGAGTTTAATATTAATAAAATGAATAATGGCCATATCTGGCATGCTTCATTAGTTCATATATTAAAGAGCAAATCCTTTTCATACAGACAGAATCTGATCATTATAAATATAAAACATTATCAAAAGTCATATTCGGTAAAAATATTTAACGTTGAAAGTAAAATATTAAAAAAATCGGTTATTGGGGAATGAGGGAGATGAAGGATGAAGGGATAAATGAAAACAAATCGGAGACTTTATTAACACATAAGCTATATCATGGAGAAGGGTGTTTAAAGATAAGAATATAGAAGATAGAATATTTATACTGACAGTAGAGATAAAAAGAATGCTAAAATTAAAGTACAATGCGGTAGCCACACCGCCATGTTAAATATGTCTGATCCTCTGACAACATAAGTTGTGTTAGCTATTGACGCTTTTAATCATGTTTATTATCCGCTACGCTTGTTTATCAATTTACGTAATTGTATTTTAATTGCATCCTGTTGAGTTAGACTTTAATATGAGCTGCCCTTACTCAGGGGAACTGTTAGAGTTCTAATGAAATATGAAATTTCGATAAGTTTCCTGTTATAATAATTTCAGAGAATATACCTGCGGAAACCTGCTGTTGATATTTGATGATTTTAACAGAATAATGAAAATAACATAATGACTTTAGGATTCTGAACTCATCTTCCAGTGAGTGCTAATATATGATTTTTTCACGGACGGTTTAAGCCACGTCTGCTCTGGCACCAGCCGTACGTGTTTACCTGTAGGTAACTAGGTTACAGATGCTTACATAATGTTGTCTGTGTTTATAGAATAAATAGTGTCTAGATCTTTGTCTCTTCTGTTACTAAGAAGTAACCGTTGAGTCCTCTTGAAGACCTATTAGTGACGGGTAGGGACGTGTGATGTGTGTGGCCTACTGGTGGCTCGAACACTTGACTACTTTTACATTGACAGAACAAAGACATGTTTCCTTGTAAATATAGCGGTAATACTGCAAAAAAAAACACCCACGTAAATAAAACGATATTCACTTACAAAGCAATGATACTCATGTTCGAGATACGACATTCTGATCACATGTGATCGACGTATCGGGAATAAAAAAGCCAAACTGGTACCACCATTGTTTAAACATTATTTCAATTTAAACCTTTAAAAACGCGTATTCATGGTAATCTTAGTTTTTAGAGTTTAATAATAAATTTGATATATAAATCAACTTTATATTATATTTCCATATTATAATAAACATGAGTCATATGATCATACTATTGATAATCATCTACCATGTTGATGGATATTTAAGAATAAGTTAAACGATATTTCATGGAAACAAGTTTTTTAATTCGTGTGACGAACTGCAATATTTAAGTTTAAAATCAAACTAAGAATAGACACATAATTATTGTAAAAATCATGTGAAATCTTAGTGACTATGGTATGAAGTATGACATGTTTTAAACCAGAAATTAAACAAAAAATCCTTTTTTTTCTAAAATTATAATTTAACAACGAAGTATAAATTGTTTTGAAACATCTGCTAGAATTTTAGCATGATAGAAATATTTCTTTAACATATTTTTCTCGAATAAGATACTTCAGTATGGTGTACTTGATCTTGCCCTTCCAGACAAAATCAATATAACTGTTAATGTGGGAGGAAACAGGTGTACCCGATAAAAACCAACGTAGTCGAAACAGGTCATCCCATACCTTTTCACGTCCGATCGGGGAATCGAACACCGGCCGCCATGGTGAAAGGCGAATGCGTTATCTATCCGCTGAGCCATCCGACCTCCCTGATTTGATTACGACCCGTACAATACAATTCAATACAATACAAGCAAACCCTATGACGCTTGTTAGTTTTTAGTCATTTGAAGAAATCAATGAGTTTGTGTCGTAATGTCCTACTATTTGCGTCACAACTAAATTCCATTTCAATAGTGCATATAAAAATATATAAAACCCAAAACATTCCGAAATATAAAACGACTTGAAGAAGGTGGTGATCATATAGCAATGACTGTCTTTAACACTAGTCATTTGGTTATAACTCAATGAATTTTCGTAGAATATTTTACAAACAATACCTCGTTTTCCATTCCCGCCGAGCCGTCCCGGAAAACTCTAGACACTTACCTCGTTACATCGAATTTGAAAAGTTCCTTTTCTATCAATAATTGTTATTAATCACTAGCAATACGAAGAAAGGTACAACTTATTTAAATCATTAGCAAGTTGATGCAACAAGTCACTTTATTGCCAGGCTTCAACAGTAAGGCTAAAAGTCAAAAGAAAATAAACACCGTTTAAATCAGATAAGTTTCAGATACATTTTCAAATACAAATTTTGTCAGATTTGTTTGTGTTTTCCTGGGATGTCTAAGTGAGATAATAAAGAAGTATGACGTCAGTGAGTTTGTTAAATATTGATTAAATAATAGTCAAAACGAGAGTCAAAAAGAGAATGATTAGTATATTCCACAAAGTACTATCATATCATACAGTTTTCGCTTAATTATGGTGATTGATGACAGTAGCCGTTTAAAGCTATGTAAAGATTGAGGTGACATTATGTAGTGTAACTCCTTTCACGAATTACAGTGAAAATTAATATTTTGCATATTCTTATTTATTGACAGTAAAAATGATTATTACATATAGCATATTAACAAAATGTCCTACCTTGTGTCCCCAGGGTACGGTAATCTGGCCCCTCGAACGGGCCTGGGGAAGGTTGCTGTGGTTGTGTTCGCCTTCATCGGTATCCCCATCACCATGATAATGATCTCGTACATAGGACAGGTGCTGACCAGACTGTCCAAACGGGTTAACAAGTGTAACCTCTGTTCGTCCAAACCAATGGTCAACAAAGTCCTCAACATTGTGTTGATTATAACGCTTGGAATCACCATGTTGTTTGGAATTCCTGCCTTCATTTTCAATCAAGTCGAGAAATGGGACTTTTTGGAAGGGCTTTATTATTGTTTTGTCACGTTATCTACGATAGGATTTGGGGATTACATTGCAGGTAAGTAATATGTCTGTGATCGTGAACACGTCTCATTATGCTTTTGTGTCCTGTATGGTAGATTATATACTAGTATGTATGTGCATTTGTCATAATTCATCTTGAGATCATATAAAGCGTCCATATATTTATTCATCCTCCAAATATTCAAACAGAAGATATTGTCTTCTTTCTTACCCATTGACATGTTCTGCTATATTGTGACAAATGGGACTAATTCACAAACGCTTACCCTCCTTTCCTCATTAGCAACATACTATATCCCTCTCAGCTGATGGAGTTTACATTATCATGATGGATTTACTACACCAGATACCTTTCAAGTATCAGAATGTCCATGTCGACCATTGGTTATTGAAAACCTATTCTAAAACGTAATGTCACTTAACTACTCGGTCAGGCCAGCGTTTTACAATACTCTTCAATAATAATCTGTTTTCCAGAGATTGTTGTCAACTTAGTTAAGAAGACTGATTTATTGTATCTTATATCGTTGATGTCCTGCACACTTCCCTAGATATACTGACGGTGTCTTAGTGGTTGCTACACGTTTTGAAACGAAACAGGGCCTTATCGTTCCAGAACACCTAGTAGTTCTTGAAGTCCTTCCCCCTTGTTTCCGTGGGTCCTTTTATATCTCATTGACGTATTTTTGTATCTTAACAACGCGATATTTTTTATTTAGTTTATTTTTGAACTTCCCTTTAACCAATTTTCTTCCCACATATAGTGATCTTAAGATCTTATATGTTTTGTTTCTATGTTGGTCTCTGTGCACTATTTATCCACGTTAGTATACCGATCTCATTAAGTTGTTTTGCTGTAATAATGTTTATCAATTTAAAGGCAATATGATGTTATAATGAAGGGAAATGTCCTTATATCAAAGATGCAACTTGTTTCGCTCGGGTGCGATTTTTTCTCGAGAAATTCGGGTTTGTTATATCGATATCCGAATGGGTATAAGCGTGGAATTTATTTTCATAGTAGGAATGTAATCACCAGCTACGACTATCGAGTTTGTTAGTTTGATAGAGTGGGTGGTGATAGACACCAATGGGGAAATATTTACCCAGATCATAATGCCATACGTCACTGCCGGGCACACACCTCCATGTCAACACGCTGTCCGTCACGGATATCGTACCGAACGATCCCGTTACTCATAATATTAGCTTGGCTTAGCATATATGTATGATTGTACCTTAATTCCACAGACGGGAAGTAATGATACAAGTTCATGCGTGTTATACGTATATCTTTGACAGGTGCTGCATGTCAGCACGTGATTAAATATAACTTAACAGACGGTTCTACATATATAAAGTGATGAAAGCATGTCATTTTTTTCTAGTGTTGATTTTGATTCCAATGCAGCAGGAGATGCTTCCTCGTAGATCACATTACACTAGTCTCTGTCATGGTGATATAGGCAAAAATACTACTTATCAGTTATCTTTGGACCACCAGGGGCGACTCCTAACTTACTAAGATTTATAAATTCCTTTATTCCAATGTATATATTGAAGAAAATCATTTTCAGTTTTGAGATGCTTTGCATATTGGAGGTAGACTGATACCCGTTTATTCCATTTAAAGCGTTTATGAAGTTCTTATCATTTCAGTATTTGTCATTTCAATTCAAATAGTCTATGAAATCTCGTTATTGCAGACACAAATGCTTTCAGAAAAGTCGTCCATACTAAAATTGTCTGGAACAAAGAGCTTCCCCTGCACGTAGTCATCAGTTAAAACATATCCATGACGATCGTTCTTGTTTAATGGCTATTCCTGGTTATCACTATGTCGTTGTGATACCACCTGTCCATTTTTAGAAACAAATATCTGTATACCGATTCACTAAACCACTTTTCAGCGGATGCCTTCTTTTGATGATGCTGTAGTATATTTTGTCATTGTGATGATGCTGTAGTATATTTTGTCCTTGTGATGATGCTGTAATACATTTTGTCCTTGTGATGATGCTGAAGTACATTTTGTCCTTGTGATGATGCTGTAGTACATTTTGTCATTGTGATGATGCTGTAGTATATTTTGTCCTTGTGATGATGCTGTAGTACATTTTGTCCTTGTGATGATGATGTAGTATATTTTGTCCTTGTGATGATCCTGTAGTATATTATGTCCTTGTGATGATGCTTTAGTATATTTTGTCCTTGTGATGATGCTGTAGTACATTTTGTCCTTGTGATTATGCTGTAGTATATTTTGTCCTTGTGATGATGCTGTAGCACTTTTTGTCCTTGTGATGATGCTGTAGTACATTTTGTCCTTGTGATGATGATGTTTTATGTTTTGTCCTTGTGATGATCCTGTAGTATATTTTGTCCTTGTGATGATGCTGTAGTATATTTTGTCCTTGTGATGATGCTGTAGTACATTTTGTCCTTGTGATGATGCTGTAGTACATTTTGGCCTTGTGATGATGCTGTAGTATATTTTGTCCTTGTGATGATGCTGTAGTACATTTTGTCCTTGAATGTTGATGCTGTAGTACATTTTGTCCTTGTGATGATGCTGTAGTACATTTTGTCCTTGTGATGATGCTGTAGTATATTTGTCCTTGTGATGATGCTGTAGTATATTTTGTCCTTGTGATGATGCTGTAGTATATTTTGTTCTTGTGATGATGCTGTAGTATATTTTGTCCTTGTGATGATGCTGTAGTATTTTTTTCTATTTACTCAAGCTATATCCGAGAACCGCCTGAGTGATCGCGGGGCTGGTGACGTGTATCGAGTTGTGACGTATGTGTGGATCCTGTTCGGGCTGTCCTATCTCTCACTCGTCATATCTTACATCACAGAGGTCTTCATAAAAAAAGCAGAGAAAATGGAAAACTTCACCAAGAATAAATTTGAGGTGAGAATTTTCAGGAAAATTAGATGCATTAAGACAGTATCTTATATTCTCTTTTTCGATATGTATGAAATAAAATATATCTGTGTATCTTGAGTTGTGTCTATGGTGGTATGTACCGGTCTTGTATACATTTGTCGTTTAAACAAACTCTTTCACTGCGTCAGGTCGTTTTGTCTTTGAATCACAAGAAAAACAAAAATGTAAATGTTTTTCAAATGGCCTGCTACATTGAAATCAGTCCGGTGATTCTGAGACAGAATTTGGCAAGTGGTCCACGATGATAGGCATAAATGATCTGACTACATTGCAATCAGTCCAGTGATTCTGAGACAGAATTTCGTCAGTGGTCACTGTGGTCCCAGATGATAGATATCAATGGTCTGACTACATGTTAGTGACACCATAGTCTTTACACTGGACACGACCAAGGATATGCCTTGTGTTCTTGAGTGTTAGTGGCACTACAGAGATCGCATGTTATTTGGTTGACCAATCACATGTTTGTTATGACTAAACTGAAAGCAATTCAGAGATTTCGAAACAGGATTTGTTAAGTGGTCCCAGTGGAACGCGATAAAAATTCTTTATCATATTTATCTGAGAGGTACATGTCATTATCGACAGAGATGATATTCGTGTCTACGCCAAGCTCTGTCAAACCGGATGTATGTACTTCCTAAACAGGAAGTTGAGCGCACCTATGCGGCAATTATATTCCAATACATCTTGTCCAATTCCAGTTTTCTGTCAATGATATGATGTTGTTTACTTTTTAAACGGAAATTTGATATACATCATGCTCTCATAACATATGAAGATAAAGTTTAATTTCGATAACAGAAAGAAAAATCGGTGCGTGTTTTTGGTTTCCTCTTATTGACAGACTATAATGAATGTTATATTCACGAGCTCACACCTTGTCTGGTTTTGTAAACACAGACTTCGATTTCTCGATTGACTGCCTGTTATGTTATTAGTGTAGGTTACAGGCAAACACCATTACGATGAGTTTCGTTTAGATATTTCTTATTATTTAAATAAATTTGACTGGATTTACGACAATGACGATGTAAGATGAATACTATGTGCCAATAACCACTAGTTAAGTCTGCATTAGGTATGGTCTATAATCAAATATGAGCTACACAGTTGAAGTAGAAATACAATATCGACGGTTAATCAGAACTAATATCAACAGTCCGAAAGGGCCTGTCAACGGTACTGCTATCAACAGTCGGACAAGGCCTAAAATCTGCTACTGTAGCTCAAAAGGTATAGGGGCCTATGAGTGCTGCTAATATCAACAATCGGACTGAGCTTATTGAAGCTACTTGTATCAAGAGTCGAACAAGGCCTGTACAAGTTCTCAATATCAACAATCGGAAAAGGCCTATACAAGCTACTGATATTGACAATATGTCAAGGCTTATACATTAAAGCGTGGAATAAACAGCAATCAATTAACAGAAATGAAACTTAGACGTAGAAATAATGAAGATATTAAAAAGATACTTATTACTGCTTGATAACATAGTTCTGAATACTTGGAGCACATGCATTTGTGTGTGTAAACGTTTACCAGTAGTTTTATTAACACATGGACGTTTACCAGTAGTTTTATTAGCACATGGACGTGTACCAGTAGTCTAATTAACACATGGACGTTTACCAGTAGTTTTATTCCCACATGGACGTTTACCAGTAATCTGATTAACGCATGAACATTTACCAGTAGTCGTATTAACACATGGACGTTTACCAGTAGTCTAATTAACACATGGACGTTTACCCGTAGTCTAATTCACACATGGACGTTTACCAGTAATCTAATTAACGCATGAACATTTACCAGTAGTCTTATTAACACATGGACATTTACCAGTAGTTTAATTAAAACATTGACGTTTACCAGTAGTCTAATTCACACATGGACGTTTACCAGTAGTCTTATTAACAAATGGACGTTTACCAGTAGTCTAATTAACACATGGATGTTTACCAGTAGTGTTATTAACACATGAACATTTACCAGTAGTCTAATTAACACATGGACGTTTACCAGTAGTCTAATTCACACATGGACGTTTACCAGTAGTCTAATTCACACATCGACGTTTACCAGTAATCTGATTAACGCATGAACATTTACCAGTAGTCTAATTCACACATGGACATTTAACAGTTACCTGATTCACACATGGACGTTTACAAGTAATCTGATTAACGTATGAACATTTACCAGTAGTCTAATTAACACATTTAAGTTTACCAGTAGTCTAATATTAACACCTGTATGTTTACCAGTAGTCTTATTAACGCANTTAATATTAACACATGGACGTTTACCAGTAGTCTAATTAACACATGAACATTTACCAGAAGTCTAATTAACACATGGACGTTTACCAGTAGTCTTATTAACACATGGACATTTACCAGTCGTTTAAATAACACATGGACGTTTACCAGTAGTCTAATTAACACATGGACATTTACCAGTAGTCTTATTAACACATGGACGTTAACCAGTAGTCTAATTCACACATGGACGTTTACCAGTAGTCTTATTAACACATGAACGTTTACCAGTAGTCAAAGTAACACATGAACATTTACCAGTAGTCTAATTAACACATGAACATTTACCAGTAGTCTTATTAACACATGGACGTTTACCAGTAGTCTTATTCACACATGAACATTTACCAGTAGTCTAATTAACACATGAACATTTACCAGTAGTCTAATTAACACATAAACATTTACCAGTAGTCTTATTAACACATGAACATTTACCAGTAGTCTAATTAACACATGGACGTTTACCAGTAGTCTAATTAACACATGAACATTTACCAGTAGTCTAATTAACACATGAACATTTACAAGTAGTCTAATTAAGACATGAACGTTTACCAGTAGTCGTATTTTTAACACATAAACATTTACCAGTAGTCTAATATTAACACATGGACATTTACCAGTAGTCTAATTAACACATGAACATTTACCAGTAGTCTTATTAACACATGGACGTTTACCAGTAGTCTTATTAACACATTGACGTTTACCAGTAGTCTAATTCAGACATGAACATTTACCAAAAAGTCTTTTGCTTTGGTAAGTGAAAGTGTGATACCATTTTAGTTTTAACATAGGGACATATTGCTTATCGTAATCATCTTTATGATGAAATGTATATGTCCTTAACTTATTGTGTGAAGAAGGATTACGGTTAGAATGTTCTTTTCGGTAGCGACGAGATTTTTTATTGTGTCGACTAATCTAATTTCACTATGAATACCGATCGTATTATTTTTTCCCGTTTCTGTCAAAAAACCTGAACATAATTGTATGCTGGTATTCTAAGGCCAGGTAATGTTGTAAACAAGCTATGACGGATTGTAACAACCTGTCAATCATATCGGAAAAAATATCGACGTATTCTATTAGTTCTCTGCATGGTGAATATTATGATGGCGAGAGCACCAGCTAAACCCGTCAGAACCTACAATTAACTTCGGAAAACTGATCATCAAATGTGCACAGTATCATGTATTGAAGGAAAGATCTCACGGTAGAGTTGTTAGGCTTTAGGACGTTACTAGCTTGCTTACTCGTACCGTATAACTGATTCAATTTTTGTTTTCTATAGCCTCGTTCCAAAATTGATTTTCTTCGAAATGGAATAGATTAATATGAATGACGGCCTCAGCTTTGCTTTTATCCACATGATAATTTATTTACTTAATTCTTTATCGTATTTGAAATATTTGTTTGAAATAAACATATATATTTGACAATACAGTTTATTAATCCAAAGAGTGATGCCTCATATACGTATATATGTACAATATTGATTATGTGTTCATAGGTTCAGCCCAGCACGCGTTTGTAGGATATTGTTCATGTGTCTCATAGGGACACCTCTGCAGGTAGTTATACATAATATAGTTAAATTTGTCTACATAGGGACATCCCAGCAGGTAGTTATACATAATATCGTTAAATGTGTCTGCATAGTGACATCCCTGCAGGTAGTTTTATATAATATAGATAAATGTGTCTGCATAGGGGCATCCCTGCAGGGAGTTATACATAATATAGTTGAATGTGTATACATAGGGACATCTCTGCAGGTAGTTATACATAATATCGTTAAATGTGTCTGCATAGTGACATCCCTGCAGGTAGTTAAACATAATATAGTTAAATGTGCCTGCATAGGGACATCCCTGCAGGGAGTTATACATAATATAGTTAACTGTGTCTACGTAGGGACATCCCTGCAGGTAGTTAAACATAATATAGTTAAATGTGTCTGCATAGAGACATCCCTGCAGGTAGTTAAACATAATATAGTTAAATGTGTCTGCATAGTGACATCCCTGCAGGTAGTTTTATATAATATAGATAAATGTGTCTGCATAGGGACATCCCTGCAGGGAGTTATACATAATATAGTTGAATGTGTCCACATAGGGCCATCTCTGCAGGTAGTTATGCATAATATAGTTAAATGTGCCTGCATAGGGACATCCCTGAAGGCAGTTATACATTATATTGTTAAATGTGTCCGCATAGGGACATCTCTGCAGGTAGTTATACATAATATCGTTAAATGTGTCTGCATAGAGACATCCCTGCAGGTAGTTATGCATAATATAGTTAAATGTGCCTGCATAGGGACATCCCTGCAGGTAGTTTTATATAATATAGATAAATGTGTCTGCATAGGGACATCTCTGCAGGTAGTGATACATAATATAGTTGAATGTGTCCACATAGGGACATCTCTGCAGGCAGTTATGCATAATGTAGTTAAATGTGTCTGCATAGAGACATCCCTGCAGGTAGTTTTATATAATATAGTTAAATGTGTCCGCATAGGGACATCTCTGCAGGTAGTTTTATATAATATAGTTAAATGTGTCTGCATAGGGACATCCCTGCAGGTAGTTTTATATAATATAGTTAAATGTGTCTGCATAGGGACATCCCTGCAGGTAGTTTTATATAATATAGATAAATGTGTCTGCATAGGGACATCTCTGCAGGCAGTTATGCATAATGTAGTTAAATGTGTCTGCATAGGGACATCTCTGCAGGTAGTTATACATAATATAGTTAAATGTGTCTACATAGGGACATTATGTACGACATTGTTAAGTGTGTCTGCAATGGATATCTGTTCAGGTAGATTTGTGCAGTGAAGTTGATTTTGCTTACATATGGATATCTCTGCACGTAGATATGTAACATAAAGCTTAATGTAGGGATATATAGGCTAACTCTACATATACATTGATTACATTGATTACCTGATCATATAGCGATATTATATACGCTAACCTGGGGGCATGCATCCTTTTTGCAGGAAGATAAGACAGAGGACATTCCGCTATCAGGGTCATGCGCAACCAATCAGGCACACTGCATGCTTCCTCAATGATAACCTGTGTGCTTACCTAACTTTATAATATTTGTTTTGAGGAAACATTTAAAGCGTTTATAGATGTCTTGATGTCAGTACATATTATAACAAATATTGAAAAGGCAAGATCATAGTAGTATCTCATTATATGACTCGGTAGTATATCATGGTATGAATGATTTACCAAGCGTTTCTATGTCAAATGTCACTAGGTTTCATTAAGTATCGATGTAGTTATGAATACTCCATCATCAGACAAACACTAAATTCCCTTCAAAAAATACCGAACCTAAAACACCATGACAGTGTTAGAAGACATGCTTCCTTTTCAATTCCATATTTTGATTACTGAAGAAAATGTCTGTATTATTGGGTATTTGATGATTATTTTCAGAATGAAATAAACAAACTTCAAGACGAAATCACAAAAACAAAGCGAACGGTACAACAGAAGGCTTCTACAGTGAAAACCAGTGTCAACCGTAAAATGCGAGACTCGCACTCACCAAAGTTAACAAGAGGCGACGCTCTAGACCAAAAGGACACCAAAAATGGGGTACAGCTTCTGAGAGTGACTTTCATGTCGGAAGGCAGAGACAACACAGTCTGTTCTTGACGTCATTGAAATTATCAGCGACATTAACAGTTTAGGTTATCACTATAAAACTGAAAGAAGCTAAGAATTTATTTATAACTCATAAATACAGTTCAAAAGTCTATGTGAGTGTTTGACTATATACATGCAACACATCAAGCGGGGTGACTACATGACGACCATGATGATTCAGTATAGCGTGTTTATGTCGCCATCCAATGTGGGTGAGATTAGGGCTGCACAGTGTGATATCGAAAACCCCAAGGCTGTACAAATAGCGTGATTTTGACGTAACGAATGTGGACAAGTTAAAGTCTGATTTAAAATGTTTTATCATTGTACTGTGTTGAGCAACATCTTATTATTTTTGGAGGAAAGTCACAATGTATTCTTTTAATGAATTTAATGTCGTCATATTTTGTCATTTGATTCAGAGTGTTTCCAATACCTAATTTATATAATAGTTATCCGTATACAAACTAAAGATATGACAATATGTCTAATATAGTCGTTGACGAGCCAGATATTGGATGGTGTGGAACTTCCAAAAGTGACAAATTATACGCAAGGTGATCCACGAATCCATTCAGTGAAGAGAAGATTTTTAAAATTTGAAAAGGAAATATTGACGGATGCTCATCCAGGCCTTAATGAAGGTGGGGGTTTTGGGTTTTTTTTTTGCATATCAGAACATGATATGTATTTTTAACTCACAACTGAATGACGTGACTCATGTAACGCACACACCTCTATGGATGTCCTAAATATCGTTCCAGACAGTGAGAAATGTCAGGTGTCGTAGTACTCAAGTCTTGTTATATATCCATTCACTTACCGGAATCACGTAATCCCCTAGATACTTGTCACAATTTAATGTAGTGATTAATCAAGATAAACATAATAAAAGGATTCATTGGTGATCGTTAGGATAATCCATGGATTATCACAGCGTCTAGATATTACTGTGAACACGTGCCCGTTATCACATCCCAGACGAGCAACTTTTGTACATTAATCTCATAACAAACACATAGCTCATTCATGTAACTTGTTTGTAAAGGCCAGAGAAAAACTTTTTTGAAATACTGAGGTATTTTTTTTTAATTCTTATAGAATGTCCAAGAAAGAAAAATGTGTCTAGAGGGATTGGTTTGATCTGTAAATGTAATTCTTATTAAGGGAGTCGAAAGTTTAAAATACTTTAATGATAAATGCTCTTTCCGGAAAATAAGGCTGACGATAATTTGCATAAAAAAGCATGTGTTGTGGTTTTTCACAATGACGGTGTGGTTTATATTTTAAAAATCTCAATTTATACATTTGTTCATGTAGAAATTTCGTTTATTTCGTAATTCTGAAAAATGGGAAATAACGGTAGCATGTGTTCTGTATTCATTAAAATATATCTGTGTTTTTGGTAGAGTACTTAATCGTGTAAATGCTGAGTTAATAATAGATCCAAGATGAATGGTTTATGTACTTTGTTTTCTTTTTCCATGTTTGTTGACTTACCGACTATTAAAATGAACCGATAACTTCACCTACTGTGATATATACTATGTTCGATAAAATGCAATTATTATTAATGTGTTTTCTCTTTATTGAAAAGAATAGCATACCATAGTATGAATTATCTCCCTTGCAGCATTGTACAGACAGTAAATTCGTTCAATACGGCAACATAGTCAGGAAAACTTAATAAGAGTGGAGGATATGTTTTATAAACCAGATAACCTTGCTTGCCAGATAATAGCACGAATAGAATCAAATTTAGCCAATATCTTTTAGCTATAATTACGGTTGGGATGTCATTGTCAGAGACGAACCACATTAGCAAATGCTCGTCCGGTCGTTTTTTGACAGTGTAACTGCATCTTTGTAGCTAGCGACGTACCACACTCTTGCCGGGAAATGCTCGTCCGGTCGTTTTGTGACAGTGTAACTGCATCTTTGTAGCAAGCGACGTACCACACTCTTGCCAGGAAATGCTCGTACAAGATTTTTTATTTTTTTGTCGTAATTATGAAACACAATCCTCTGAAAATAAATTCGTATTTTCATGTTGTTGTATGAGGCTATGTACACTAGTAAAAAGTGTCATCTTATCATTCTACCTGTACAACCTTCCTCACACGTACGACAAGCTTCATGTAACAAATTACCTAGCCAGGGGATACCGTCGTAATCTCATGTATGGTGTGGTCATGTGACGTCCGATAACACTCTTATCAAGTGCATACATACCTGGACCCCGCCCTATTCTGCTCCGTGTATAAATAGGTGTTTAACTGTGGCCGGTCACCGAGGTCTCTACCATCCACTGCCATCGTCTCAAGGTAGGTACACATTCTAGTGTTCAGTTTGAATGACACCAATTTCCTTGTTTAAAATTCTTACTAAAAAGTAATTTCAGTATTCACTTTTTTTCATTAACACCAAAGGTAGTTATAAAAGGTAAAAACGAGGTTCATAATCTTTTTTGAACAAGAACTGTCGCCTCTAACCGCATAGTAGAAGTCCTTAAATGAGATAAGTGTGTGTTGTCAATATCAATATTGTAACTAAAAGCATATTCTGGTAAAATTATTTGGCAAAAATATAAGTTATCCTGAATATAATATTATGATACATGGAAAAAACACCTTCCTGTGTTGTTAAAATTATCTTTATAGAAACTTTAAATTTAAAATAATTCAACATTTAACTGAATAATTAAGTAGGCAACGAAACTCTCCTGCGGTAAAAGGAACATACCAATGGAGCATCCTTGCGTTATTTACTTGTTTTATTCACTGTGATGTATATATTATATGCCATATAGTAAGAAGTAATTTGCATCTTACATGACATAATTATGGCGGTGACAATCTTACGGACTACTTACTCCATGATACCTGGATACATACATCCACTAGTGAACATTCTAATTGCACTGTCATATTTCACAGACGAAATGTTATTGACATGGCGGATTACGAGGGTTATGGCCCTGTATAAGTTTTTCCTCGTGCCAGCTATAAACGTGATTGAGAATGATCTTATAGTATTTTTGATGGGTTTTACAGGTTGACATTATATGATCATAAGTTCGCTTAACTTTACAGGCCGCCATACCGTCCATCTACAAGCATGTCCTACCAAATAAGCAGAGTGGTAAGATACTATTAGTTGTATTAGAATATAATTTTGTATAACATTATCTCTATATCATCCTACTAAATTCAGATGGTTTTCATATCAACTATAAATGCCACTGCCAAATTGACGACATAATCATTAATGATATCTAAGCAGCTGTTCAATGATGTATTCAAATACATACAATTATTTTTTCAGAAAGTACTGAATTTTAATAAATAAATGTAATTTTCTATGAGATAAAAATATACAGAACGTAAAAAACCCATTAGAAGTAAACTCTTTACAGTCAGTGTTTCGTAGTAAATATAAAAGCCAAATGGAAAATGACATGTTCAACATGGTGTGCCAGTCCGATTCATGGAGTTTGTCAGTTCCAGTTGGCAGTAATATTGAACATGCATAACGCACACGGTCTATCACTGTTTAAGTTAACGCAGAGTCGTTTTATTCTAATGTTATATTCACATATCTAAAATGTAGATTTTGTATATCAAATAATGAAAATATTGAAGCCAACATTTCCAGCACCATTAGCAATTATTAACATATTAAATGTTTAAATCAATAAAGACAACATTCCTATCACCATTATTACTGATATAATCAGTCCAATAAAGGTATTAAGGCTCCAGCCAACGTGAGGGGGATGTTTGGTATTGACCAAGGATATATTTGTATAAGTATGACACGTTATCGGTATAATCCACAGCGGAGTACATGATAACACCGCAGATACTGTAGTGTGGTCAACTGATGTGGGGAACAAACAACACCCGCACTGACCAATCACCTTACATTAACCATCAGTTAAAAAGTTATTTTAAGATTAGCTCAACAAGTTATGCTCTAATCCCCTTAACGATACAAACACTTAATCCTTTATGTCGTAATGTTTGTTATACATATTAATAAAGGGTAAAAAAAGGAGGAAATAACTCTGCTCAACACTAGAGGGAGATCAGCCAGGGACTCTTATTGAAACTGAAACACGGAAACAAATAAGTGCAACTGGAATGCAGATTTTTTTTTAGTTTAGGTTGTTTATGCAGTTTACACGTATGTGTTTCACCTTGGGCTGATTATAACACATGACTGGATGAATCAACGTGTCCTGAAACAGAGACACTATCTATTACGCTGATAATATTGTACAGCTTCAAATTGCCTTCAAACTTAAATTGAATAATATTGGTTGATGTTTTATAATTTTATGCGATAGACAACTGTTAGGTCTAAATCAGTCACTAAGTTTTATTTTACAATCCTTGATTTACCTTTGTCGTATTGTGGGCGCTGGGATATCGTATAGTTATCCCTCCCACGCTCAGAGATTAGGCGATATGACGTGGTATGGGTTGGATATTGGAGGAAGTCAAGTAGTGATGTATTGGGATGACGGGTATAGCTCCTAGGTTAAGGGACAAGGATGTGTGGTTAGAAAACTATTTTTTTCAACACATTCCCGAAATGCAATCTCGATGTTGTAATCTTTATTGTAAAAAATCTTCAAACCTTTTGATTCTTTACATCATTTGGTGTTTCCAGGGAAAGCATGGTTTAATGAAATCTTGTCGGAGAGATATATAAAACACTTTCTCTTTTACCAATGAAATTTAAATTTAATTTGTATTTCATGTTATTTTACTACTTCATTCTGATGGTAACTTATAGATATATTTAATCTGTTGTATTTGTCCTGCGAAGGGAAGGTATATATATGTCATGTAAAACAGTTATTATCATCTTTAATACAAAGAGTATAATAATTTGATATTAACCTATTACCTCAAAAACATATCATCAACGAATCAGTACATTTGTGACCGTGAAGAATGAAAACAACGTTCACGTTTTGTAGCTTGTGGCATTCTGACCACATCGGTAAACACAAATAATGTGAATTTCAAATACAGTCTGACCAAGTATTCAACCTATCTACCCAGGTCAACCTCGACCGTGGTATATCTGTAATGAATGGTTTATTTATTGTACATACCCATGTCAACCTCGACCGTCGTATATCTGTAATGAATGGTTAATTTATTGTACATACCCGGGAATGTATAAGATATCACCAATTATGACTGGTGTGGACACTATCTGGCGAGTACAGTTTGTCTGGTGGTGGGAGTGACCACTGTACTCGCTATCTCGGACCACTTGTCTAGTTATTTGTATCTGTCATACGACAGCAGGTACGATAATTTATCACTAGGTTGCTGATTAGAAATTTTTGTAATTGGCTAAGATTCAGGTGAAATTTTCATGACCAATTACTTGTCACCAGGCCTATATCTTGTATGAAAGGACATCACATTGGCTTTTTAGCATGAACTGCATAAATTTCAGGTGAAATTATCATGGCCAATTAGTTGTCACCAGGCCTATATCATGTAGGAAGGCCATCTTACCGACTTTTTAGCATATACTTCAAACCCTCTCTATACAATCATATCCATAAATAAAAGAGAATGCCGAAGAGGGAAAAAACTGTAATTCGAACTGCGGAAAGACCCTTGAAAAATACTTCGAGAGCAAAACCAGATATTTAAATAGCTAAATATAAATACGTGTTAACGTAATCATACTTATTCTCTGAAAATATCGAAGATAGTAACACTTGCTAAACATCAATGTCCTTGAAATCTGTGAGCGACATTGTTAAATTATAAGAGAAAAATGATATCGTGGTCACATGGTTTAAGTAATAATAAAGGTCTTTTATGTATTCTTTAAAAAAAACACATCTATCTTGCCGCTCTTTGTCAAAACAGGTCTACACAAAATTATATTGTAAAGAGCACACGATTGGAACATGTACACCCTTCCACTCTGTAATGTCTCGCCCACGCTAAGGGATCCATTGATGACGTGCCAGGCGGTATTCAGTGGGATTTAAAGCGGTCAATTTACAATGTAGACGTACTTTACATCGTAGCTTTCTGATATGAATTCGATAGTACGAGTTAGAAGGTCATGTTTGCTTTGTTTGTTTACCCTATCGTCTGCCCGAACCAATATATCTGAACACCCGACACATATTACTCATACTGCCCTACCCGATAGTGTAGTTGTGCTGACTGTACAAAATTCACATTTTTACTGCACTAGGCTGTATGGTCAATAAACCATGTAACACTCAAATAAAGCATTTTATATTGATATTTGCTTGCACTTTGATGTCATATTTGGGGAAAACAAGTACGGGCAAGTACCAAAAAGGATAGGTACACAAGGTAATATAAAATGCACTTAGATATGCATTTAAAACAATATGCATTCATACATCTATATTAAACGAGAATATATTAAGATGATAAGAAGGATATGCAGTTATTTATGCTTTAAAGAGTAAATGCATTTTTACATGTAAAATAGAATTGATATGCATTTATACCTGTATATAAAATGATATGCATTTCTATATGAGTATTAAAAGGAGAAGTGTTCATACACTTGTATACAAAAGATACACACTCATACATGTATATGAAAAGAACCTCTTGTGTTATTATCTAGTTTCATGTTATATACGATAAACAGTTATTGCGTAAAACAACAGTATTGTTCGCTTTAACAGTATTGTATCGAATACTGTTAACATTTATGATATTAAATTGGATATTGGTCACAATAATGAAATATGGGGGAAAATGCAGCGATGGTTCTGATTCCAAAAGTCGATCGACCGTGAAGGTTTAAATAAAATATTGCAATCAATTGTTGAATACAAAATAAGATTTCGAACATAAATATAAAATGATTGAATATTGCAACGTTTGATACGCAATATGTTCCTGTGACGTATCCTCTTGATGCGTTCATATCAGTGATACATACCCTGTGACATGCTTGCTGAAATATACATATACACAGTACTTTCGCCGACGTTTGGAAGATTTGATGAAAACTAGATAATTAACCGTGTAAATGAAACTAGCAACCATTATACATTGCATTTGGTACTTGACCTTTGTAAAGAATTCATTTACCTAAAATACTCGATAGTCAAAATTTTGTTTCCTAAAACAAGACTTTTTAATACTTGTACGTTGTTAAGTAGAATTGTTCATTCCATTACAGAACCTTCCGGCAACTTACAGGATTCCTAATGGACTCCATGTAGGGAAGCAGATTATCATACGAGGCAGAGTCACCTGGGGCACAGATGTGTAAGTGTGTCAATTATACCTAATATATTCTAATGTGCACAAGCAATAACAATGTTTTTCTTGAAATGAGCAATATGAAGAAATACATTTTAGAGTCAGCATCGACAATTTTACTTGCAATAGTATAATTACTGATTTTAACACATAAATAGGTACATTGTATAGCATGAAGTGCATTTTCAATAGTATATGTTGAAACATATTAAACACAGGGACTGATCAAAGGAGTGTGATAAATAAAACATAACCTTAAAATGAAATGAAATCTTATATGGATTGGCTTGGTAATAGTGGCTGTATATGACGAATTCCAGATTCGCCATCAACTTACAGCAAGAGGAGAACCCTACCGACGGGGAAATCGCTTTCCACTTCAACCCCCGTCCCAGTGCCAGTACGTGTGTGCGCAACTCGTTCGCCGGAGACTGGATGGAGGAGGAGACTGACCAGCCCCACTTCCCGTTCGACGATGGGATGTCCTTCCTCCTCCGTATCGAGGTCGCTGAAGACGGATTCCGGACTTACGTTCACGGCAAACCTTACATCAACTTTGCACACCGGCTGGACTACGGCAACGTGCATTACCTACACCTGACCACAGGGGTGGAGTACTATGATATCACCTTTCAAGAGAGATACGTGCGTACCTAATTTGCATATTTTTTCACTAAATTGAAGTAAAATCTATCATGGCAAAACAAATTGCAAAATCTTAACCATTCTTGACCAACAAGCGATAAGTAACGTCTTATATCTAGTTAAAATATAATGTATGTATTTGTCCTTCACAATTTCAAAAACATGACTTGTTGAAAACAAAATTGAAATTTGATATCAATTATTTGCATTATTCTTTATGACTCATGCTTGACAAAAGGACCAGTCTGTCTTGAAACGTAGCGAGACGTCGAATACTTACACTATTGGTGCATAAAGTAACACTTTGATATTGAAAATTTCGAAACTGATAAATCTTATTGAAGATAACAGTGACATTAAATTTAAGTAATTAATTTGTGATGATTTTGTATTAGACACTGCCATACCGCACTGAGATTCCCGGTAGTATGAATGTTGGGAAGGCCGTCCGTGTCCGAGGAGCTGCCCAGGACAACGATGGGTAGGTGCTAAATGATAGAAGGACGATGGGTAGGTACGAGAGGATAGAAGGACGATGGGTAGGTATTAGATGATAGAAGGACGATGGGTAGGTACGAGATGATAGAAGGACGGTGGGGAGGTGCTAGATGATAGAAGGACGATGGATAGGTATTAGATGATAGAAGGACGATGGGTAGGTACGAGAGGATAGAAGGACGATGGGTAGGTACGAGAGGATAGAAGGACGTTGGGTAGGTATTAGATCATAGAAGGACGATGGGTAGGTACGAGATGATAGAAGGACGATGGGTAGGTACGAGAAAAAAGAAGGACGATGGGTAGGTGCTAGATGATAGAAGGACGGTGGGTAGGTGCTAGATGATAGAATGACTATGGGTAGGTACTAGATGATTAAAGGACGATGATCCGTGCTACATTCACAACAACACGGAAAAATGTATCCATTTAATATCCTGTTAGTAGGGAGATAATATCCTGTTAGTAGGGAGATATGAAGGTATGTTTCCTTTAGTAAATCATATTTTTCGCTGAGGTTTCGAATATGTCAATTTGCCAAATGCTTAGAAACATAAGCACACTTATGATTATGATCTCAGACTTATATATTATGACATGTACACACCAGTTTGTCATGTAATATGATTTACACACACTCATAATTAAGTATAACCGATTTTACATATGTTCCAGGTTTAGCATCAACTTCGGCTGTGATTGCGAGAATAATTCGACGGCCTTCCACTTCAATCCGCGTCCCACAGAGGGCGTGGTCATCCGGAACGCCAACCTTGGAGGCTGGGGAGATGAGGAGAGAGACTATGAAGCTGAGTTCCCCTTTACACCCATGAACTACTTTGACGCCATGTTTGTCTGTACAGATGACCAATATGTTGTACGTATACCGACAGGTCCATCCAGTTTTACGTCACCATCATATGGTCTAATTGTATTATTTAAATAAAAAACACTGACAAATACACTCTAATTTAAAGTTTTCGTTTAGTACCTAAGGGTTATTTAACGGGATTTTTTTTAAACGAACAAACACGTTTACAAGTTGTTACCGTTGCTTAAGGATCATAGTCTCACTAAGGTTTTTATCTGTAAGGAGTAATCTCCCCTTAACTTCCGTTTTGATATAACTGTAGAACAATTGGGGGAGGACACTTCCGTCGACCAGGTAGCTTCAATCGGTTAGAGCGATAGTTTCGCAGTGTGTAGTTCATGGTTCGAATGTGGGTTTAGCCACGAAATGTCTTTTTTTATGCTAAGAACTCTGTTGTTAATTATATCTTGTATAATTCATCTTAATCATTTCTGATAAATGTCCCGCAAACAATGGTTTTCTTTTCAGAAATGATTTATCAAAGCTGTAGTCACGACAGATATTTAGTTACAGTTTTTGGCAGTAGTACGAAGATCTTTAACAATTTTTTCATATGGGTAATTATAACATTCACGTGTTTTGATGAAAGGTCCATGTAAATGACAAGTACTTCACTAATTTTGGCCACCGCTGTGGAGTTCCAGACGCCAGTCATTTCCACATTCAAGGCAACATGGACATCAAGGACGTCGAGTACTACGAACCCTTGGTAAGGAATTCAAACTATTTTATCATGATATTCAATCTTCCTCATTTCCATGCAGAAAAATAAATTGACTTTAATTTATTGATTTTGTTTCAAGGTTTTCTTTTTATTTATGAAATATTCACAATATTCTTGGTAGGACGACGACTTTGTGAAGGAGATTCCATGTGGTCTTGAGAAAGGAGACGTCGTCTTCTTTAAGGGGTTTATGAGGCCAGGAGGTGATACGTAAGTAACACAACCAAGATGTTCAACTTCGTAAATAATACCATGATAAGCCTGATAGGCTGTTAATCAATCGATATTGTACAACAGATTCAGGGTTCCACTTCATTCCTTCATTGCTTCCTCTTGTAGTCAATATTCAATTCCTGCATACCTGACGTAATTTTAGGAAAAAATCTAAAAGAGACAGCAATTGTCAAACAATAGTTTATGTTAAACCTATGCATATCATCCATACGCATTAACTTCAATAACTTTTACATATTGCTTACTGAACATTTGAAATAAAAATCCGTACCCAAAGTACGACTTCTAATGAAATTGTGCCTCTTCATTCTCAAAAAAATAAATAAAAAATATATGAGGTGTTATCATAGAGGTAATTACATAATATTGTAACAAGAAATTATCAGTATGAAAATATTGGTGTCCGTGTCATTTACAGTAAAATTGAATATGTCAATTATTTTAGTTTCTCCGTCAACCTAATGAATGGACCTTCTGCCGACGATGACATCGCCTTTCACTTCAACCCTCGAGTGGGAGAGGGAGCGCTGGTGATGAACTGCCGGATGGGTGACTGGGGCGAGGAGGAAAGGGAAGACCTTCCTTCCTGTTTCACAAACAATGAACCATTCGAGATCAAAGTCGTAACAAAGAGCAGGAAATTCAAGGTACGATGAGTTTAGAATATCATATCAGATATTATGGAGGACTGATTCTACTTCCGCGTGATTATATATACTTTTACCTGCCTGACCTCATAATTTGATAACTGCACTATATAAATGATGGAATTATTTTAATCGCAAAATACATGCCCCTTGTCCTTAATGCTATTTTTGGTTTTTTTTATTCGTAATACGATATTAGCATAACAATATTTTTGACCTGGTCAACAGCTTTACGTGAACGGTAAAAAGGTTGCCAAATTTGACGCCAGAGGACAAGTAGGCGACATCAAGGGAATCAACGTCAGAGGTGATGCCTTTATATACCAGGCCAAGCTTCAGAGGAAAATGGTGAGAATACAATAATGTTTAGGTGTTCTCATCTCATATATCATGGTTCGGACGATCATTATTGACCTGTGGATTAACGATAAAGAAAACTATGTTCAACCAAAGATATACTTACAGAGTCACGAATATATTCAGATTCATTGATAACGACATTAAACATTCTTATTATTCAAACAATAACATATTTCAATTTGTAAGCATGCTCTAAGTGCATTCAATTCAGAAATATAGATTTCGAACCGTTAAGGATTAGAGTACCTGTCCGAATCAAGGCAAAACGCTGTTGTTTGGTGTGTTTTTTTAAATCTTTCCTCGATGAGTATGATCAATATATAAACCTTAACCTTAACCATAGGTCCATTCATCTACTGAGCCGCATACATAGTAGTAAAGGTGACTTTGGTACGGATAAATACAGCTACATATCGGTAACCCGAGCAGAGTTTGATTATCTTGATTGTTCTAGCACTAACGTTTCGACAGCTCTCTAAATAACGGCTTTCATGGAAAGTTCAGAACCCCTTTAATACTGACAACAATCAGCAGGAACCCTATTTATAATCTTTGCTACAAGCAAGTGTGCATTTTTGAACTCTTCCAAATCAAAGGTTGGAATTCAGGGGTGAATGGGTTAATAAAAAGTTTCAACAATGGTTTTTTTTAAGGAAAAGCCAGTAGCCATTGAGAGAATTCCGGGTGGTTTCCGTGAAGGAGGATGGGTTGTAATCCAAGGAATTCCAAAGAAAGGATCCGGAGGGTACATATCTTTTAAGAATATATTTTATGAAGCGTAGATATACGTTATATATAATTGTGTTTGATTTCTGAACATATTTGAATAAGTATTTCGTTTACAGTTATAACTCTTCTGCTTAGATAACCTAAAACACTAATGTTTATATTTTCGAAATATATGTGTTCTTTGACTCTCTTTTCTAACTACATAATTTCAATATCTATTTGATAATTTGATGAATATCTGACCTGAACGTTTTGTGTACACTCATTGTTGAATTATTAAACGTGTGCGTAGATTTGCAGTAAACTTGACATGCGGTGATGATGACGCTGATGACATTGCCATGCACTTTAACCCCCGATTGGAAGAGAACTGTACCATTCGAAACACGTGTACAGGAGGTGATTGGCAGGGGGAAGAAAGGGACCAACCAAGCTTCCCTTTCGAACTCAAGGACACATTTGAAATCGCCATCAATGCTCAACCAGACAAATTTGTTGTACGTAAACTACACAGAAATATACAGTTTTGTTGGAAAGCAAATTGTTAACCAGAACATGAAAGCATTAAGTACCATTTTGATTTGTCAGCTTCGGAAGTTATACGCTAAGCAAACCATTAATGCAATGCATTTCATCATGATATTATCCACACGGAAATAAACGCAGCAGCCACTGTGTGGTAAAATTGATAAACAGAAAACGCATCGAACTTTTAACAATTATAATAACTTGTTGGTTTTATGCACAACGAAATGTAAGAGAAAACATGCAATAACATCTTATCTAAAACCTTGTACCTTTCAGACATTCGTCAATGGTCAGAGGTACGTGGAATATGCCCATCGCCTCCCGTTGGACAGCGTGTGCCACTTAAAGCTAACAGGAGATGCTGACTTCTTTGAACCAGAGTTCTTCTAAAACCATCGTTAGTATATCTATGTTTCAGTTATGGCGTATGCCTTGTCTGTTTCGAAATTGTGTAAAAAGGATAAACAACCAGGAAAACTGCAAATGTCTTTGTCCACTTATTGCTATCCTAACAGAAAATGCCTATAAGATGCTAGATTTTCCAATGCATATATTGTACATCTGTTTTGCGTTATATAGTTTTCCATACACGTTTTGTCTCTTTCTTCCACAGCAGACAGTCCTGCGGAAACAGCACCAGAAAAAATAGAGCAAGAAGGGAGTAGACACACTAGTGAAACAGACTTTTCAATACATTCATGCCTCTGAAAAGATAGTATGCTGCAATTATTGCATGGACATATGACTATAGATGGACACCGTTCTAGACAGAAGGAATTAAATAACAGTGTATTATATATTATGTAACAGCTATGGTGTATCTTTAAATATATCAATATGCATGTATGAAGGATAACATGTATGCGCTTTATTTTACCGACGCAATCAATGAGAGCTTAGCACAATCTGTCCGAAAAAAGGTACTTAATGTCGTTATATCTGTGATTTATAATGTTAAATAAACTATTTTATATGACATCCGTATTTAGATTGTTTTATTTCGATATTACTGTTCTCACACAATATATAAAAAAAAGATAATGTATCTCTCCAACGCAGAACTGCTTCGGTCACATGCATAAAACAGATGCTTTTCTTATAAACAAGTTAACACAGACAAAAAAAATCAATTTATCGGTAAAGAACATCACATTATGTGCGAAGTGTAATTTCGTTAATATCCATTCAGTTACAATATCAGTTTTGGTCCTTAAACGTTAGATAAGTCTTGAGCCAAATCCCTTGTATCCATTTGGACAATACAACATGTTTCAAGTCAAACAACAAACGCACATTCAACGTAGGCATAACCAGAAGTTCCGGAGGTGTTTTCTACAGCACATGTGGCACTCGTTATTGTTACACCCGTCAAATCCTGGAGGTCACCAGCGATCTTAGTGAATTAGTGAGTAATCCTTTAACCAGGTAGGCACTGAAATATCCCATATCGATATAACAATATCTTAATAACGACTGTAATGTTACTTCAGCGTGAATACCTTGAACGAAAGGGTAAACAACTTTTTCTAGAGAATACAGTAGTCAACAGGACGCAATTTTCCTGATAGTTCTGGTACCTAAACCTGCTTCAGAATAGGGAATCAAGTATGGCATATACACTCATAAAGTAGGGGAGACTGAAAGTGAAGACAAGAAATTATCATATAATTGCTGTCATTGTCTGTTGTTTATCAAAGTCTGGTAGTGAGGTGACTATTGTAAATAAATGTTAAGATATGAAGATGAAGAAAAAAAATGTAATCTTTAATTCAAAATTCTTAACGAAAAATGAGGGCAAAGTAGTTTTTTAATGTGATATTAATGGATCGAGTAAATAAATCATATGACCAAGTAGGGAATCATGCAATAATCCGTTCTTTGTAATGTCGCTTGTGCAGACCGGCCAAGATGGGACAGAGAGTCGGATTTCGTATCATGACATAAACCTAGATCTAGTAGTTACATCACTATCAATCTTCATGACAACGTGATGACAATAATAAAACTAGCGTTATATTTCCTTGCTTATAAGCAACATATCAATCTCCCCTGTTTTCACGATTGATTCGCCTTTATAAGTATATAATTTTCTAGATAAATGCACCCTATCCACCGAATAACTATCTAGCCAGGGTTCTAGCGTTATAATGGAAATGTTTTGCTTACAATTAGGTTTAACTTTTTGATAAAACGAAGGATATCCCAGAAAAAAGCAAAACAACGCTAGCTAAAAGCTCGCAATGAAAAACATGTTCTACATTGAGAGATACCAGCGACACTGTTCATGAGTAAGTTGATTTCTTGATATCTAATTTATGAAGAACATAGTGCTAGTTATAACACTAGCTTGATCGGGACAGGCTTACTAGACTCGAGTTGTGTATTCGAGGTCTAGCGAGAGATTGTATATCATGATCTGAGTGCCAAGCTGGCTATTGTTGATAAGGACTGACCATACTACAAGGGAAATGCACAGATCGAATTAGTGCGGTATTTTGTCAGCGAGGCCTGGTGAGGTAGACATAATAGAGCGGCAGTCTATAAGTCCATGAATGTAACACAGCTGTTAAAAGGTTAGCTGGGTCCAAGACAAAGAAATGTGTACATTGGTGTAAATGTTGGGCTGAACTTCGTTGGGAATGTAAGATTTGTTTTGTTTTGAAATGTTAAAGCTTTTACGTCCTCGGAAAAGCTTATATAACATGAAAAGTGGAAAAACTGGTTAGGAGGAGAAACAAAAGAAGTGCGAATATATACAGTAGGGGCAGCTAATCAGTTGTTACTTCTTCAAATTCTCATATAAAAAGCACATAGTAGAAAACCGCTCAATTCTGTAGGGATTCACACATAAGTAGCCTCATATTATTACATACAGTTCGACCAAGGTATACTCTTTTCCCGAACCTGACGTAGAGGATAAATATAATCATCCTTATTCCTGTCATCCGTCAGAAATCTTACACCAGTCTCGATACTAACACTGAAAACGTTAGTAATATTGTTTCTGGCCATTACGAAAAAAATCTTATATTACTTGTCACTATACAGATCAAACTACTTTGGACGTTATGATTTGGTATAACCTTATAAAATATAACCTTAAGCAGTTAGTCCTTGGACTAGGATATTGAAATTCTTAGGGGAAAATGAGAGATCATCAACGGAGTCCGTCATGGACTCCAGGTGTTCGGTACTTTTTTTTTAGTTGTAGCATGATAAAATTATCGGGGACAGCGGTGGTCAAGTGGTTAAGGCGTCCAAAGGGGTTTAAAATTCTGACTCTAAATTGAGAAATAATGAGGGTATTACTTTAAAAAGGTACAGGTATGCAACGCCTCCAATAACAACAATAAAAAGACTTTGAAATCGGCAAATATATGGATTACACTCTTCCAATTGTTATATATCGATGCCGCAAACATTATTAGGCCCTCGCTAAACATAAATCCTTACTCACAGCTTTTAACAAGTTCTATTTCAGCTAAAATAGCTTCAAAACTTGGCATAGGACGTAAAACACAAACAAACCAAAATAAAACCAATGATAAAATCGGGACACAGCAGCACCTAGAGAGATATCTTTAGTTACGAAAAACTGATGACGCAACACAATACCAAGAGACTATTGTGTTTAAGAAAATTAACGCCTGGGTAACACAGGTATACGGGGTCATGATGTTTTCACACGTTTACACGCAATCTATCGCTGCATCATAAAAACAATCAAAACACCAAAATGGTTTTCTTAAAATAATTCTCGGCATATTTTATATCAAACAGAAGGGTCAACATTTTTTACAAAATCACCAAAAGTCTATCGCTTCATCGAACAACAATAAAAAAATGAAATAAATACCGAGAAACAAAATATTTCATTTGATTTTTTTTTTTGGAAAAGCAATTATAGTGATTTTTATATTGTTTAGATGCATGTTAAATACCTTAAAGGGACGTTCTGTTTTTTTGAAATGCTATTGACATGACTAATGTTGTTTCAATGCAGCGATAGACACGGTTTTACGTTAAACAAATACTGATGTTATGTACCTTTGCGGAGCGATAGCAAACACATGGGCGGAACTGTTCAAAATTGAAGTATCGCGTTAAATGCTGCAGATAAATAGTTACTGCTTATTTTGTTTTCATACAGCAGGCGTTCGGGGCAACAGGTACCCTGTAAACAGACATTAAGTCCATAGTTAATACAACATATCATTTGAGTGCGGATATATGCCTGATCATTATATTGTCTCTAGATAATATCGATGGGATGATCACATATGATTGCACACTTTATCCAACTAACAAAACTCTTAACGTATGAAGTTTACAAAAAAAAGTTTTTACAAAGTTAAAGTTGTCAGAGCTCTGTCAGCTGATACGACAAAATCCTTTTTCTGGAGAATGATTTGATATTTTGACAGCAGAGTCAATAAAACTAGATTTTAAGCTTGGGTGTTGTTGATATACAATATATCATAAATGACTGTGATTCATTGTAAATTCTAAGCTGAAGGATTATAGGTTCTCGATGTAACATCCAAACAATGTTTAAAGACAAAACTATTTCATGAAGCACAAACACTGTCTATATCATAGGAAAGATAGCGCGGTTATGAAAGGATAGAAAGCAAGATTCGTAAACTCGTTCCCTCAACACTGGATAGAAAGCAAGATTCTCAAACTCGTTCCCTTAACACAGAATAGAAAGCAAGATTCTAAAACTCGTTCCCTGAATACAGGGTCAAAAGCAAGATTCTAAAACTCGTTCCCTGAACACAGGATAGAAAGCAAGATTCTAACAATCGTTCCCTGAACACAGGATAGAAAGCAAGATTTTAAAACTCGTTCCCTTAACACAGGATAAAAAGCAAGATTCTCAAACTCGTTCCCTTAACACAGGATAGACTGCAAAATTCTAAAACTCGTTCCCTTAACACAAGGTAGAAAGCAAGAGTCTAAAACTCGTTCCCATTACATAGGGACAAAAGCAAGATTTTCAAACTTGTTCCCAGTACATATGCTATAATGCAGGGTTTTTCAAATCATTCTCATTACAAATGAAAGATAGCGAGGTCATCGGTCTCGTTTCCAGTACATAGGATAAAAATCAATGTTCTAAAAATCGTTCCCAGTAAATAGGGTAGATAGCGGGATTCTCGATCCCATTATCGGATCGAAAGCATGGTTCTCAAAATTGTTCCCAGTACATGGAATAGATAGCAAGGGTTATTGATCCTGTTAAACAAGATAAAAAGCAAAATTCTAAAACACGTTTCCAGTACATATACTAGGTAGCTGGGTTTCTCAAAATCGTTCCTATTAAATAGGGATTGATAGCGAGGTTCTTAATCTCGTTTCCATTACGTGGGATAGAAAGCAAGGTTCTCAAAATCGTTCTCATTACATAGGAGAGATAGCTAGGCTCTTATCCCGTTACCATGAAATAGGATCAAAAGTATGGTTTTCAAACTCGTTCCCAGTACACATGATATATAACAAGGTTCACGTTTTCACCATGTAAGATAGAAAGCCATGTTCTAAAACCCGTTCAAATTATACCGGATCGAAAGCAATATTCTCAAACTGGTTACTATTGCATAAGATAGAAATCGTGATTCGGAAACTCGTTACCATTTCATAGGACAGAAATCATGGTTTGAAACTCGTTCTCATTACATATTATGATTTTAAAGTCTAATGGGTTGGGAACGAATTAGAGATAATTTTAGCATATGCCACCGAAGTTATATAAGTCATATTGATTAGAAAATTAATATGGAAAAGATCATATGGAAGACACATCAATTGTGACGTTACCATGCTCATCTACAAACGTTACATACACGAGGTGTAGGTTGTGGTGATTTCCATCGCATATCACCCGGAAAATAGTTAATGGAAGATCAATCATTTACATTAGTGATTTGATAGTTCAAAGTGGTCACAGTCATCGGCAAATGTACAGGGGATAAATGGTAGGTGTTATATGTAAATTTTGTGTTTACATTGTTTTGTATGAATAGACTTCAACACTGTGGTAACCTGTAAGACATGTTCCGGTCTCTAAGTTGTGAACAGAATAGTAATACACTGCTGTTGCTATAATCAATTACCTCATTTTGCGTAACCACTTAAACAGGCAGGAAAAGTTGTCACGAAAGACCGTCGTCGAGACACTGGATAATTGTATGTAACTTTAATTGAAAAACATTTTCTGTCTGAAAATGCTGAGGACTGTGTTTCTACTCTTAATGTCAGTGATATAATTATTCAGGTTTTGTAGTTCCCAATTTGTGAAAATAACAAACTCTTTTTAAAGTCCATGATCCAGTTCAAAGCATCATCAGCTTAACGAGGGTAAAAATAACGTTTTAAACTGAGATATTCATACTAAAATCACGTTTACAAAAACATCCTTTTGCTACTTTAAAGACTCGTTCGTCTAACCAGACTTTGACCAACAGGCATAAGGCAGAATGCAACAATTAAAAAAAAATCAAAAAAATCAGGATGTATCAGGCATGCGTTGTTATGTAAGTATTTTTCCTATAATGTACAAGAATAGATACATGCTGAAATAAAGCAAAACGAATTTGAATGTATGCGATGTAAAGTGGTACAGCCATGACAGTACCAGTTTTAACATATGAAGGTCACTGCATTTGAACCATTAACACCACTCTTTTTTTCTTTTCATAATCACAAAGTTATCATATTCTGTATATCTATATATGGAAGTATATGAATCAGATGGCTGAGCTGTACGCGTGATATTTCATCGCCCACAAATATCGTGTATTTTCTGTCGCTGAAAAATACCAGGCATGATCATGTCACTCGACTATGCCACTTAGCCAAGACGATTGCGAGCATTTTAAGAGGTATCTATTTTTTATGTGTCTAACACTTTGAATGTGATTGATTCGAATTTATAAAATCTCAAAATGTATGCATCAGAATACGAAAGTCTTTTTAAGCAATGAAAAAATTGTTTTGATTTCAGTAAAAGGTGTTTAATCTAAAATCTTTAAAGGTAGAAACATGAACGGTAAATGGACAAACGAGAATTACCAATGAGAAATCTCTTGTGATTGTACTATGGAGCTAAGGTGTGATTTTCCTTGAAATGCCATGGAATCACTATACTCTATTTAATTTTTGCACGAGTATAACATCGATTAAGCTAGCAGCTTGAACATATATAGTATACATCAAGAACTCTATGTTGTTATTGGGAAAGCAAGGTTCTTAAAATCGTTCTCATTACATAGGAGAGATAAGGAGGCACTTATTCTCGTTTCCATTAAATAGGATCAAAAATATGGTTTTCAAAATCGTTCCGAGTACACATGATATTTAACAAGGTTCACAATCTCATCATGTAGGATAGAAAGCAATGCTCTAAAACCCGTTCAATTATGCTGGATCGAAAGCAATATTCTCAAACTGGTTCTTATTACATAGAATAGAAATCGTGGTTCGGAAACTGATTCCTATAACATAGAATAGAAATCGTGGTTCGGAAACTGGTTCCTATTACATATGATAGAAATCGTGGTTCAGAAACTCGTTTTCATTGCATATAATAGAAATCATGATTCGGAAATTCGTTCCCATTACAAAGGACAGAAATCGTGGTTCGGAAACTCGTTCCCATGATATAGGATAGAAATCGGGGTTCGGAAACTCGTGCCCATGATATAGGATAGAAATCGGGGTTCGGAAACTCGTTCCCATGATATAGGATAGAAATCGTGGTTCGGAAACTCGTTCCCAAGATATAGGATAGTAATCGTGGTTCGGAAATTCGTTCCCATTACATAGGACAGAAATCGTGGTTTTGAAACTCGTTCTCATTACATAGGACAGAAATAACTGTTTGAAACTCGTTCTCATTACATAAGTCTAATGGGTTTGGAACGAATTAGATATAATTTTATCATATGCCACCAAAGTTATATAAGTCATATTGTTTAGGAAATTAATATGGAAAAGATCATATGGAAGACACACAAATTAAGTTCTTTCTAGACATTGTGACGTTACCATGCTCATCTACAAATGTTACATACATCAAGTGTAGGTTGTGATGATTTCCATAGCATATCACCCGGAAAATAGTTAATGGAAGATCAATAATTTACATTAGTGATTTAATAGTTCACAGCGAAGGTAAAGCTTGTACTTGAAAATGAAATCGTATATTAACCTGTACTATGATAGATAATAGAGAAGGAAATATAATAACTCGCACGATGATAGACAAACATTTTGATCAATGAATAGGGAAATATTAAATCGATCGTGAACAGATGTTGGAGAAACGTGTTGCATATATGCAACTTGAAAACAATGTCAAAAACATTTAACGATCGATTTACAATGCACAACAATGCAGAGGTATGCAACAATTTTTTTGTGTAAATTACGTTCAATCCAGTAAGCACAAACCATTACCTTCCCGCAATTCTTCCATCAATACATGCATAGAGTGAGACGTAGATGTAAGGATATATGCTTTGAAAAGAAAACCAGTGTATCCACGCTATAAATAACCACCCAATCCTATTCATACACACTCCTGTACGCTGTGGAGCACGTCATTAAACTACACTTTGCTCACCACAAGGTTTGTCGGAAGCCTCTAGATCAACACGTTCCCGTTCAACTCCCCGGCGACATGTTAATTAAACTACCCGTACACGTAAGTATATGTTGTGAACTTGGTAAGAATGCGAAACGTTTACTTTCTAAAAGAATGTACATTTTGTTGGTTAATCTTCAAATTCGTCTGCACAGGAATTTCCATCCGCGGCTAATGTTGCCTGTCTGTTATAATGCACATTGCCGATGTACGCAGGAGAGGATTGATCAGTTTAGATAAACCTGCATGTAAGTATGCAGTTTCTGCATCAGTGTATTCATAAACATATGGTATCGGGCATCATCTAAATACACGTATATTATAGCGGTTATGCTAGTAACACAAGACTGTAGTATTGCTTCATCGATATTGATACTTATGTTTTGGTGAATGATTTGATTAACTGTTGCAGGACCTAGGAGGAGATGTGTTAGCCATTCCTAATGGCCTCCAGCCAGGCAAAGTGGTCACAGTCATCGGCAAGTGTACAGGGGATAAATGGTAGGTGTTATATGTAAATTTTGTGTTTACATTGTCTTGTATGAATAGACTTCAACACTGTGGTGACCTGTAAGACATGTTCCGGTCTATAGGCTGCTAACAGAGTAATAATACACTGCTGTCGCCATTATCAATTACCTCATTTTACATAACCACTTAAACCGGACAATATGTCGCTCAAAACCGTCGCCGAGACACTGGATAATTGTATGTTTCTTTAATTGACAAATATTTTCTGTCTAAAAATGCAGAGAACTGTGTTTCTAATCTTAATGTCAGTGATATAATAATGCAATTTTTATAGTTCCCAAATCGTGAAAATAAAAAAAACTCCTTTTAAAGTCCATGACAGAGTTCAAAGCATCATCGGCTTAACGAAAGTAAACATAACATTTTAAACTGAAATATTCATACTAAGTTCACGCGTTTACAAAAACATCTTTCTGCTATTTTATAGACTCGTTAAGCTAACCAGACTTTGACCAACAGGCCTTAGTCAGAATGCAAATTGCAACAAAACAAACAGGATGCATCTTTCCTATAATGTAATTACCGGTGTCACGTCGATCAAAGTCACGTGTAAGCCACTCCTTAAATGTATCCCCGATACACCATCACTTATATCTTACTGCTTTGTCTATTACGTGTGGAGGAAAGTAAAGTGCAATGGCATTCATGTTATCATAAAACAATATCGATATTGTACTGATCATAACAATGTATATGAATTAATATGTTCTTTGTTTTTAATTCAGAAATAATTCTCTACGTTTGATACCCGATCACTTTCTGCTTTTGTCTGTTCTTAACGAAACTGTGTGTCGATTTTCTCTTGTACGTTAACGCCGTGTTATATTTTACCTTTGTGTTATAACGTTGTGAAAAACAAACTTCCTTGAGTTTTTAATGTGACGGAATATTTTCCGTCATCTTGTTTTGTGTCGACGCAGTGGTATATCTTGTTTTGTGTCGACGCACTGGTATATTTTGTTTTGTGGCGACGCAGTGGTATATCTTGTTTTGTGTCGACGCAGTGGTATATCTTGTTTTGTGTCGACGAAGTGGTATATCTTGTTTTGTGTTGGCGCTATGGTATATCCTGTTTTGTGTCGACGCAGTGGTATATCTTGTTTTGTGTCAACGCAGTGGTATATCTTGTTTTGTGTCGACGCAGTGGTATGTCTTGTTTTGTGTCGACGCAGTGGTATATTTTCCTTTCGTGTTAGCGCTACGGTATATCTTGTTTTGTGTCGACGCAGTGGTATATCTTGTTTTGTGTTGGCGCTACGTTATATCTTGTTTTGTGTTGGCGCTACGTTATATCTTGTTTTGTGTTGGCGCTACGGTATATCTTGTTTTGTGTCGACGCATTGGTATATCTTGCTCAAGTATCTTCTTGGCTATTATTCTGTACGTTTGCATATGCAATGTAAATACGTGTATTTGTTTACACTTTTGTTCAGTTTCTTGTCTTTTTTTCCTCATTTCGTTAGTTTCTTCGTCTATTGACACACAGATGTAGCTGTCACACGACATACGTGTTTATTACAAAATTCGGTTATTTGTTTTTAAACGCTAGTAGTTGACGACAACATGCGGTTAAAACAATAAATTCGTAATGCCATGTGTTGTTTCGAGTAATTATTCAGCGGTGATAACTTCATTAGATTATTTGAAATAGGAAGGACATGTATTGTGGTAGATATTGAAGACACGAATGAGTGTGAATTGTTTCACTCTTAACTTTACATCGAGCATGTTGAGGTTTTGAAGATCTGTACATGTAATCATTTTCCTGAAATCAAGTTGTGATCAAACCGAACAACTTTAGTCTGAGCGATTTGAAGTTGTTACTTAAGCCTTTTTGTAACCCTTCAAACAAGGATGAATAGACATAATCGAAGTGGCATTGGATGAGAGCAGAGCAGAAAGTTTTTTCTGGTTCTATGGGAAAGGCAAAAATGTTGATCTCTGATTAACTTCCTTGATAATATGGTTTACTGTTAGTTCACCTGATACAAATCCATCTGATAGTACACCGAGGTATTTTACTCATGGCTGGAATTCAATCTTGTTGCCATGACAGGACACTGAGAACAAATGTTCTGGTAGGTTTCTTAATTTTTTGTTTGGCGTCGAAAAGGATACTTTCAGTTTTTCAACAAGCCAATCATGCAAAGATTCTTACACTTTTGATTTTGAGAGATGACAAGGGGATTTTTTTGTGAAAATAATATTGCACTATCGTCTGCACAACAGTGGTCCGCATATCATTGATATATACAAAAACAATTGTAAGAGTCCCTATAAGCTACCCGTGTGTATGCAACACAGTACGTCACCATTCTCAGAGATAACATTGTAAGCATTGACAAGTTGATATATATTTTCTAGATAAGAGATAAACCATGGAATTGAGTTAACGCCTATTGTAAAATCATACATTTTCTTGGGACATTAAATTTGAAATATAATGTCCTTGAAACCGGCTAGTATATATAAACCACGAAATTTTGACCCCACAAAAATAAACAATTCTACAGTATAGTTTTTATTTTTTTCACATAGAATGCTTTTGTGAACGGTATCAAAGGCCTTCTGAAAGTCCAATAAAACAATTCTGGTGTATAGTCCTTTAGCTGTTTGAGACTTTATGTTAAGGATGTACTCTTCTGAGGTTTCAATCACGTTCAAGTCTCGTTTTGATCTGGTGTAACGGGTTTTTGTAATATTTAACAAATTATGATCAAGTTTATTAGCAAACACGCATCTGAAAAATATGTCAAAAAAAATACCAATTCGACGGCCATTTTGAAAATGTGTACTAATGTGTATTTCTTGGGCTTCAAAAAAGGCAAAAAATTCACCTTTTTTGATACTAGATTGATCACTTAAGTTGTCATTGTGTCGCCATTTTTAATTATAGCAGGTTCAATTTTGCTGTACAATTTTATAATGTTTAATATGATAAAAATAATAGTCAACAAACTGGAATATTATACATTATTGATATGTTTTTTACATATTTAGTGGGGAGCACTTTTGATTTTTGACCCCGAAAAAGGTAAAAAATAACACAAATGATAATGGGACAAAAAAAGAAGCACACCGACCCCCCACTTTTGTGGATGTTTTCGAAAGAGAAACACATTTTCTTTTAATTCATTAAATATTAAAAAAGGTTTAATACCAGAACTTTTTATATCAAGTGTTCAATCTGCAAAAAAGGGTAAAAAATTAGTATTTTTTCATTAAAAAATAGGGGGTAGGGGTAACTAAAATCGGCTTTCTGAGTTAAAAGAATAAGATTAAGAAATTTTACTTACATAATTTAAAAGAAAATAATATTTTTGTCAATTCTACAAACATTCATACATATCTGATAACACACTTGGAAGAAATTGTATGAATTTGTTCCGCAAATGGTCAAAACCCAAAAAATCACCTAAAATCACATGTTGTGTTAAATTGGTATCTTTGAGCGATCATAGCACAAAAACGAACACACCGACATATAGTTTTTTTTGCATTTTCTACTATGCCATTTACTCCTTTTTCCAAAAATGTATATAAGAAAAAAAGTTTAATACAGGAAATTTTTGACTTCTCAGAGGTGTACATCCTTAACTAGATGAAACCTCTGAAACCTGACTGTAGTTCGTATAGCAAATTATTAGCTTTCAAAAAAGTTTCAAACTGCTTGTAAACATTTTTTTTCTAGAATTTTAGATACTTAACTAAGTATACTGACGAAAAGATCCTTTTTAAATATTTGTTTTACTTTTGTCAATTTTATATCGTCTGGTACCTTACCCTCTGAGATTGGCCTATTAATCAAAAAGGTATGAAAGAAGCAGCATCGTTTGCACAATACTTGAAAACGATTTCTTCCGAGACATGATTTAGGTGTAACTTTGGTTGATTGGGATTTCTTCTAAGATCAAATGCCTTTACCGACTTAGAACTGGGTCCCCTGAAAACTGACCATGATTCATTGAGATCATTTGGATGGAGACATTTCTTCCATCAATTAGTCTAGAGAGATTTGTTTTAGTTGCCCTTATCCTAATATTGTTGTGTTGATTAAAAAGTTGCAAGGTGATTTTCTGTTGCAATATGTTAGGAAATGGTCGCTAAGATCAAGAAGCAAAACTCCTGATTGACAGATATTTTCTTTGGGATTTACATAGGATATGATCAATAAGGGAACTGGAAGTGTACGTTATTCATGTAGCTGCAGATATTAATTGTTCTAGGCAAACTAATTTTGAATTGCTGTTATATAAATTAAACACTGGACTCTTCTGGTAAAGGAAACAGATATTGAAATCATCTACTATCATTACTTCACAATCGGATCTTAGATTTAGTAAGTATTTTTTCCAACTGTTATTTTAACTGACGTTTTCTCATTTCAGGTTTACGATAAACTTTCAGAACCAGGACGGCGGTAACATAGCACTTCACTTTAACCCTCGTCCAGACAATGGCGTTGTGGTCAGGAACTCGTTCAGCGATGGTGCTTGGGCAAACGAAGAACGGGATCAACCAAGCTATCCGTTCACTAGCAACGTCGATTTTACCGTCACATTCGTTGTGACGAACGAATGCTTTAAAATACTCGTGAACGGAGACAAATTTTGTAATTTCAATCACCGCCTATCTCATGGTGAAGGTAGTCATTTAAAGTTAGGCGGGGCGGATTTCCACGAGGTCCATGTTTTAGATAGATATGTAAGTAATGAAATAACATTAACAAATATATTCATGGTACTACTACAACACATCGAACGGTACAAATTGTAGCAATTCCATATACTTTATATTATACTTTGCATATACTATACACTAAATTTAATATAATATGTACTATACATACTTGAACTATGTCATACATAAATTGGTAATATTTTGCTATATTTGCTATATTTGCTTTATACAATATATTTGTTATTCTTTACTATTTACCATATACCAGACTGAATATGTTATACACACGCTCGATTTACTTTACTATATTTACTTTATCATATGCATTCCGTATGCTTTATACACTATACAGAATGCTATACTTATACTTTATTTACTCTTCTATATAATCATATGATTTCAGTTGTCCAGTTGGATTATCCGCTAAAATTTCATGAAACATCTATAATATCAAATGGATAAGTTGTATTCATATATTTTTTACATATGTTTAAACACGCTGGTATTTTTTTCTTTCTTGTTTATGTTGCTTATGATTTTTTTTAAGTTTCCTGTCTCTTGATATCGCTGCTGTATTTATCACCAACTGTTACCACCCTTTCAGACCAATGGACATAACACACCACTCCACGGCGGACTGAAGGACGGAAAAGCCATAAGAGTTCTCGGCGCATGCCAAGACGACTCCGGGTAAATTGTCACTTTATTAAACAAGTTATACGGTCATTGTTATTTCCATACTTCCTGAATTTTCCATCTAGTACAAAATTGAAGCCAAATGAAATACACAATAGGTTTATTTGAGCAACTGTCTGGATAAATATTCTTTATGAGTTATTCTTACTAAACTAAACGCATTTAAACGTGTTTCTATTTATTTAGATTTAGTCTCAACTTCATGAGTGGAAGTGATTTCGCCTTCCATTTCAACCCCCGTCCTGCAGAGGGAACTGTCGTGAGAAATAGCATGTTGGGCGGGGGATGGGGTGAGGAAGAAAGAGAATGCGACGGTTTCCCCTTTGAAACTGGTGCCATTTTTGACGCCATGTTTCTCTGCAGCGGTGACGAATTTACGGTAAAGCTATTGAATCTGAAGTTATTCACTGATGAATCATTATCATTTAAATGTACGTATCATTTTTTAAGTAATAACATTTTTGCTGCAGGTTTTCGTGAACAACAAAGAGTACCTGACCTTTGCTCACAGGTGTGACTGTTCTACAGTCACTGATTTCCAGGTGCATGGGAAGATTGACGTCAAGATGGTCCAATGTCTCACAACAATGGTAAAGCAATGATGCGAAAATCACACAAGACTAAACTGTATAGTACATTTTTATACTCTTAACACAATCAACTTCAAACATGTTTATTTTGTGGTTTAGTGTAAAAGTATTTTTTCGAATGCAATGGAGTTTTCATTTAAACGTATCAAAGAATCCACGAAACAGAACCAAATCACATCGGCACATTATATTTATGATAGACTTCATGTTATTACGCGTAATAAATCACCTTCAATACATCAACTGTTATAAGACGATTTAAGCACTATGTAACTTTCTGTATCTTGGATAAAATGCTCATTAACGTTATGGTATTGTGTGAACTACAAAATAAAACTGTCTCAGCTTTAATAGAAAAGTTGTGTACTTTATTTTCCAGTAAAGACAAGGTAACAGTATACAGTAGAGGGTTGTGGCCATGGGTGATATTTTTGTTAAATGGCTAACCCCTGTATAATGATATGTAAAAAAAATTTAAAAATAAAACTGTACTAAAATTGGTATAAGCATGATGAAGTGGGCTATGTGAGCTTCACATTTGTAAAAAAAGTTTTTGGTTCGAGATCAAAATTTTGGCCATAATTCCAAATGGTGCCTACACATGAAATGCTGCAACCAAGTAGGTAATCTTTAATTTCAGACAGAACTTAGGAAAAAAAAAACTAGTTGCGGGGGTCAAATTTTGGGTCAAAAAAAGCAATTTTGGTATTTTTTGGTAATTTTTGATGTGGTAACCATGGTTTTCACACAAGTGACATGTATAGAAAAAAGAGGTTTATACACTTCTTAGTACTTTATACGTATTGTAAATGTAAGTTTACAAATATATATGCATGTATACATGTGTTGTATAGGGTAAATCCGCTGTGTTAACAATTTCTCGACATGTGCCTTGTTTATCAGAGTCTGGCCATTTCTACTGTATTCTGCTACCCCAGGCCACAGTTCATAAAACATCTTGACGATAAGATAATTTTCTTAATTAAAATTTCCACATACAGAAAAACTGTTTTGTTAGCTGGAAAACTCAACTTGAGCTTAAGGAATGTTCGTATATCTTAAACAAATGTATTCAGGCTGAGGAACGCTTGTTAAAACGGGTCCCGATGAATATAATGACGCTGTTTTCATTTTAGGATGATGGGTATGTAAAACCGTTACCATTCGAACTTGGCCACAAAGAACAGCTAGTCTTCCGAGGCTTCATGAAGAAAGGTGGAAACAGGTTCGTCAGAAATATTATATATATAGTAAACCATATATATATATATATTCGATTTGTTTGGCTCATGATACTAAATAAGGCATTATCATCTAACATATATCCTGCTTTTAGACTTTGTCGATCTGTCTATGTTTCTTTGTTTGGCTTTAGTTTTCAATAGAACTGAATGTTATAAACATATGTTACAACAGTGTATTATTATTGGATTATTGGTATTCAGATGTATCTCTGAAACAATGCACCATATGTCACTGTATTTACATTTTTGAATAAACCTACAATAGCTTAAGAAGTATATAATTATCAGGCTGACGTATAACGATGTATAACCAACTTTCAATAAATGCAATCAATAAAAAACAATACGTAGATAAGTGCTATAATAATAATGGAAAACAGTTTCAGACTGAGTTTGGGTCAATAATAAGTGACTTCATTTAGTTTAACATCCTTCACCCTCCGTGTTATATATGTGGCTTGCTTGATTTATAGAAAAGGTGTTATGCATGGCTGTGAGTGCATATATGTGGAAGCAATGTAAACCTAATAGGAAACAAGAGTAGACTGGTCCTTACCACACAGAACATCGTGTGCCAATTGTTAACTTCCAGCCATTGTCCTAACCACACAAAACACCGTGTACCAATGGTAAACTTACCACACAAAACACCGTGTACCAATGGTTAAATTACCACACAAAACACAGTGTACCAATGGTTAACTTAACACACAAAACACCGTGTACCAATGGTTAACTTACCACACAAAACACCGTGTACCAATGTTTAATTTACCACACAAAACACTGTGTACCAATGGTTAACTTACCACACAAAACACCGTGTACCAATGGTTAACTTCCAGCCAAGGGATTCACTTTTACAGCATCAAACCAAAACATGCATGTGATGTATCCTTCAAAAAAGCAAGAACCCTTTTTCAATAAAAATGTGTCCACCATGTTAACTCTAAGGACAGTATAAACATCGTTTTTTACGGATCATTTTGATAACACCATAACTCGATAAGATTATTATAATCGATAGTTGTTTTATTAATGTAAAAACCTTAAGATGTGGCTTTCATACTACATACATGGGCACTGATTACATCAATTTATCTTGATCTCCAGGTTTGCAGTTAACTTTTTCGAAGGCTCTGACACCGACTCTGACATTGCTTTTCACCTGAACCCCCGAGTCGACCAAGATGAGGTCGTAATGAACACGAGAACAGGGGGCGGATGGGGAACTGAAGAGAGGATTCCTTTACCCTCGGTGTTCGGAACCAATGATGTGTTTGAACTTAAAATCATCTCAAAGAAGAAAAAGTTCAAGGTAAATCAACATGAAGTATACTTATCGCACGAATCGTGAAATATTAGCGCACGTTGATACCTGAAACAAATTATGAACATTCGTGAAATGCTTTTTTGACGGAATTCAAGAATGGCTTAAGATGCGAGAATTTCTTTATTCATAGGTTGTTCTGGATGGAGAGACGTTGTGTAAATATCGATGCCGAGGTGAAATGAATGAAGTAAAGGGCATCGGCATATCGAATGGTGACAGTGTGCTCTACATGGTGGATGGACGACGCAGATTGGTACTTAGTGGATGGCGTCATTAAATTATCATTATTATCATTTATTTAAACACACAATCTGGTTAGAAGAAACACACATGCTCCATCAAAATATCATATGTTGATAGAGATATTATTTTAATGCGTTCTACTATGGAAAAGTGTATAAATTGCAACTTTTATCATGAAAAAAAAACAAAAATCAATTACCGGTATATCAAATATCTGAGTTGCATAAAGTCATGAAAAACGGTTTAAAACGAAAGAAACAGATATTGAATTATGTAAATATATGTCATGAGCTTTTCATATTTTGGTTCGCATAACCCTAATTCATGTTCTTTTAAAGGGGAGCCGGGAGCACGTCGTCCTTTCTGATCCTCTCGTAGAGGATAGCTGGGTTGTGGTTCGAGGGAAAATAAAGAAAAACGGCAACGGGTATGAACATTCTATATTTCGTACTTTTTGTCTACCTTTTAATGTATACAGTTACATGAACCCAGATAATTAGTATAGCAATAGATTGGTCCCGCCCGCCCGCTTACTTTATCTACTGACTACATTTTGGTCCCTTATGTCCACTGATAATATTTCGGTCCCCTACATCTGTTAGGCTATATGAACGTCAATACGTCGATTTCTTGTGCATTATTCTAAACCTATTTTACCGGACACGCTTGAGAGTGATTTAAGTATGATTTCCCGGAGTCATCGTTCAATTGACATGGACTTGACAAGGTCCTTATCAAAAGTGGATCATTTGCAGTTAAATATCAGATGTTTCCATTTAATCACGTCGTGGGCCGTCCATGTTCAGTTAATGAAAATAGCGAGTAAATTTGGTTTAAACTATTTTTGTTTAATACAAAACACACAAGCAAACTTGATGAGGAAAAAAGTACTTGGTACATATATAAATCCTTCCCATCTTTCTAACAAACTAGTGGCCTTATAATAGATTACTACCATTGATAACACTAAAGGTACATATAAACAAATGAAGAAGAGTAGATTTAAACGTCATAACATATTTTCTCCCCTTTTCTACTTCTCTTGTCGATATTGATAACTTCTACCGGTATACTGGCTACATCCGTCGTCGACGCATTACTTAATGGTATGAAAAACATACCAAGTTTATGTTTCACATTTTTTGTGTTTTACCTCTGTTCGTGTCCTAGTTGTTCTGTATGGCGTTTTAGAGGTGAAAAGCATCAATTTGCATTTTGATAGGTATATTTCACATTCCATAAATATCTATTTCCCCCCGCAGAATCGCCGTGAATTTCCTGGTAGGAGATGCCGCCGATGGAGACATCGCCTTCCACTTCAACCCCCGTATTAGCGAGGGCTGTACTGTGCGCAATGCATGCATAGGTGGGGGCTGGCAAGACGAGGAGAGAGACCAGCCTGATTTCCCATTTAAACAGAGACAGGAGTTTGAAATCACATTTCAGATAAAGCAAGACAAATTTTCGGTAAGTTGGGTTTTCCGAAATTGTTTCCTTTCTATTAAAATTTCTGGCAAAACTCGTTATCAGAAGTTAGCCGACCTCGTTGGTTGGCATGCGTTGGGGTGAAGACGCGTAAAAGGACCTAAGACGAATACCAACAATATTAAAATTGTCACACAAACAATTCAAAAACTGCTTATTCACTATCCCTGTCCTTGGCAATCGAGCACACTTTTGAGATCACTTAAATGCCATCTATTGAATATCTGTATAGCGGTACACTTATCAGCATACCGGGGGGAGGGGGGGGGGGGGGGGGGGGGGATATCAAATATAATTAAGGTTTCTTTTCACTCAACAAAAAAAATAAAGGGTCTTTCCAACAATTGTCAGACAGATGAAGATCATATAAAAGAAGGTTGAACTGATTGTGCTCTATTAAGCTCTGGAAATCAGCTTGATGTGGTATTGAAGTGGTATTTACATGCATATCGCATTGTTATTTTTCAGTGTTATACAGTTCAAAAGTTGTTTTGCATACTACAAGTATATCGAAAGTATTTATTGTTCTTGTCAAAAATAAGAAATACATTTAATAGATTTTCTATTGTTCATTAACTTCGATAGAAATCATTCTAATGCGTATAATGCTAAATGCCATCAACTATTTTGTTACAGACTTTTGTCAACGGAGAACCATACATAGATTTCAACCATCGTGTCGGTTTGGACCAGATTGGAGCAGTACAACTGACGGGAGACGGCAATTTCTTTGCACCTGAGGTTTTGTAGAACTACGGTGGTCATATGAACGTTGATGTAGATTACTCCAACTGCTTGTGCTAACAAATGTGCATTTCACCTCGCTTCTATTGTATACAGTCAGCGATAGCAATCACAAAAAACAGTCAAGTGTGTTAGTTTTTTTATTTTCTTTTATATATGCTCTTTTTTTATGAAAACAGTTTTCTTAATTACCATAATTTGTTCAGTCTGAGTTCTCGTTCTAAATAATGTAAAAATGTAAAAAAAAAATGAGTCCTACATTTGTGGTGGAGTCGGGTAGATCGGGTCTCGAACATTCGGAAATTCACTTACTGAATACTAAGTTTAATCGGAAAACAATTCACTTTTTATATGTGACTGTATGGACTTGGTAAAGCTGTTTTACTATACAAAATATTTTTATCAAATAACGTGTTCTAATGCTTCTGTACGAGTCACTAGGAAATACCCAGTATCCCGGCTAAAGGAAGACATTCTATTATAATCTTGTCGTTCCAAGTATGACATCACATCAGGTCGGATATTACACCAGTATTTCAGTTACAGGAAGTATTCATATGGTGATTGAGCCATGTAAAGGTGTCTATATTTTTTATTAATAAAATATTAATATCCTTAAACGTTTCGTTTCTTTTATGTAAATATGTTAGTCAGAAGTCTGGCCTTTGTTATGTCCACGCCTTTTATAACTATATTTCACTCGATCTACTGTGAAAATAATAAAAAAAAACTTATTTAGATGTTAAAAAATAGCTAGTCGGCTGAGTCATGAAAATAAAAGAATAGCACTATATTCCAAACACCAATGACCTAATCAGCAAACTTCGGGGACTTACAAACGAATTACACTGCACCATACAGCTGTTTCGGCCATCTAAGAAATACAGGCGACATCTTGTTTTGTCATGAAATACCTAAAATATCATCATCAGAGTGACATATTTATATGAATATTTAATGTTCCGTATTTTTGTCTCATGGCCTTTTTGTTTAATTATGATATTGACTCATATATATCAAATTATCAATCGTATAACGTTTTTAGTTTAAACATATCTTATTGTACAAATACACTAATGGATTCGACAACAAGTTATTACAACTTATTAAAGTCCTCTCCTAAACACATATGGTAAATACAGTGTATATGTTTTTGGGGAACGGGAGGAGGATAGGGTGGAGAAGGAAGGTTGTGGAGGTGGGGGTGAGGGGTTACCCAGAAAAGAAATCGTGTTAACTGTGAAAAGGATCCGCATTTGAATAAATGATAAATTATACAAAATTGCATGACATGTAGCCTGGTATAAATTTTATAATGAACAAGATCAATGTAACAAAGATATCAGGCAAAATAATGAAATGCAATTTCATAAACATATATAACAACGTACACATATAAATAAAAATAAGGAATGGTAATTATAATTATCAAAACCTATTGCTGGATTTGATGTAATGTCAAACAATTTTGTATTGATTTCTACCGAAAGTTGAGTATTACCAAACAAAAGTAATTCTAAATCAAAATCAACATGCAAGACATTTAAATTTTGGAAAAGGATGCGTCTTTTGTCGTTAAACAGTAAGCACTCACAAAAAAAGTGAAAGGCATTTTCACAGGGATGGCCACAATTACAAACTGGACTATCAACAAGATTTACTATATAAAGATCATATTTAAATGGACTACACTGATATCTAAGTTTTGTATGCAAAATGTTTCATTTACGTTCACCGAAACCTTAGTAGATTGGCGGAGGAGATAGTACGTTCGAAGTTAACGAATTTTTAAAAGAATGTACAGAAGCCAATGATCGTACTGAAAGGTCCAATGAATTCCAACTGCGAAGAGTTAAAGGTATAAAAGATGAATTTGTTAGAGAAAGCCTGAAAGCAAGAATTCTATAATTATTATTGTTTCTAAGGGTGTAACGGTTATTTTCTGCAACGGTAGACAGCAATAGGTCATTTAAATAGTCCGGAGTTAATATATTGTGCATCTTATACAAAAGTTGGAGTTTTCTGCGTTTTCTTCGATTCGAAAGAGTTTCTAGGCCAGATTCAAAAAGTAAATATTCAATTCTGGCAAATGAAGGAAGTCCAGTAATTAAACGAATAGCTTCTCTTTGGGCTTTCTCTAACATTTCTGTTTCATAAGTTGTAAAACCATCCGACAATTCACAATTTCATAAGTATATTCTAAAACTGGTCAAATAAAGGATTTATCAATCTTTAAAATATTATCTCGATGCAATAAGTATTTGAGTCTACGTAAGGCGTTGACTTTTTTCATAACTGAAGTATATATTGCACAAATATGATCGTATAATACATGAGTACTGCTGAGTATATTAACTATAACGATACAGAATACCTTAGGCTTGTTTGAACTCGAGATTAATTCATCGTATATCAGGCTACTGTGCGTTCTTTTTTGTAAACGTTTAGTTTATTGTTAATCGTTAAATATACAGTATACATAGTTAAGATATCGATACATCTATGTATGTTTCAGAAAGAGGCGCACAAGAGAAAGTAATACGTTATTTTGATTTTCAATGAAAACTAGTCTTTGAGCAAGTCGTAATTAGACGGAAAAAAATCTGTCGTTTTGTAAAACTGTAGCATTTTGTATAAAGCCTTCTACATCGTTAATAGTGGTCAGGCTGTAAATATCAACAGAACCACCTGTTATGAAAGATTTGATTATTTACATCATAATCCGGACATTGTACATTGTACTTAGACTATCCGCTTATCACACCACTGCGTCCCGACAGTTACTTGTGTGTTGTCTAATCTGAACCAGTCACCCCAGTGTTTATCATCCGTCACAAATCAGCACACCAACCAGTATAGTCGAGGTCGACCATGGGAACAGAAATAAGATGTCGAGGAACCAACACATAGCCAATAATATTGTCATAACTTGTATTGTAACCGTGTTGTACATGTGTTAACAGTCTATTCATATCCAAACTATTCCTGTGTAACGGTGCGGAATCGGACAATGGTTGGATATGGGGAGGAAAAATAGTTTTCAAATGTATTACAAAATATCAATACAATACAGGTACGTAAACTTTGAAAGGTGAACACTTTTACATCATGAAGTTGCTCCGGCATTATACTTTGGGAATCCTGTTTGGATTTATCCTCATATTTGCGATTTTATCATACTGGTGTGTTGGACTAAGGATCGATGTAGAGAGAAACATCAACTACTACCTCTCAAGTAATGAACACAACGTCATCATTATCAATCATGACCTGGAACCCAAACCTAGTCAGGAACCTTTATTTTTTATTCCAAAAGATCAAGACTTGACCCATAATCAAGATCTCAAAAGCCATCATGAAAATGAAGTGCTGGAGAATCCTTATCAAAGACATAATTTCAACATGAAATCGTCTTTCAATCGGCATAGCTTTTTGTTTCCTGCGAGAAACTATTCGAGTAATAAAACATGCAAGAATTGTTTTAACATAAATTTTGACTTTCTGATCGAAAATGACATTTGTACAAATGATAACTATACGTTAGTCTATCTGATTTTCACTAAATACAGCAACGTTGCCCAACGAAGAGCTCTCAGAGAAACCTGGCTTTCTGACGTGAAAACATCAAGTGGCCAGACTTATGTGTTTGTAACGGGAAAAGGTCCACAAAGTGACAACTTTAATATCAAAAACATGATTCGTGAGAACAATGACCATAATGATATTCTCCTAGTGGATTTTTTGGATTCGTATTTGAATTTGACATACAAAAGCATCATGGCTTTCAAGTGGGTGACGCGTCGGTGTCCTAACGCCGAGTTCGTGATGAAAGTGGATGACGACGTCTGGGTACACAAACCTGAGTTGATACCGACACTGCGACGGAAGGACTTTTCATTAGGCGGGTATTGCATGTTTAATTCTATGCCGTTCAGAGATAAGAACAGCAAATACTTTGCATCATATGAAAGTTTTCCGGAACGCGTTTACCCTCCATTTTGTTCCGGGACTGCCTATCTCACAAAAATTGATGTTATACAAAAAATTCTGAATATCTCACCAAATGTTCCGTTCTTCCATCTAGAGGATGTTTACATAGCTCTCTGTCTAAGAGAACTGCGCATCAGTGTTGCGAACATCAGGGGATTCAATGCCCATAAACTTATGACATCCAGCTGCTTGAACAAATCTCCATTCGTTATAACGAGTCACGGCCTGAATCCAGATGAGATGAGGCAAGTATGGAGAAGTCAGTGCAACTTCAAGGAGTGGATGGGAAAGGGAGCAGCGAACAGGATAAGACAAGCCTACGTTAACAGAGACAGGGAACCAGCTGTAAGGAACTACGTTAGAATGAATGCAAACAGCAACAAAATGATAAACAGTTTCCACATTCAAGGTCCCAGACCCATCAATTCGATCAAAAGGCGCAGGGGAAGACAGCGACAGGTGCCCGTGATGTTTCCTTCATGATGAAACTACTTACTCACGTAATACTGTATTGTCAAGGTTTCCCGTCTCAAAATAATGTTCACCATCACAATTTACCACTAGAGGGTATCGCTTTTGTACTGCCGAGGTGATGGTATTCCCGTTAGGAGGGACTTCAATATAAATCTAAAACGTGATTTCCACCTAAAAAATAAATGGTTCTAATAGCTGTTTGATTGAATATCTTTTATTCGTATTTCAATAGAAGAGGTCTTAAAAGTGCGACAAAAAAATATTTGTCATAAAAAACAACAAATCAAAATGGGACCTACAATAAAATCACAATACTAATACATTTACTATGAAACTGATAAATATTAATGAAACGCAATATCCTATCAATACACACATAAAGCAGTCTCTTCAAAACTTAATATAGAATACTGTATGCTATTAAAGATTGAATAGATTCACAAGTTACCTGATTACATCATAATGATATTAACCAGAAATATATCCTGGTTGATGTCCATATGGTGACTACTTAGGTGGAAAGAGGGAGTGAAAGAATTGTTTTTAGTATTTCAATTTACTTGATCCATTACTATGTTCTTTTTTGCAGTATAGTCGTTGTAAGGCGGTCTACTCATTTGCAATAAACTTTTAATGTTCCAATCACTTCTTGCTGTGTTCTATTTTAAATAGCACAAATCTACACCAAAAATACAATATAATTTGTCCACATATCAATCCTTATAAATGAGTTAAAATGAAATTTGAAAAATCAACTGATGCTATATGGCACAAACATTAACAGAACATCAATGTTTAGTAAGTCCCTCAATAAAAGTAAACTAGGGAAGTGTTACAAATCATATTTACATAAAACCTGATACAAAACATCTCGGCACACACAGTAGTGTACCTTTCCCCGTTCAAAGTAGAGAAAATTTATAATTTTTACAGGACCAAAATGACAGGGTTCTCCTAGTTCCATTAATGAGAATGCATTTTCCTTGCCAATTGTGACCTTTTCATTAAGAATGGCTTATCGGAAGGCTTCTTTAAAGTCACTCGTAATAACAATTGACAAGGGGAATAACTCCGATCTCAAGAGACAGTATTAAAGAGGCCAACAATGGGTCGTGACCACCAAGGATTGTTATTTTCTGTCCCAACTACATATTTGTAGAGGACATTTATACAGACATAGAAACATGTAAAACCAAACAACAACAGAATTGGAAGGTATGATAAAGAGTTCACCTCCAACCATTCGGCACTCACATTGTCCAAATGCAAAAGGATTTCAATTAATGATTACAAAACAAAATAAATGTTGTTCACTTATCATACCAACTGATATCCATATTGCACACATTGATTAAATGTCTTTGATTATAACGTAAATGCACTATTTCACTTAAGTAGATAGGTTCATTTAAATATCATAGGTTCAGAAAAAAAAATCAATACATTCGTATTTACTTTGTATTGCTTTCTCCATCAACTCATAGATTTAACAAAAAGTGTCCTCCTTACAGTATGTTTCTAATGATTGCTTTACAAATACTCTCTATTTTGTTAACTCTTTAAGCAGATTCTATCATTAAATACCATATATGCACCATTTTTTTCAAAATATCCTCTATTCATAAGATACCATTACACCCAAATACAAAAACAGATCTAGAAATTTTAGATGTTTACACTGGCAGTGTATTTCAAAGATAAATCTAGTTCCAGATCACAAAAAAATATCCACAAGTCATGTAAATTACATACCAGTATTCACAACATTCACATCACAGGACAAAATCTTAATTGTTACTCATGTTACCAGGTCCATGATAGGACTCTGTCCGATGCTTTTTGAAGATAATACAATGAAATAGGTTCTCAGTAAGTCCTGTTATATCAATATAAAAACAATCTTTCTCATCCAAGCTGTCATACATCTCGCAATGTTCAATATTTCTGACTTGAGAAAGCTGTATTTTTCAAAGGAACCATGCAGCTTGAACTTGAAATCAAAGTCAGTTTTATTATGAAATGTTCAGCCTTTATGACAAATTCCACCTACATGACATGTAAGAATGTATGAAAATTGCAATTTCATAAAAGTGGATTTTCAAGTAAAGTAATTTCTTATTTTTAAGTGACATTATTAAAAATTACAAAACAATGTACTTAAGTGTAAAACATAAGTTTGTGTGCCATAGAAAAGAGTTCCTTTTGTTCAGCTTGAGTATGAGTATTCTAAATGAATCAATCTGTACATCAACATTCTACTTTGAGTAACAAACCTCTGTAAAGAACAGAAATAAATACAGAAATAGTTCAAAGTGAAGAGAGGCTTTTAGCCCATCTCTTTTACAACATATCAACATACCAATACACATATGGTATTGATAATGACAAAAGCAATTTACTAATTAAGTTCTTTCATAAAACCTTAACAGTAGTGATATGTCATTGTCAGTAAGTCAAAAAACGGTAAATAAAATAGGTTATCTACAAGTCTTCGTTGGACAGACAACTGACCACATACAGAAATAAAGATATCATCTTGTCCTAAAATTTGAGTTCCTGTCTTAACGCATTATAAGTCAAAATAATTAAGAGATTATCTGTTAAGGCACAGAAATTCTTTGGCATGATAACAAACATACTTTGTCTTATTAATCTTTAACAGAAGAAATCAAACATGGTCTGATGAACTTAATAATCTAACTAGGTTTACACATAGAAACGTTACTTGTTGATAAGGATACTTTTTTCATACCATAACATTTGAATGTATTCCTAAAGTTTTCTTTTCCGAGATACCAATATGGAAAATGGTAACATGAAAGAAATGGTGAAAAAATACAGTACAATACCACACTAAAACAGCTTTAGGAGAAAGAGAAATGAAATCCAGACAGTGCTTCAAATCTAACATACACAGATGTAACACAACAAAACATTGTGACACCAGTATTCTAAATAATAAAAGCAATTATACAACAAAAATACTTCACATCCTAATTATGTTATTAAAAATGGTATATTCTGGAGTGTTGTTTTCTTTGTAATACACATTTTCTGTCATTCAGAATATAGTTTTTAATCAGTACTATTATGTAGCATGTCTCATTCATATTTGCCTTCCTTTTTTCGCCCCAGGTAATTCAAATACGCTTTCAAACCATACAACTAAATAGTACATGTCCCAATCTTCGTAGTAAAATCCTCTTCTGGTACAGCACAAAGGACAATTAATTTGAGACCAAGACATAGATCATGCTGAAAAGAAAATTAATTGAGTCAGATAACATATATTTCATTTCAGTGATTTCACAGACTCTTTCATAAACTGTGTTAGAGTTTAATATGGTTCTTTTAACTAAATTAATTTTAAATAACAATCATTTGAAACAAATTAATGGTTGCTGTCTTGGGTCAGAAAAATTCGGAGCTTTCCTTATAAAATTGTTTTTCATTTAATGATAATGCATCAAAAATAAATGTTAGCCAAGACATGAAAATAGCAATCGAGGTGTTATTATGATGTCTTTATAAATAATGCTGTTTTGAAGTCAAATTATATTTGTCTTGGTATTTATAGGATAACAACAGAATCTAAATATTAATCTTGATAAGGCTTATTTGATTCATTCAAACATATATAGAGAGATAAATTAGCACTGACAGAACATCCACACATACCTGTACAGATAGTAGAAGAAAGAGATCAGGTAGAATGCTAGTTTAACCCATCCTTCCTTTTGCGCTTGACTAAGTTGATCTGCATTCATGATAGTAGTGGGATCATACAAGCCAGGTCCGGTCATGATTGGTCGATGTATGTACCTGTGAACAGACAATAGTAAAATCTTCAATAAGAACTTTTTATAATGCTGTTTTCAAGTATCCTGAGGTACATATTGATCAGTAACCTATTCGCTACAGTGTGCATATACAATTTCGTCACATCGTTGTACAGGTAAACAATACAAATCACTCAGTCATAACATGACAAAGGGACCAGTCAGTTTTGAAACGTTGTGACACGTTTAATAGGTACATATTTTGTGTATAAAGTAAAAATTTGATATTAAACATGGATGTTTATCTTGAAATTACAATCTGCTGTCCAGCTGTGAATGAAATATGGCTTTACTGATTAATGCAAGATAAACTAGAAGAATATGATGCTTACCATTTCATAAACATGAAATAAGTTGTCCTCTTTATTTCACTTTTATTGTGATACCAAAAACACTTATGATTAGTGTAACTATTAAACTGTTTGATGATGGCTAACACTAAAAGTAGTCAGTATTCTTATACATATAGGTACTCTTATATATATAGACATTTTACTTAAAGTTACATCCTGTCACTGTTTGCTTGCTAATTCTATACATAACAGGCAATGTCATCAACTCTTTTTACAATTCTATAATGACACTTTCTAAAACAACGTTATCATTCCTCCAGCTGGACAGTGAGTCTGCTAGTCAATTTTAAGGTTACTATTATATACACCAATGTAACAATAGAGTTTTACCTTCGAATGTGGTATGTTATGAGGGGTACATTTAGAATGACTGTCTTCCACTGCATCGCAAACATGAACATCACCGTAAAGAATATGTGTATAAAATACTCTGGTAGCACCAACTGAAATGAAAAGAGACATTGTATGTTATCAAATACAATATTACATTTTCCTGAGTACCTCTTGTCCAATATTATCATATCAAAAATTACTCATTTAAAACCACTTACCGGGTTTAAACTGCTACATTGATCCACTGGATTCTTGTAGTCAGTCTTTAATTCATCAAATGCTATAATCTGAAATGAAAGAAATATGTCTGCATGATTATTATTTTCAACTTTTCCTGATTACTCCTTTCAACAACCTATATAGCTACCGATATGAAACTAATATGGTGGATATCCTGCAATGACAGTTTGAAATAAACAAATCATAATATTTGAACAGATTCTTCAAACCCTGTCAGGGCTTTCAGTTGACCCTTGACATTTTGCAATTTCTGAAGTAAAATGCCCTGCCAGTTCTATAATTTTATAATAAACAGTTACCAATTTTTCTTTGCAAAATAACACTATTGATACATACAAAACATTTACTATGCTTTGGTGGTCTGGATGGTAGAGTGGCACTGTGGAAAGCACACTTGTCTCTCATCAGACAGCAAAGTTCAGGCCAACAAGAGTGATTATTTATAAGTTCTTGCAACTTTTTCGTAATTAATAAAAATAAAGTTGAATTCGAGTGATCTGTAATGGCTGAAATATGAAAAAAAAATTTATCTTAATAATTTGTTGGTATATTTAATCTGCCATAATTACCAATGCTTTCTTCCACCTTTTTTGGGGGTGCAAGATACCATTTTAGTCTACACTATTTCACTTTGGATGAACTTGTTAGCACTCTATCATTTTATTGCCAACCCTCTGAAGTTTCACACCAGAAAAAGGTGGCATGGATAAAATTATAAACTGTGATAACAAAAGCCCACATCTCCAATGTAGAATTGCAAATGAGATATAAAATGTATGTTGTTAGTCCCCTGAATAGTAATTAGATTGGTTTGTAACAGTGGATGGGGAAAAATGCACAGCCAGACCAGGGTTCAAACCTGGGGCCCTCCAAACTCTAGATGGTTCTGCTACATTCCTCTCTCCTTTTTCTAAGTCTTCTCCCTGAAGACATCACTATTTACCACCAAGTTTCAGGTATCCCTTGCCAAGTTTACACCCAATGCCTGAAATAAGGGTTGGTCAAAGGCAGCACTGTAACATGAGAGGAAAACTGCATCGCCAGACCGGAGTTTGAGCCTGGTACCTTCTGAACTCTAGACGAACGCTCTACACTAACAATTGTGAAAGAGGGATTATTTACAGTGATTAGTTTTTTGGATTTTTTTTGTGCAGGGTAAAGGGCTTCAAGGGCTCCAGTGTTGTGCATTGTACTGCTGCTACAGGAAGGAGCCTGCTTTGAATTATTGTTTGTGGGAAGAACGAATATTTGTAGGTGTCTTTTGTAGCAGATATGTCTGGTTTGATGGTCTACCAGGGGGGGGGGTAGCAATAGAGATGTTTTCGGTTTATGCAACGAAATTTTTTGCACGAAATGATGACCTAAAATTTTGAATAGCATGATTTACATTAGCAATCGATGGTCAGCTTATTCTGTAATAAGTAAAATAACTCATTTTCAATTTGTCGTGGGGGCAAAGGAGATAAGTTATATCGGACTATCAATTGTGAAGTGGAGTTAGTTAGTTAGGGGCGAAGCATTAGTAGAACGTCACCATTTAAATAGACATTTACTGTGTTAAGACTACAATAAATTGTGGACTTCTATATAAGACATGTCAATGAACTGTCATCTTGGTGTCACACAGTGAGAGAGTTTAGGTTGGCAATGAAAGCGTCCGGTTTGGTGCATTTTCTGAAGTGTTTCGTCATCGATTGGCATACTTGATTAAGGAAACTCAATCTCCGTCTAAAACTTACGTGAAAAATTGCGAAAAATATCAGCACGGCCGATAAAATAAGTGCCAAAATATAGCAAAAAGCCGCAAATGTGAACGCCATTGTTAGAGCGGAAGTGAACTGTGTCGAAATTGTACAAACCGGAGACGGTGTTCACAGGATCCGGAATTCCTTTCATTTTTAAATTAAAGCAGTTTATCAGATATGTAATACGATTGAAATTATGATATCACTTGCTGACATCTTCTGTGTAGTTGCAATATCGTAATAGTCACATCCATGGTCAGTGGCTTTCTGACAAACATGCATTTTTTTAGTTCAGGGCTGACTGTCAAAGGATTGTAAAAAAAATCTAAAATCCTAAAATATGTGTATCTATGTATACAAATAGGGGAGACCGGGGCATATCCCCGGGATAAGCCTTCCGGCCACTCCTGATATTTTCCGGGCTCGAGCAAATATGTAGTAGTACGAGGAATAGCTAGTGATAAAGAGAGTGCCGTCGCTGGGGCTTGAACCCGCTACCCTTGGTTCTCAAGCCCGATGCTCTACCGCTGAGCTAGAGGGAAATTACTAAAATGGGAAAGTTACTATGACGTATGTTTCATTCCAACGTAAGCCGAACAGAATGTTTGTCCTAATATGTCCCAAAGCAAGTTCGTGAAAGGCACATGGAATTTCCCTTCCAAACAGTATAAACACATACACCTCAACAAATGCCATATTGCCCAGATCGACTTTAATAAAAATGGGCCGAACTTGCCCGGTCTCCCCTGATTTAAACATATTATTGTCCCAAACTCTTTGAACAGAGGATTAGACTCAAGTTATATTAACTTATCAACGCCTTTTCCTCTAATAAAGTGCATATTGATATTAATATGGTAGCATTTTTCTACAAGGCATACCAGTCTTTTAAGACGTATACGTCTCTGGACAGACATAATATATTTTACAATTATTATATTTTACTTAAAACCTTTTGCTGGATTTGGTGAAAAGTATAACGTGTCTGAATCCTCTGTATCTATCTACGGACAGATTTTCATTGCCAAATAAAAATAAACCTAAATTAACTGGATATATATTCAACGAGCTTATGTTTTGAAAAAGTGTAACTCGTGCTGTATTAAAAAGCTTACATTCTGAGAGAAAAAATGGCCAACATCCTCACAGGAAGGTCCACAAGCACAGGATGGAATATCAACAAATTTAACACGGAACACATCATTTTTCAAAGAGCTGCACTGGTGCCCGAGAAAGATTTGAAAGTATTTCAAGACGGTAATGTTATTATTGTATTGTCTAACGAATTCCAAAGACGTTAACTCGATGGCAGAAAAGAGGAGTTACTTGAGAAGAGTCTGAAAGAAGGAAGATTGCAATTATATTGGTTCCGTAAATTGTAACGATTGTTGTTACCCACTGTGTTTGGCAAAAGGGCCGATAGGTAGCTTGGGGTTAAATTGTTTTTCATTTCATATAAAATATTAAACTTTCGCCTTTTTCTCCTCTCTGATAGTGTTTCTAAACCTGTTTCAAAATATAATGAATTATTACTTAAATTGTATACGAAGGCAGTCCTGTTATAACTCGAGCCGCCTCTCTTTGCGTTTTCTCTAATTTCTCAGATTCAGAAGCAGTGCAACCATCCCATAATTCAAAGGCATATTAAAACAAGAGGCCCAGAGGGCCTGTATCGCTCACCTGAATATGTTTAAAATAATTGGTATGAAGTAAAGATATAGCACTCCATGGTAGGTGCTGTAAGTACATATGAAATTTCAGAAAGATCCATCCAGTACTTGAGATATAGCGAGAACAAACTTCAAACAGAGCCCCACCCCTATGCCCCTAGGGGGTCATACCCACTGTTTATACAGAATTGAGTCCCCTTGGCCCAAGGATGCTCCAGACTAAATAAGGATAAAATCCAGTCATTCGTACAGAAGAAGGTATTTGAAGAATTTGCTATGTTTCCCCTATCGGGCCCATCCTTCTGCCCCCAGGGGGGTCACACTCACTGTTTATAAAAAATGGAGTCCCCTTGGCCCAAGGATGCTCCAGACTAAATTAGGATAAAATCCCTTAACCCCTATGGTAGAAGAACGATTTTAAAGGTTTTACCTCTATTTCCCCTATTGGGCCCCACCTCTCTGCCTCCAGGGGGTCAGACACACTGTTTATACAAAAGTTGTTCCCTTTTACCTAAGGATGCTTCATACCAAATTTGGACAAGTCCTGTCATTCCTACAGAAGATGAAGGATTTTGAAGAATTTGCTATGTTTCCCCTATTGGGCCCATCCTCCCTTCTGCCCCCAGGGGGGCCACACTCGCTATTTATATGAAATTGAGTCCCTTTTGCCCAAGGATGCTCCAGACTAAATTAGGATAAAATCCCTTACTCCATATGGTAGAAGAAGGATTACAAAATGTATAAAGGTTTGACCTCTATTTCCCCTATTGGGCCCCACCCCTCAGGTCCCAGAGGGGCTACACCCACCGTTTATACAAAATAGGTTCCCCTTCACCCAAGGATGCACCACACCAAATATGGACCAAATCTTTTCATTCCTACAGAAGAAGAAGGATTTTGAAGAATTTGCTATGTTTCCCCTATTTGGCCCCGCCCCTCAGCCCCCAGGGGGGCCAGACACACCGTTTATACAAAATTGTTTCCCCTTCACCCAAGAATGCTTCAGACTAAATATGAACCAAATCCTTTCACTCCTACAGAAGAAGATATGATTTTAAAGAATTTATTATGTTTCCCCTATTGGGCCCAACCCCTCAGGCCCATGGGGGGCCAGACCCACCGTTTATACAAAATGGGTTCCCCTTCACCCAAGGATGCTTCATGCCAAATATGGAACAAATCCTTTCATTCCTACAGAAGAAGAATAATTTTAAAGAATTTGTTATATTTCCCCTATTGGGCCACACCCCTCAGCCCCCAGGGGAGCCAGACACACCGTTTATACAAAATTGGTTCCCCTTCACCCAAAAATGCTTCAGACCAAATATGGCCCAAATCCTTCCATCCTACAAAAGAAGAAGGATTTTAAAGAATTTATTATGTTTCCCCTGTTGGGCCCCACCCCTCAGGCCCAAGGGGGGCCAGACCCTCCGTTTATACAAAATTGGTTCCCCTTCACCCAAGGATGCTTCATGCCAAATATGACAAATCCTTTAATTCCTACAAAAGAAGAAGGATTTTAAAGATTTTTTTATATTTCCCCTATTGGGCCATGCCCCTCAGCCCCCAGGGGGGCCAGACCCACCATTTATACAAAATTTGTTCCCCTTCCCAAGGCTGCTTCTGACCAAATTTGGTCAAAATCTTCTCAGTCCTTCATGATTAGTAGTGTTTTAAAGGAAAAGTTGACGGACGGACGACGGACGCTGGGGTGAGCTAAAAATGGTAAAATGAAAGATTTATGTATTTTTAAAAGCTAATTCTTTTCAATATGTATTTATCATAACCGAGCTATAATCTTCCTCAACATGACTCACCCATTTTCCATTTGAATTGAAATTTACTCTTAAATGTCTATGTACTTCTGTAAAATTTAAAGTATCCCCATCAAACATCAAATCAAAGTCATCCTCAATATTGTTTGCATTTGAAATAAAAAGAACGTCCGTTTTTTTGAGGATTAAAAGAAGCCAGCCAACGTTTAGCTCACTGTTTAGTCCCTGTTGAGAACAGCATGTATTTCATAGCATGAAAAGCAGAATAAAGTAAGGATGTATCATCTGCAAATAGCCTAGAGGCCGAATCAAGTACATCAGTAATATCATTAATATGCATCAAAAAGAGAAGCGGCCCGAGTATTGAACTCTGAGGTACAGTTGCGTCAATATTACCTAGTTCCGAATATGAATTTCCAATTAAGACTTACTGTTTGCGCTGGTGTAGATAATTTAGAGCCAATGCAATGATTCCCCTGAAATTCTGTATGCTCCCAACTTTGCTATCAGGCCCCTGTGCCAAACACGACCAAATGCTTTTGATATATCACAAAAAAAATCAAATATTATGGTAGATATCAATAAGTTGATAAACAGGAAAATGACAAGGCATACAACCTGACTGGTATCGATAAAACAAGTGATTAAAAAATAAATGTATACAAATGTTTGTTAACTACACGCTCAAACACTTTACCAAATGTAGTAGTGATATAGGTCTATAATTACACGAAGTATGACGATCACCCTTTTTAAAAAGCGGCATAACGGTTGCAACTTTCCATTTATTTGGATACACACATGAAGAAAGTGACATTTTAAAAAGTATTTCAAGTGGTTTTGTAGATAGATTTAGCAATAAACTTCAGCACATGGTCACTAAATCTCATCCCCCCACAAAGCTTTCCCTAGCTTTGTAAAACATTTTTGATACAAAACGCTTATCTGTTTTGGATTCAATTATCAGAACTGGAAAATCAACATCATTAACAAGAGTAATACATTATACTACAGAAATAATTACATTATATAAGGTAAACGGGGGCTTTATCCTCAACGTTAGAAAAAGTGCTATTTGTCGCTGGGTCCGTCATTGAAGGAATGTTTTGGTAATGTCCATAGGATAAGTCGTTTTACTAGTTTCCAATAAGACAGAAGGAGTCGGGCATTTTTTTAATATTATTTACCTTGTTTCGCGTAGCTTTAAATTTCAATGCCTGAAAGTTGGAGTGTTGCCCTGTTTCTCTCGTGATTTATGTTCTTTATCTTCCGTTGTGCGATTATTTAGTTATGACGAGATAATCCTGTGGATAAGTTTAGTAACTTGAGAAAATAACAAAAATATTACATATTGGCACAAGTATTTTTAAGTTCCCATGATGACTCATCACATATTTCAAACCAATCAACAGGGGTAATTGAAAATATTGCGAGAGAAAACTTTAGATAATTATCTTCTATGAAGCAAATGTTTGTTACAATACTGAAACTGCTTTGCCCAATTTATCTTTCCTTTTCTATGTACCAAAATAACTCCAAAAAGTATTTATTTGATTCAGACACACCTGTTATGATCAATACACACACCCAGTAATAACCTGTAGGAGATCATTTGACCACAAGATGTAGATTTTGAGTTTGTTAAGAGTTTGGACTTGAATGAGGGAGTTTCGAGGGAGGTTGGTAAATTTTGGTCAAATGAGGGAGTCTCCCTCCAAATGAAGGAGGGTTGACAGCTATGCAAAGGATATTCATTTCTAGAGTGGACGGTTGACTTCTTAGACTTATTTCTTCTTGTAGATATTGTAAGGCCTGAAGAAGCATTCTCCGCTGCATGTATATATGGAGAGAAGGCTGGAGACATGTTCTTTCTGTAGGGCGCTTGGATGGGATCACAATCTCTCCTTCTATCCTTGGGGGTGAGAGATTCTATTAATCCATGCCTTCCAGTATATATTACTGGTAGCCTTGTCCTGTAGAGGCCAGTGAGGATAAGGATTTCTTCTCATTGAAATGGGGAATGATGGGAGTTACTTTCTCCAATCTTTCATTTTGACAAGTTTTACTACAGGTTTAGATATATCTATAATTAATTACTGGTATGATAATATTATATACAGGTTGCATTTTGATGGACATGACATGTAACATGTAGAATCCTATGGCGAAACAATACAGTAAAAATCAATTACATGTATATTTTTCTGAGATTTTATTATTAAACATAGCATATGATACATCAAACATAAATTCTTCAAAATGAGTAAACAAAATGTAATTTATTTTTCTTATACTGGCAATATATTGATTTGTCATGAAATTACATTATTTTTTACATAAAGAATTTCTTTAGTATGGTCATATTTCTACAATGTATGGGAGGTGAACATTCTACAATGTATGTGAAGTGAACATTCTACAATGTATGTGAGGTGAACACAAAAACAAAATAGAATTTAGAAGATCTTGGCTTGTAGCCTTGTATGATAAACCACAAACACAGAGGATTTACATGTAATGTATGCTAATACTGATAATAAATCAAACAGTTCACTCAAAGAGGTAAGATTTCAAACACCATTTGTAAAATAGTACCTCGATCAATTTTTGTATTGATGAATTAACATAATTGAAAATAAATAAAAGAATGAATGAAAATATAATAGAAACCGTCTTTGCAACCACACATCATTTGTATCACTGACTCTCGCAATGTTTATATTCCATTTTCTATTTGGACACACTACTTTTTCCTTTTTGTAGGTAATGGTATTGCAAAGAATTTTACCTACACATATATATGGGCCAGAATCATATTAATAGGCTGTATACACCTTTGGCCATTATATCACTTGGTCTTTGAGCCTTAAGAGGGTAATACTCCTGTATCACTCAGCAACCAATAAGTCTTATATGCTGCATTTATGAAAACAGAAATTATCTTGAATGTAGAATGCAGCTATAGTATGTTATTTTATGATTTACATGAGTTGCACTTCTTCCCTCATATCAGTCATGACTACTGGAAGCAGACCTCCTGATCTTTGTATGGGTCAAATATTCCCTCTGTGGCCCAGTGTATTACCCTTCTGTGTCAGTTAGCATGATCTTTTCTCCCTAGCAGTTGCCAGAGGATGCAATCACCACGGTTATTTGTGGAATTCAAATACACCAACTGTAAAGTCATAACTCATGACTTTTTGTTGACATGCAACTGATATAGTCATGGATTATAATCTTAATACAGATTTTGGTAAAATCCAGCTAAATCCTGCAACAACCAATATGTTGAGTCTTGAATGTTGATATTTAAAGTAAGTTTGAAGCTCATCCTCACATGCGGTTAAGTTTTGTGACCACCAGGACACGTAATGTCTGATCAAATGAGGTACAAACACAGAGTCCCTCCTTGTCTGGACTCCAGTCTAGGGAACTGATTGGTTGTGTTGTCATGGTAATATTCTGTGCGAGGTTCACAGTCCCAGGAACTCCCCTCTCATTCCCTTCACTGTCCTTTTCCACTCGCTGGTGGGGGTATGAACTAGGGCAAAAAATACAATTATCAACATGTGTACACGATTTGTTTGTTGCTCTATTACAAATACAAGGGCTGAGATTTCATACATATAATGCTTGTAACTATTTGAGGAAGATGCTAGCTACTTGGAGATCAACCAAAGTAAGGTCTGAAATAGTGGTACACCTATGATTCAATATATAAGACAATTTCATACGACTGGTTGGTATAAAGGTGATATGACACTGGTGATTTTTCATAATTACAAGTCTACTAGAATTCAACCAATATTTAAACAAAACCATTCACATGTTATCATCAGAAACAAGTTTTTAAACTGTGAGCAAATCATCTTCCACGATACCCTTTATCATCTTTTAAAACTTACTATTTCCATAAGAAAAGTGATCCATTTCCTCCCAATGTCATGAAGATGTCCCTGTTCTGTGGTAGATGTCTCGCTCCCCACACGGTTGATTTATGTGCCTGTAATACAGAAATATTGAGAGTCAGTAAATACCATTATACTACATTAACAGTAAAGACCTCTTGGTAACTGTTAAGTACAATGTTTATATATAAATATAATTACGAAAAAGTAGTCACTGATTTTACAGTACTGTACCGGTAGTATAAAGGGAATATATATGATACTGTATCTTGTTTAAAACAAAGTAGCAAGTTAGCATACAATATACTATGTTTAAAGTATGATAGTTAATGATAATACAAAACTATGTTAGCAGTAATGTAGTCGGTGAGTATGCAGTGCTACGTTCACAGTAGAGTTTACAATACCTTGCTCGCATTAAAGTTCACTGTGAATATATTTCATACTACCGGTATGCATAAAGTAAATCAAAAGAACCGTAGTCCAGGAATATTAGGATGCAATACTAAACTAGCATGCTAAGAGTAAAGAAACCAGCGAGTAAACATTGTGGTCTTTAACAGACTGATACTGTACCTTTTCAGACACACTGGCAAATCCTTTTGTAGGATGCTGAGTTCTCATGTCAAACACATGGAATTTTGACTCTAATGTTGTTGCAACTAGTTTGTTCATACTGATATCCTTCCTGTCAAATTCTAGACCGCAAACCTTTGAAAATACATATAAACACACATAAAAATCGATTTTTATACTCTTTTCGTCATTGTTATTAGTGACACAGCTGTCATAATAAAACAGCAGAATTATCAAGCAAATATCCATCTTTTTGACAACCTGTGATGTTTTGTTTTTGGCAATCTTATCAGTAAATCTCTTTACCAGAAAAATATCTTTGGTGATCATAGATGACCAAACTACATTTAACATTGTGATGATTTTGCTTAACTTACACCATTTTTAACATTATTCTCCCAACGAAGCTGCATGTTTCTCAGGTCAAATAACTTGATATCACCATTGTCATAGCCTGCACAAACACATCTGTCTGCCTGGTTATAGGCGTGACCTAAACAGCAAAACAATGGCATTATCCTCATTATGTACTGTATCTTCAGGATACGACATCATCAAACTTTTATACAACAGTTACATGTGGATAGGAATATTTTTTATCTAAAGTAGAAAGGACAATATTTTCAATAACAATATGTAACCTAGAAACTAATATATCAATCCCTTGACAAAATCATGGTAACTGAAATTTGCTAACTGCTTAACTATCAGATCTCCCCATATTGAATATTGATACATAAGGGGTGGGGATTTAGTCCATTCTTGAATATAAATTCTGATCCTCATCAACTATTAAAGGACGGTTTTATGAAATGTTTGGTCAAAATTCAACATTATGTTTCGCATTCCATGATCCCTTATGTTCATGTCCTAAGCTTTGTTGGATATGACCTCAAGATGTTAAAATATGTAAGTTTTCTGCTTAAGATGAGAATAAATGAAATTATTACCAAATACTACTGTCCAGCAGTCCCGTTTATCCTGGCCCTCCCCTGGCTCCATTGTGGCCACAGGCTCATTCTTCTGACGAGGGTCCCAGACCTTAACTGCACCTGGACCATAGAAAAGAGCATGTGGATGTACATAATACCATATTGTACAATACCTAATCAATATCACTAAGCTAAATTTAAGGTTAATATCATATTTATATCATAGATACATTTTGTGTATTTTACATATTTCTTTTTTCTAAACTCTTGCTCAAGGTTTTGATTGGTCCTATACATAAGGGGTAAGAATATATTTACACATTGTTCAAGCTTGGAATTATTTTCCAAAAAACATTTTTTAGACAACTGTTTGTAACGAGTACAAACATCTGCTTTGACTGAATTTACATTTTGATTGCAATTTGTCTTACCATCTCTGCTTCCTGTGACAATTTCTGGAGCCCCCTCACCAATACCTAGGCCTCCAACACCATCAATAGCATTGACAATTTCTTTGTGTGCCTTCACAGAGTAAATTGGTAACTCTGGTTGTTCAAGATTCCTACACAAATAATAGAAGTGGTTTTTTTTTAATTTATTGATGTAAGAGAACACACATGCCTTCACTTGCCATACCAATTTATTTTGGTTTTTTTGGTTTGGTACATGTATATCAATATACATGTATGTAAATGGAAGCAACTAGAACAGTAAACCATAGGCTAACTAATACCCCTTGCTCCCGTATAGAAAAACATCAGAACCAGGTAATTCTGTTGACCTGTTGCATATTCCTAGTCTCCTGTTAAACAATGATGACAATATGATAAAATGTTTATTAAGAACAGTAATAGCTTATATAATTAAACACACATCATTATCTGACAGTTGAATTCAAATTCAATTTGTGTCTTCCTTCTTTTGTCAATTATATATCTCATGCATTTGGAATTTTTATTTAATCTATAAGAAAATAAATGTTTAAAAGGATTGTTGATTTCTAAGACACATTATCTACAGCATTGAAAATCATTCTCATTAGGAACAGAAAGGGATGTGTTTTCTACTGGATAAAACTACAGGGAAAGTGTATATTCTCATTTAGTGTGTCTGTTAATGTCTGAAATTCTGAGGAGTAATGAATAATGGATATTATGTCATGTCCTGGTGTATACTGAACTAGTGCGGCTGTTGGTAGCAATTTGATTGCTTATTGAAAAATAGAAGGGAATAATTTTGAGCATATGAACTCTTACCATATGTGCATTTTCCCATCAAAGTCTCCAGTGGCTAAATATCTCTGTTGTAGACTTGATGCTCCAAATGTCCCACATTTAAAGCCCTTGGACTTTTCCACCTGAATAAAATTGTCACAAGTTAATGGTATCCAAAAAATGAAATCGTAATATAATTTATTTTGAATTAATTCATAAGCATATCAAGAAATGTTATGACAGTGGAATGTGTCAAATGTATTGGGTTATACTGTCATACAGTGAGCTACTAATAAACTTTAAAACAACAGAAAAATGGAACTTGCAACTTGGTTCGGGTACCCAACAGTCCAAGCAGTGATTTTTCTTCTTCCTTTCCAAATCACCCACAAAAAAATCATGATTGCCAACTGAAATAATGAGCGCGTCCCATCTCTGTACAGCTGGACCCCCCCCCCCCATAGTCAACAAAACTATCCCATTGGCAGATAGCATTTCGTCAATTAAATCTATATACATAGGTTATAAATTGTCAAAAAGCCAAAATAAATATTTAATCACCTCTTTGACAATAGTTGCATCTCCGTGTGAAACCTCATATATCTGTATGGCACCGGTTCCGCGTGCATGGTTACCGAGGACCACGAACTTGGCACTAGACGGGATCCATTTTGCGTCGAAAAGAGTGAAGTTGACCGATTTTTGGATATGTGCAATTATCTGTGGTTTATCCATGGTCGTACTTCTGTTTACAGATGCTGACGTTGTGTTGATTTAGTTTGGAAATAATGGGCAAACGCCAAAACAAGAATAAACAAGAAAGCGAGATTCTTCTGGAAGCCGAACGGAAGTTGATTTTTTCTCACCTCCACAGCAAAAGAGCGATGTAAATATTACGACAGACACTGCAGCTGTGCTCGGGTACAAACTTACTGTTTTTTAACATATGGTGCGGATTTACTTGTTAGGTTACACATATGTAATGTCAAAATATAACAGTTACCAACACATCTAAATCAAGATCGACGTATATGGTGTAAATAGTGAATTTGGTGTACTATTCTATATTAATACTGACTTCCGGTAGTACACGCGGAACCTCTCTGCTCTGCATTATATATGCACCCATTTCGACCCGTTATGGAAAATTTAATTCCCCACTCCCTCCATCCACATCACCAAAACTTCGGGCAAGATTAATCTTTATGTAGGGATCGAGACCCCTCTGTCTTCACTATTGTGATGTTGTCACTCATCCTGTCAGTGGAAAGTTGTCATCATTGTCTTCTACATGACACCTGTACATGTATGTGATGACATATGTGGCACAGCTTAAATAGTTAATTCGTGTACGATATGCTGATTAAGGTTTTTCATCTAGGCTCATGTCACTCAATGTATAAAGTTCGTTATGGGCTAAATAATTTTCCTTAAAATATAAAAGATGGAGGTAACAAATTTTCTACATTGATGAGCACTGATGAAATGCCTTAAAAATCATCCATTCTACAGTCCACTGGAAACCTGTATTAATTAAATGCTTCTGAGTGTTCTAGCCACATAATGTGACTTGTTTGTCAGGTAGTAAATAATTCAAGGCTGTCAATGTGAAGAAACCCTGCTGTTTATCCGGAAACATTCCTTCCTTCACCGAACCGTGGATATATGGAACGGCCTGCCATAGGAGGTCGTAATGTCACTAACAGTCCGAGCATTTGAACATAGCCTTGACCGTCATTGAAAGAATCAACCACTTGTGTATAACCACAGGGAAGCCATTGAAGTCACACATACTAATGGTCATTGATTGAACTTTAACGAAAATATCACATTTGAACATTTAAAAATTGCGATATACAAGAGAAACCCATATACGTACCAACATTTTTATTTTTGAACCACACTTATTCAATTCACAATGTTACTGTAATATAATTACTTATCATTGAACATCTGTTCTATATGGAACTGTGCAGCTATCTGTAATGGACTCGCAAAAAAAATGCTCAGAAATCATGTTATTAATATGTTTAACCAACTATATGTACTATTGTAACTTTTATAATTGACAGCAGAGGAAATTGTACCTAATAAATCTGTGTATCTGTTCTCTTTTGATGTTAACAAGTAGAACAGTGTGAGGAAAGTTTTGGATAGAACTGCTTTGTGTGTATCACTTAAAGTGACCATGACATTTACACATGAACTATGTGATGTATACATATACTTTTAAGAAATGACAGTTAAGATGCCTTCCTTCTCACTGCAGAGTCTACTAATATTAAATTGCAAATCAAGATGTCTGATATCTTTGTGTATCATTTTTTTACCGACAAGGATTATACATCATGAGAAGCCATTGGCTTAACTAGATGTCAACCAGTGATTCAGTTTACTGACTGATGAAACACAAAATGTCAGTAGCACCAATACCACCTAATGCTATTCTACCAGCAATATATTCATCAACACCAATTCTACCAAATGTTATTTTATCTTTATACTAAAAAGCTAAGAGACCACATTTGTATAAACAGTAAGTGTTATCACTGAGCCTAATGAAAAATTAACATACTTTTCTGTTACAGAAGAAAACAAAATAGTGTCATGGATCAACATCCTGTTGATGACGAGGGCCAAACCGATGATAGATTAAGAGAAAGTGGACAAAAGACAAAATTCATGAAAGAAAACAAAAAACAAAAAAGATCAATATTAACTAAAAGTTCTGATAAAAGCAGAGTTACATTGATGCCAAATAGTGATGAAGGTGAAACCTACAAAAGTCAAAGGAAAATAAAGTCAAAACAATTCTCTGGTCAAGATGATGAAATGATTCATAGAAAGAAAACGAAAAGTACAAAATATAAGAAAGAAGAGGATGAATTTGAGGAGAGTTCAGAAGGAGAAGATGTGGATGAACAGTCTGAGATGGAATCTACAGATGAAGATATCAACCATGAAGAATATGTAAGTGTTTAATATGCAGCAAACTTCACTTGCTAAGGTATCATTAAAAATCTTAAAAGATGGCAGTTATTTTTTGTAGTAAAATTCATTTTAATGTTGGAAAATGAAACAGTTTAGAACTTATATTTCTATTAACATTCTTTAAAGTTATTTCATACAAACATGTTTCATCATTGTTCTTATGATGTTTTTATCACCCTGTCCTCCTTTATTTACAGGCAGCCATGCGTGAAGGTAAGACATGTCTGTTTCTCAATGTCTTAACAAAACTGTGAATATTTTATCCTACACTAGTGTCCAGTTAAATCTCGACATGTTCGAGAGACAATCTCCACTTATAAACCACCTGTGACAAGAAACCACTTTAAAACCACCCAATGTAATGGTTTTCATGGTATCTGAAACTGCATTAACAGACCACCTGCAATAAGATATCACTTTACAGCTTTCCCAAATGGTCTCTGAAAACAGGTTTAATGGAATGTGATTTTATGATGAGTGAAAAGCACTGAAAGGCCCTAAGCAAACTGTGATAGTATGTCAGATGATATCAGTAATATTCTGTATCGGTATTAGTGTGCTTAGGAAGGGTGCATTTACGTACATTTTTTTGGGACAACCCTTCATCTCTCCTCTCCATTGAAATTTGTTTTTGTTATGAACAAGGGAAAGATTCTTTAACGTGGCTCTTGACATGTTGTTTTAGAAATAGCAAACATGCCGTTTGAGGATTTAATCAAGTTAAAGGAAAGGCTTGGAACAAAAGCGTAAGTATTCATGTTGTGGAAACATGTAAGTCTAGACCTGACTCTGACACTCAAAGCTCGAATATTAGAAATACAGTTTTGTAATACATTATTATGTTGTATGTTTGTGTAGTGGGTGTAAAAGAAATGATCATCTTGTTTTGTCACATTTACATAGCTTGAAATGGCTTTCAAAATGAATAATAATTCTTTTTTTTCTCTCTCTAATTTATAAACCAAAAAAGGGCATTTCAAAATGAATGATCACTTTCTTGTCTGTCATTGATTTACTGTACCATAAAGAGGGTATCAAAATGAGCATACATGCACATGAATAATTGATTATTCTCACAACTATGAACGAGTTTAATTCATGTCAACAACTTAGTAAAACCCCTTGAGGTTATGCAGATGACCCCCTACATATCCAGATCTGATTGGGTATTCAAAAAATGGCTGTTTGTGAAGGCCAGTGTGCTCATTATTTGCACCACCTGACCACAATCTATTGTAAGACAATACCAGTAAAAAGATTTGATTTAATATTCTATCCTTCTACCATTAAATCTCACGGATTTTCAAACGGAATAATTCACATTCACTGTTCCAGATACAACAAGGCCATGCACAAAGACAAACCCCTGGGTGTGAGGGGCAGGCAGCAGTTCAAAAGGAAAAACAAAAACAGGTACAGAAGCTAGCTGCCTTTAATCATTTCAAAGTAATTCATGTGTCAATCTATTACTAATATTAATACCCAGCCTCCTCCGCCCAGAAATGACGATGCAATATTAAAAAAATCTCGTCGTCAGAAAGCTACGTTATCGCAGCTAGTGTCAATCAGGTGAAAATTAACGTTTGTTTGGCATAGACTGACTGACTGGGGCTTAATGTGCCAACCCAAACATTTTTTTTACTCTGAGAGAGTAGGTATAACAACTGAACTTTATGCAGAAACAGCTTTGATACTTTGTTATTAGTGTTTTATATTATTGAAGAAGTAAATAAAGAATATTCTTCTTGAACACCTTGGTGTTGCTCATTATCAACCATCTATTTTTATATTGTGGGAAAAATGGATTTTTTTTCCTACCTACCGACCCAAACTTTAAGTGGTGGTTTGGTCAAAGCCAAACAGAATTTTTAAGATTGGCCTCATTTGGGTGGTTGACCTAAAATTGGGTCGATAATATAATGAACAAAGTTATGTGCTATATGTAAGTGCGTAATCTAACTTATCAATGTTCTCAGCAAAAGATTTAAAAATGTATGATTTTGTTTTAATGTACTGAATCAGCATAAAAGATTAATCATTCGTGCAATAAAATTTTACAATAAATATGATGTTACAGGAGAAAAACATTGGGTATGAGAGTTAGGCATTATGGAGTACTTCTCTTAATTTTTCCTCGCAATTTATGGTGATAAATTGGTTTATTCTTGACTATTCTCAGACCAATGGAGATGTCATCAAAGAGACGTGCGCCTGCGGTCAGAGAGATTATCCCTGTAAAGAAAAAGGTAAAAAAAACATTTGCTTCACATAAGCCAAAAGAAGATTTCAAAAACTCTAAAGCATTCTTGGAACTGAAAAAGAATGGCTATTACATGCATATTTGATTTGCTACCCAATTGAAGAAATTATATAGACTTCATCCTAATATTTATTGTAGATACTGAAAACCTCCACAAAATCATGCGTCCCAAGACAGTGTTTGATGTAGAGTTATTTGAATAACATTAGCATTGCAACCGTCATCATGAATTCAACCAATATAGCAGGATCTAGCCATGAGCAGTGTGTGAGAATTGTATGCTAATGAGATTGTCTTGTGAGCATTTGTTAGAGGATTTTCTCATATATTTACCTGTGAGCAATTTTGCTCACTTCCACTCACATGAGATGATGAGCTCATGTGAGCATAAGTTAGAAAATACCTTGGTCAAATGGAATCAAAGTTATAACATGTACATTGAAAGGTATGTCGAGATCACCTCTCAGCTTATATTTATTATAATTTTTTGATAAAGAAATATATAATTTGTCACATTTTGAAGTCAGAAAAAAGTTATTTCCTGTATTCCAAATTATATCCTGGCCAATGGCCACAAATAAGGTTATTTTCACCTGCTATTAAGAAAGTGTATGTTAAGTGTACTTATTTATCACAGGTTAACCGTGACCCCAGATTTGATGACCTTTCTGGAGAATTCAGGGAGGATCTTTTCAACAAATCCTACTCCTTTCTTACAGACATTAGAGTCCGGGAAAGAGATGTAAGTCATTCTCGTGCCTGGATTATCTTAACTTCTAACTGTTCTTTGTGCAGATTTTGGTTACAAAAGATAACCTCATACTTCACTGACTGGCACATTTATTGCAATGTTTATATGTGATAAGTTGAATGACGACGGAATAAACATAAATGTCCACTGTTCTTTTTATTTGGCAAAAAATATAACTTTGCATATAGAAAATATTTGTCTTTCAAATCTTATTGTGAGGAATGGCCAAGATATATGAATATATTATATTTGCAACTGGACACAAAAAAGAATTGAGTTTATATTGCTTGAACAGATTTTGTTTTGTGAAGATTACCCAGTCTTTTTTTAAATTTACAGATATAACAGCATAAGCAACAACCTTGGTCGTACCTTAAATACAACCTAAAACTGCCTGTATATGGATGACTATATAAATATATACATGTATTAATGTATATGATACATTAATGAATGTACCCTTTTCATCTTGAAATATCTTTCTTGTATATTTTTTATCCTTTATTTTCACTCAGAGAGTACAAAATCAATTGAAGAGAGTCAAGGATTCAGAGAAGAAACAAGATCTTCACTACCTACTTAATCGTATGGTAAGCTACAAAACATATTTTATGAAACTCTTTTAGTCCCTGCTTCATTACCAGATCACCTGTCTCATATTAGTAACAAATTCATTCCCCAAGATGAAGGACCTGAGTAAAAGTCAAATATGCTGTTTTTTTCTGTAGCCTAACTTTTCTATGAGTAGAGAGAATATCTTGACAGTTCATCGATATTCAGAAAACTTCTTTAAAGTTTTAATTCCTTTGAAGGTTACAAGTAGAAATCATGATCAAATATGCTTAACCCTGCACTTATGAAGAGAATGACATAACTTTTCCTACACTGAATAATCACTGGATGGTGTGTCCAGTGCTACAGTGTATTTTAATTTCCTGCTTATAACTAAAGTAAGTATGATTGAAGAGAACTGCTTGAAACAGCAGATACAAGCATGGTGACATTGTGCTATAATAGATCAGTTCCTACTTTCAAGGTCACAAATAGAAGTCAAATTTTAATTTGTTATTGAGAATGCACCAGAAACTATTTTCCTTTAGTGAGGTTTGCTGATAAAATAAAGTTTATAGTGACCTAGTTTTGGTGTTTGACACTCTGCCTTCCCTAGATGTAAATGTGTCCCAATTTTGATGATCCTACATGGAAAGTTGGAGAAATACTCTAAAAACCATGAAGTCCACAATTGTTTTATTATGTGACATTATACAATGAGATCAATAATTTTTCAAGTCACAAACACATAGATGGCATGGACCCCCATTTTGGAATCACAGAGTGAAGAACTTCAAATACAAAATATATAACATACACAAAAATTGAATTTCAGATTCAATTCATGTGATATTTAATTTCAAGTAAATATCATTTGCACAATTGACATCATCAATATTCACATAGTTCAGAATTTGATGAGATAATTCATTTGTAGTTGAATTCAGTATTGTGATTGTTAGAATTACAGACTGGCTGGGAAATTACCTAGGCCTATTTTTAGTATCGGTCTGTAACACTTTTCGATTTATAGGTCGAGGTCTGTAACACTTTTCTATTTATAGAACGAGGTCTGTAACATATTTACAGACTCGTCACATGACGTCTATCCTCCAACCAGGGCTAGGAATTAGCACCAGTCATATAACAAGAGATCCCAGAGGGATCTTGGCGCCCACCTTTGTACCATCTGCATTAGTTCTTTGTCAGTTCGATCTTATCTCTTCTTTCCTCTTATCTGTTTGATCGATTCATGTTAACAGTAAATGCACCTTGAGGTAACTTTTGATCTAAACTTAATACTGATGTGTATGAAAGCCAACCTTCAAAGTGAGTTTGTCATTTCACATATTTACTAGTACAGTACTTAATGTGAAAGAAATAGAATCGATCATTGCAATATGAGAAAGATCTGTTTAGTTCTACTTTTAATCCATTTTGTTTTTATGATCAGTCTCAAAATATAACATGCACAACGAGAGTTCGAGGGAAACCTACATATAAAATTTGAGAAAGATCCCTCCTGTACTTCCTGAGAAATAGCAATAACAAACTTTCACTATCAAAATCCAAGATCACTGCCTGTCGGCCATGTTGTTTATCCGATCAGTCTCTAAAATTGCCCTGCACAGCTAGGACCAAGGGGAACCTACATATAAAATTAAGAAAGATCCTTCTAGTTCTTCTGGAGAAATAGTGGTAACAAACCTACACTATCGAAATCCAAGATGGCTGCCTGTCGGCCATGTTGTTTATCCGATCAGTCTCAAAAGTTGCCCTGCACAGATAATAACCAAGGGGAACCTACATATAAAATTTGAGAAAGATCCCTCTAATAGTTCTCGAGAAATAGCGATAACAAACTTTCAATATCAAAATCAAAGATGACTACCTGTCAGCCATGTTGTTTGTCCGATCAGTCTCAAAAAATTCCCTGCACAGCTAAGGACCAAGGGAAATCTACACATAAAATTTGGGAAAGATCCTTCCAGTACTTCTTGAGAAATAGCGATAACAAACATTCACTATCAAAATCCAAGATGGCTGCCTGTCGGCCATGTTGTTTATCCGATCAGTCTCAAAAGTTGCCCTGCACAGCTTAGGACTAAGGGGAACCTACATATAAAATTTGAGAAAGATCCCTCTGATACTTCNGATAACAAACTTTCACTATCAAAATCCAAGATGGCTGCCTGTCGGCCATGTTGTTTATCTGATCAGTCTCAAAAGTTGCCCTGCACAGCTAAGGACCAAGGGGAACCTACATATAAAATTTGAGAAAGATTCCTCTGGTACTTCTTGAGAAATACTGATAACAAGAATTGTTTAATGACAGACCACGGACCACGTACGCAGGGTGATTTGAATAGCCCACCATCAGATGATCAGATGGCGGGCTAATAAAAAGGTTAACAGTATAAATAAATATACAATGCAAAATATAAAATGAATTTATAACTCAACATTTCACTAAACAGTGTACAATTTTATAACACCAGAAACAACAAGAAATGGCGACAAGTCAGAAACAAAAGAGGCAGGACCTTGAAAAGAAGTGGAAACAGAAGGAGAAGGAACGAGTGAAAGAAGGAAAGAATCCATTCTATCTCAAGAAAGGTAAAAACAGGTTTGATGCATACCTTTGTTTAGGGTTTCGTGTCCTTGCCATAGCTACGGTCATATGAAGATGGTTCTGTGTGCCTCTTACAATACAATGCAATGTTCTGGATTTCCATCCTTTCTTATGACTAAATTCTATTTTATCACATGTTGAAGACCTTATACAGTGTAAAAACACCATCACACATTAATTGCAGTAATGAAATATATATTTGTAATAACACCCATTGTGTTATCATAAAGAACACTGTATTAAATACTGGTATGAAGTCTCACATAGGAGTAAAACATGCTGGTATTTTGCTGTTTTTCTGATAACTTTAATCTTATGATGCACAAGGTAAAAAGGATATCAAGGAATGGGCTTTTCTGTTTAATGATACTTTTATACTTCCCATATACCGTGTGAGCAGTTAAACATGTTTTATTTCTTAAAATGTTATATAGATGATATATGTTTTTCAGCCATGTTGAAATCAAAAAATTACGTGTGTATTTTATTTATTTATACCTTCTTTGTTATACCTTCTTATTTCTTGCATTACCTTTGTAAATAAAAGAGGATTTTTACTTAATTTGGTAAAAAAAATACACACATTTAACTTATATGTACAATTACTTAAAGCATGGCGATTGAATTTTTTCTTTTGCATAAATGGGATATTAATTTTTCTTTTTTTCAGGGGATCTACGGAAACTAGAGTTAGCAGAAAAGTACAGAGAGCTCAAAAAATCTGGAAAAGTTGATAATTATCTCAGTAAAAAGAGAAAGAAAACTGCTTCAAAAGAGAAAAAGAAGTTACCCTTACCAGCAAAACAATTTGGATTTACATGATCATTATTTTCTATAAAGTTTCATTATAAAAATGTTCTTGTTTTGTCTTTACTTTCATGTTACGTAACAAGGTACTGAACACAACAAACATCTCATTGTACTTGGACTTCTCTCACATCTGTTACAACTTTCATCATTCCAAGCCCAGCCAGTCGTTTATTTAAGTGTTCCCTGTGCAACCAATTTTTTGTAGGAGATATAAAGAAACAGGTTCAGTCAGAACAAAACTTGTTATGGCTTTAATTTATCACCTGTTATTTTGATACTTACCATAGGAACAGCATGGCCACCATACAACCATCATGGATTTCAATACAATGTAGTTCTAGTTATCCTTTTTTTTCCCAAGAAGTCCATAACAGATCTATCTCAAATTTCATATGTAGGTTCCCCTTGGTCCTTTATTGTGTATGTCTAATTCTGAGACTGATCAGAAGGATAAGATGGCTGCCAGTCAACCATCTTTGATTTTGATAGTTTAATTTTGTTAACACTATTTCTCTAGAAGCCCTTCAACAGCAAATCTTTCTCAAATTTTGTATGTAGGTCCCCTTTGTCCTTAGTTGTGTATGTTTCATTTTGAAACTGACATTAAGAACAAGATGGCAACTATCTTGGATTTTAAATGCTTAATTTGGTTGTTAATGGTGAACACTATTTCTCAAAAAGCACTAGTAAAGATGGATATTTCTCAAATTCCATGTGAACATATAGGTTCCCCATGGCCTAGGTACAATTTTAAGACTGATTTGGAGATCAAGATTGCTACTTCTCAAAAAGTCCTTGAGAGATAATTCTTACAGTTTACCAGTACATAGGTCTCTCGTGTTCCAGAATTGTCCATGTTGAGACAGAAATAACAAAAGTATTACAAGGCAAGCCATGGTCCCCTTCCAGTAATGATAATGTCAAAGGTCATGCAAAGGACCAAGTGACCTACTTTTTGTTCTTGACACTCCACCATCCTAGGATGCCATGGGCAAACTCTTCAGATATACAAATGTAGCGCAAACCTATAATAGTCCCCCAAAGACCCTGTGGGGGACTCGTATGATGGGACCAGGCAGCCATCTTGGAATTTGAAAGTTAAGGATTGATATCAATATTTTCCTGAAAGTGATTGAGAGAGAATTTTCAAATTCCACAAACTAGTTCCCTTGAACTTCAATTGTGGATGTTCAATTTTGGAAACAAGAACAAGATGGCTGTCAGGTGGTCATTTTTAGCTCACTTGCCCTTCAGTGCGGCGTCCGTCTGTCCGGCGTCAACATTTTACTTTAAACAACTTCTTTTCAGTAACGAAAAGGCCTAGAATGATGATATTTAGCTAGTAGCATGCTGGAATCAAGGGCTACCAAGTTCGTTCAAATGAATGACCTTCATCCATTTTTAAGGTCACGGGTCAAATATGTTTAAATCTTTGAACGACTTCTTCTGAATACCCAAGAGGCCTAGGGTGATGTTATTTGGCCAGTAACATGCTGGGATGAAGGGCTACCGAGTTTGTTCAAATAAATGACCTTCGGCTTTTTTCAAGGTCACAGGGGTCAAATATGTTTAAATCTTTGAACGACTTCTTCTGAATACCCAAGACGCCTAGGGTGATGTTATTTGGCCAGTAACATGCTGGGATGAAGGGCTACGGAGTTTGTTCAAATAAATGACCTTCGGCTTTTTTCAAGGTCACAGGGGTCAAATATGTTAAAAACTTTAAATAACTTCTTCTGAATAACAAAAATGCCCAGGTTGATGATATTTGGCAAGTAGCATGCTGGGATGAAAGGCTACCAAGTTTGTTTAAACGAATGACCATCATCTATTTTCAAGGTCACAGGGGTCAAATATGTTTAAAACCTTTAAAGCAAATTTTTCTCCATAACTGAACAGCCTTGGATGATAATATTTGGCCAGGAGCATGCTGGGATGAAGAGCTTCCAAGTTTGCTAAAACAAATGACCTTCACCCATTTTCAAGGTCATAGGGGTCAAATATGTTTAAAACATGTAAACAACTTCTTCTGAAAACCCAAGAGGCATAGGATAATGAAATATGTTTAAATCTGTAAATGACTTGTTCTGAATATTCAAAAGGTCCAGGGTAAGCATGCTTGGACGGAGGGCTATAAACTCTGTTCAACTTAATGTCCTTATTTGTCTTTCAAGGTCACAGGCGTCATATGTTTAAACCATTTAAAAGATTCTTATGAATCGAACACAGATATTTTGCCTGTAGCTGTACATTAATAGTCCACTTTTAAGATTACAAGTGTGAGATTAATACCAGGTGAGCAATTCAGGCCCATTGGGCCTCTTGTTGAATTTGACATTTTGCTATTGCTATTTTTAAGAAAGTAAACTACAGGGCCTGTATGCATGAAACTGTTCTCATGCTAAAGCCTGAATTCTGTGTCCAAGCCAACTTTATTGAAATTCGCTTACATCACATAACACGGTCAAAAGGTCAAGTGTAAACAATGAAAACAGTATTTAGCTTTTCACAATTCATAAATATGTAAGTTTATTTTTTTATCTCAGGTTCCTGACTGAAGTTGCCAAGTTCATGACACAAGTTCCTGACATCAACATCTGGAACCCAATTCAAAGTCAAAGCGATAATCACAGCTACAAAGTTATGGTATGAGGAGTGTCTGTCCACACGTTGGTTTCTGCAAAGTAACTCGCTTGAATATCGTTCAATGTTGATGAACCTGTGTATGCATGTATATTGTACGAAGACTGAGGCTAAATTTGAACTTTAGCAATATCCGCCCATAATAAATAAGCATCTTGTACCCCGATTGGTCAATTTCCAAACTTTATTTCCACAAGATAACTTGCTAAACTATCATTCAATTTTTATGAAACTTGGTATTCATGTTTATCATACAAAGGCAGAGGCTAAGTTCAAAATGAGCAAAATCCATGCATAATTATTGAGCATAATGTGCTGATTGGTTGATGGTTTCTGCACAATATCTTCTTAATACCACCAGATTCTGATAAAACTTGGTCAATATTTACACTTTGTCTAATAGCTAATAGCTTTGGTTATAATGGTGTAAGAGGAATCATTTTCTATTTGTGCAGTTTGAAATATATACAAAGGAAGACAATTCCTGTGAAAAACATTTTATGAACATCATACAGGTTATGTGAAATATATGTATACCTTCAATTAGTTGGTCAAGTACAGTATGATTTTTCCTTTCACCACATTTTAGAAATACAGTTTTACTGTGTATACTTAATTCTCAACTTCAATGAATAATACAGTACAGTTGTTGTTTCTTCTCACATTTCCATACTTCATGCATTTATATACAATAATTAACGCATCAGATGGATTTTAAGCATGTCAGATAGGCATGGGATGGTCGTATATTGTTCTGTCCTGTAGCACTCTTGTTACATGATGGGATGAGAAAGTTAGATACATTGTATTTGGACAGCTGGTATCTGAATAAAGTTTCCAACCAATCATGAAATTTCAGACAAGAAATCCTGACATTAATCTCTTGAAAAAAGTTCAGTTCTATAAAACTTTATTTCTCTATCACAAATAAACACAATTTCACTGCAGTATATACTATACACCTTTGATATAACTTTCAATCATACTCTTGCATTGTACATGATTACCCTAAAAACTTTACATGGAGACATATTTAAAAACATTCTTTTTATCCATGCAATGTTTTGTTTGGGTGCATTAATTTATTTTATATTATTACCAAAAGCAAATAATTCTAGAGTTGGAAGTATTGGGAACCATTTTGGTATGTGTTCATTAGAACATAAATGTGATACGCTCCATTATTATTCTTGATATTAAATTAAACAATAGGCCCAATGGGCCTGCATCGCTCACCTGGTATAAATCTCACACTTGTAACCTTAAAAGTGATCTAGAATAAAGCGACAGGCAAAATATCAGTATTTATGATTAAAATTCATTCAAAAGAACCTGTAATTTTTTTTAAAACATTTCACCCCTGTGATTGAAAGTTGAACAAAGTCATTATGTTGAACAAATTTTATAGACTTTCATCTCAGGATGCAACTTGCAAAGTGTCAACATCCTGGAACACATGGTTATTCAGAAGAGGTCCTTTAAAAATTTTTAACAAAATTTACCCCTGTGACCTTGAATATAAGTCAAAGTCATTCACTTTAACAGACATCGTAGTCCTTGATCCCAGCATGCTACTGACTAAATATCAAAATCCTGCGCCTTTTGGTTATTCAGAACAAGTTGTTTAAATATTTTGAACATATTTGCTCCTTGTGACCTTGAATATGATTCAAGGTCATACATTTAAACAAACTTAATAGCCCTTGATCCTAGTATGCTACTGACTAAATATCATCACCCTAGGCATTTTGGTTATTGAGAAGTTGTTAAAAGTGTTTAACATATTTGACCCCTGTGACCTTGAAAATGGCTGAAGGTCATTAATTTTAACAAACTTTGTAGCCCTTCATCCCAGTTTGCTTCTGGCCAAATATCATCACCCTGGGCATTTTGGTTATTCAGAAGAAGTTGTTTAAAGTTTTTAACATATTTGACCCCTGTCACCTTGAATATGGGTGAAGGTCATTCATTTGAACAAACTTGGTAGCCTTCACCCAAGGATGCTACTTGCCAAAATATCATCTCCCTGGGAAGTTTTGTTATGGAGAAGAAGTTGTTTAAAGGTTTTAACATATTTGACCCCTGTGACCTTGAATATAGGTGAAGGCCATTCATTTGAACAAACTTGATAGCCCTTTACCCCAGCATGCTACTGGCCAAATATCATCACCCTGGGCATTTTACGTTATTGAGAAGAAGATGTTAAAAGTTTTTAACATATTTGACCCCTGTGACCTTGAAAATGGGTGAAGTCATAAATTTTAACAAACTTTGTAGCCCTTCATCCCAGTTTGCTTCTGGCCAAATATCATCACCCTAGGCCTTTCGGTTATTAAGAAGAAATCGTTTAAAGTAAAATATTGTGCCGGATGCCGGACAGACGGACGCCGCGCCACGACATAAGCTCACTTGGCACTTCGTGCCAGGTGAGCTAAAAATGATTCATGCTATACAATACACTTCATATGTGAAATCTCAAAAATTGTGTGTAAACAGGAAGATGTTAGAAATTAATACAATTTTGTTGTTACAGATAGAAGACCTGAAAATCCCCCAGAAGTCCCCCAACAGACTCCCAATACACCGCATTACAGCCTACTTCATACTACACATCATGGCGACAAATTCTGGCCAGTGTCTGATGCTGGGACAATATCCCATCCAACAAAAAGGCATAGAAAAGTGCCCGAGCCATAGAGAGAACCCTCTGGTATTTTTGTGTGGGAATTGTAAAACTTTAATATTCGCTACTTGTAGCATCACTGAACACAGAGAACATATAAACAGTTTTGTTGAAATTAAGAAAATTGCTAAAAATCAGAAACACGTACTACAAGAGTTTATTTCTGACATGGATGTTAAGATTCCGAAACTTAAAGGAGAAATAACTTCTGCGAGAACAAATTTTTCACAATATCACCAAAAATACAGACAAATGTCTGAAAACATTAAAAACCAGAGGGATAGCAGTAAACTGGAATTAGAGACAATAGCTGAGAATTACTTAGCAACATGTGACAAGATGGAGAAGGAGACCACAGACCACCATCAGACTCACATCACAAACCTAGAGGACAGGTTAGACACTTTAGTTAAACTCTCATCAGAGTGTAAACAGACCCTCCAGACAGGCACCGCTGTACTTGTGTATGACTCGGTATCAGAAATCCAGGACATGGACTTAGATATCCCACAGACAGCTAACATAGACATGACAGAGTTTACTCCAGGTAACGACAGACAAAGTCACCTGGAGCGGGCCATGGGGAAATTGAAGACTCCTACTGACCATTTCCAGGCAGGATCAGCACCTAGTGGTCACTCCAAACAAGGTCCACTTATGAGACCTAAACAGTCCAAATCTACAGAGACGGGTCAAACATCCACTGGAGCAGTCCTGTACAAACTTTGTGACAGTCCAACTGTCATATCTCATTTCTTATACCCATATCCTATCACATCAATTTGTCCTACAACTAATGGACGTGCATGGCTGTGTTATTGTAAAACCAACACAGTAAAACTCATCAACAACAAGAGGCCTGCATCTCTCACCTGGTATAAATCTCATACTTGTAACCTTAAAAGTGATCTAAAATAAAGCTACAGGCAAAATCTCAGTATTTATGATTAAAATTCATTCAAAAGAGCCTGTTGATTTTTTTTAAAACATTTCACCCCTGTGATTGAAAGTTGAACAAAGTCATTATGTTGAACAAATTTTATAGCCTTTTATCTCAGGATGCAACTTGCAAAGTGTCAACATCCTGGTACCCATGGTTATTCAGAAGAGGTTGTTTAAAGATTTTAAACAAATTTGACCCCTGTGACCTTGAAAATGGGTGAAGGTCATTCATTTGGACAAACTTTGTAGCCCTTCATCCCAGTTTGCTTCTGGCCAAATATCATCACCCTGGGCATTACGGTTATTAGCTCACCTCGTCCGTCGTCAATTCAAATGAATGACCTTCAATTATATTCAAGGTCACAGGGGTCTAATATGTTAAAAACTTTTAACATCTTCTTCTCAATAACGTAAAATGCCCAGGGTGATGATATTTGGCCAGAAGCAAACTGGGATGAAGGGCTACAAAGTTTGTTAAAATGAATGACCTTCACCCATATTCAAGGTCACATGGGTCAAATATGTTAAAAACTTTAAACAACTTCTTCTCGATAACCAAAATGCCCAGGGTGATGATATTTTGCCAGTAGCATGCTGACACGAAGGGCTATACAGTTTGTTCAAATGAATGACCTTCAATTATATTCAAGGTCACAGGGGTCAATTTGCCATAAAAAAACTTTAAACAACTTCTTCTGAATAACCAAAATGCTCAGGGTGATGATATTTGGCCAGTAGCATGCTGAGATGAAGGGCTACAAAGTTTGTTCAAATGAATGACCTTCACCCATATTCAAGGTCACAGGGGTCAAATATGTTAAAAACTTTAAACAACTTCTCAATAACCAAAATGCCCAGGGTGATGATATTTGGCCAGTAGCATGCTGAGATGAAGGGCTACCAAGTTTGTTCAAATGAATGACCTTCACCCATTTTCAAGGTCACATGGGTCAAATATGTTACGCCATGGCATAAGCTCACTTGGCACTTCGTGCCAGGTGAGCTGAAAATATTCATACGAAATAATGAGTGCTGAGAGCACTGGACAACAACTTGCACCTAGGGTTATACTCTCCAGACAGAGTTACTGTTCTTGAATTTCACACTCACTTCCCGAGGGAGCAGTCATTGTTTTTTTAGAAAAACATATTGACAATTCTGAATTGAAAGTAGCCCGATTTATTGATATCATGAATTAAAACATAACTACAAATTTATGATAGCGATATACACATTTTATTTATATTTCACGAATTTGTTTATCATGAAAAAATTACAAGTTGAAATTATGGTATGAAATTGCCTGATTCAACGACTAAAACCAATTTGTGAATCAGATAATAGATTTTGTATTGAAAGATTTCATGAATTACATATTCATTACACAAAAATCAAATTGGAATAATTAAAAAAAGCTTTACTCACTGATATTATATTGAAAGTGAAGATACGAAATTAACAAAATATAAAAGAACAAGTGTTCTGAGGGTAAAAATTCATCGCAGCAAGTGGGGATTCGAACCCTGGACTTAATACTGTTATGCTATTCCTCTGACAGATAGAGCTACCTGGTCAACGTATATGGCCTATCCAAACTGTACTACAGTTATATCAAACAGAATTTAAGGGGAGATACTGTATAAAGGAAAAACCATACTGCAGTGGGACAGGGATCCTTAAATACACATACAATATTTCCATTGCATATATTCAGTTCCTTTGGTATCCCTACACACTCTCTAAACACTGTATTAAAATATATGATAAATTTGGAACCTGTTCATAGTCACAATTAATATTCCCAAGTGTGTCTTTGCATCACACCATGTTTTATTACACAATCGTGGTGCTAGATTTATCACACCATTCTTGCACCACACTTTATACCTCAAAAGTCACAGATTTAGGTCAAATGTACTTTATATCAATCATCCATTTAAATGCAGCATGCAGGTTATTTTTTTTCAGCCTCCTTTGTCCGTAAATACTTTGCCTCCACTTCTTCCTGTCTTTTCAATGTTTGTTCCTCTACTACCTTTTCCCTTTCTATCAGGAATTGTCTGTATTCCTCTGGATCAAGGTCTTTCACAACTTGTAATCCTATGGAATGAGCACTACCTATTATCATCTTACAGATATTCTGAAGGTTAAATCTGTCCATTGTTCCTTCAGATTGCTTTATCTTGGCAATCTCGTAGACATGTCTCAATGTTATTTTTCCAGCTATTTCTTCACCTAAGTAAAAGAGAAAGGGAAATATTAACAAAACTACAGTGTTTAAAATTATGTTTGTTTTCCGTCTCCGAAAAAGAATACTAACATATTTATATTGATATATTAACTTTTTAAATGTAATTTTGTCAGAATATAATTTAGTTGGTACATTGTAGTGTAGTTTCAATTTCAATATTCTTTAAAATATCATACTGCAGTTGTTTTGATTATTTTATTCTAACAACAGAAAAATGCATCCATTTTATATCAGAAATTAACAACTTGTTTACATTATTTAGTGACTGATAAGTTTGAAAGAATTTAAATTCAAAAAACATTTACCTGGAGATAGGGCTCCCTTACTAATTCCTGCAGCACTACATAAAAAATAAGATGTAGTTGGCATAGCATGCTTTATATCAATGCTGCGGTCCGCCTATAGAAGAAATGAAATGAAAAATCAGATTGTCCAATTTCATTCAAACAACATACACAGTCGAAATATTTGTATGACTAATAAGGAGCTATCAATTACAAAGATGTTCAAATAAATTTACAATTATACTTAAAGTTGTATGTGTCAGGATATTACATGGTAAACTAAACATGGAGAAAGAAGAAAATCCAAATTTTGAAAATGTAAGTTAACAACATAAACTGATGGCACATGTAGAATACATTGACCCTGAAAGTGAAATTTGTAGCTAAATTACACCTTGGATCAAATCAACATACATATAAGTTTTAATACCAGGTAATAAGTGAAAAATAAAACCTAATAAATTTCATTTACCTGAAAACATGATTGGCAATATTTATACTGTAGTTTAATAGTGTAAATTTGAAGTAAATTATTCTACACTTTTTGGAATGTTTATACATTGTTTTGTTCATATCATGATATCCGTTTGTGTTAACATATGGTGTGAATAAAAAGAAAAACATTATTTATTCCTTTCAAAGCAATTGAAAAATTCCACAGAACCACCTTTTTTATGATGCTTGGTTAAAAATATGGAAATATTAAATGCAAGCACATTCTTCTAGGGTCATTATCAAAGTTTTTCTTTATGCACAAACAATGTACGTGTTAAACATGTTGCAATGTTTAAAGATTAGCTGGTCCCTTTGTCAAGATATGACTATTTCCAACCTGATGAATCTTATTGAAGATCTTCTAGGGTCAGTCATAAAAATGTGTAACTGAATTTTCGAAGACAATTCAATTCAAATGAGAATATAACTATTTTGAGTTTCAACCTACCGGTTGATACAATTAAAATTGTTTGTCAATGTACAATTTACCAATATTGATCAGTCAGGTGAATCCAAACAATCCTGTAACAACTTTCTCGATATACACAAATTTATGTGGTTTGACATAGTTTCTATATTTATCACATAATGTAATGTGTTATCCAGTGAATATACCCAGGTCATATTTGTTTGCGTATTAACCCATGTAATATGACCTATCAGCCCTGTGATTGGTTGTAAGTTTCAATTGTGACGTCACACCTAGGACAAGTACATGACAACACAGTGTGAGACTTACGCATTGGAGTAAAATTGGCGGCTTTTTACATTTCAAGGTTGCATGAAAATTGTCGTTTTACACGAATGAATGCCACAAATCTTGATTATGTAATAAAAAGGAACATTTCATATGAAATTTATGAAACTCGTCACAATTTTTTTATTTTAGCTCGCCAGAGGCTCGCTAAATTGAATTATTTTTTTAGACACGTTTCAGAAATGACATGAAATGGAAACTCATGTAAGATCCTTTATATATACAATCCATAATATATTGTGAGCCTTTGAAATTTTGAAAGCAATCAATCTAAATCTAATTATTTACCTTTAATTTGATCCAAGTTGGTAAAGGCAGCCCTTCTTTAATGTTGCCTGTCATGTCATTAAACTGCTTACAAAATTGTGAAATCTGTATTCCTTTCTGTAAAAAAGATAAAAAACAAATATATTATGTTACATATATAGTGATAAATAAATACTGGTGTATTCTACATCCATCCAATTCATGATGTGTGGAACACAAATCAATAGGATATCTTATAACAGTACTAGTTAAAACAATGATATATCAACCCAAGGAAAAGGAATTTACTTGATGCAAAAAGTTAAGGAGAGTTTAGTCTTATTCATCGTCAGAAACCCACGTTCCATTTTATTATTTTGATTAAGGGCTATTTAGGGCCTTTTTCAGTAATAGTAAACCTTAAAATCTCCTGCCATTCGCAAATGTTAAGAGTAAAGAGACCTAAATGTGTACCAGTAACTTGGATGTCTCTAGACTCATCATACAAACACTAAACAACACTAAAATCAAATACTGCTCCGTTTCCGGAAAATCTGGATACACTTGTATTACCTTGAAACAAAATAATCATTTTCTATAACGAGAGGCCAGTAGGTGCTGTAATAGCTCACCTGGAATTTGTTATTTTAATTCAGAGCCTGTCGAATACCATCAAGTGTATGGATTCTTAAGGAGTTGTTTTACCTTTGAAATATTTGACCCCTGTGACCTCCATTACCTCAAGGTCATTTTTGTTTGCAAAATTTGTAAGGCTCCACCCAAGAAATCTACCAGCCAAATATCATGACTCAATACCTTTTGATTCTTCGGAATAAGTCATTTAAATTTTATTTGACATATTTGACCTTGAAAGTGGGTCAAGGTCATTCTTTTCCAAAAATGTTGTAAGGCGCCACCTCAGAAAGCTACTAGCTTCATATCATAAGGCCTTTAAGTTTTTTTAATGAATTCATTCAAAGATTTTGACATATTTGACCTATACCAATGCATATGAAAGTAGGTCAAAGTCAATTTTGTTTGCAAATTTTGTAAGACTCCATCAAAGAAATTTACCAGCCAAATATCTTTACTCTAGGACTTTCAGTTCTTTATAAGACATCTAGATCTGTGACCCTGAAAGTAGGATGCAGTCTTTTTTTTATTCGCATGCCTTGTTAGTCTTCATCTAAGAAATCTACCAGCCAAATATCATGACTCTATGTCTTTCTCTTCTATTCTCAAAAGAAGACATTTTTTTAACATTTTGTTCAAAATTGTGTAAGGCTCTCTCTCAGGAAGCTACAAGCGAAATATCATGACCCTAGCACTTTCGGTTTTGCAGAAGATGTAAATTTAAGCTTTAGACACATATTTGATCCATGTGACCTTGAAAGTAAGTAAAGGTCATTTTTGTGTGCAAAATTTGTTAGTCTTCACCCAAGAAAGCTACCAGAATAATATCATGACCTTAAACCTTTTGGTGCTTCTTTTTTGACATTATTGATATGTGACCTTGAAAGCCTGTCAAGGTAATTTTTTTATCCAAAACTTTGTTTTCACCAGCCAAGGAATCTACCAGTTTTATATCACATCTCTGGCCTTTTGGTTCTTCAGAAAAGGTCGTTAAGGCATTTTTTACCTCTAGATCTGTGGCCTTGAAAAAGGTCAAGGCCTTTTTTCGCAACTTCATAAGCCTCCCTCCAACAGAGCTACTAGCCAAATATCATGACTGTTTTTTTAGAATAGGTCGTTTAAAGGAAAGTTGATGACGGACAAACTCCATATTTGTTAATCCGTCTACAGTAAGCGTAATAATGCACTAGACTTCTATCAAGATCAAGCCTTTATTTGACCATTGACCTTGACGTGAAGTTCCCCCGAGATCTAGAGGTGAATTGGTTCTAAGTAAAGAAGAACATAAGTGTATCGCATGTTATGAGCGGTGCAGCTGATTTTTCTCGAAAATACCTAATGTACCAAAAAAGTTTGTAATATTTACGAATAGAGTCAGTAAGTTGAGTAACATTTTCAGAGTAGGCCTACATGAGTCGAATTAAATAAGTGTTTAATGTAACCTTTCCTAACTGCGGTCCCAATGGTGGAGATGGAGTGGCTTTTCCTGATGGTATTGTTGTCCTTAGTATTGAACCACTTGCTTCTCCACTGACGACATTTTTCAAGTTTTTTGCTCCCTTCACCACTGCCTTGACTTTACCGCGAGCCATGATGCTGTCGAATTAAAAAATTAGAGTTATTTCCCTTAACGGAAAAAATCCTATCTTACCTTAGTTTAAAAAAAATGGACTAGATAAAATAATCAACACAAGTAGCAATGTTGAACTTATTATTTTAAACACTAATTATTTTAGATGAGAAAATGAAAATGTTTTGATAAAAGAATAGAGATGAGAGGAGCCTGTTGAGATCAAGGTAGTCTACCATAATAACCAAGATGGCGTCCGTTCCCACACCGGAGGAGCTGAAAAAGCTAAAAGTCGTAGACTTAAGGGAAAAACTTTCGAAATTGGAACTACCAACTGCAGGTGATTTTTTATAATAAGTACTTATTAAATGAGCTATGAATATCTTACCGTGTGTCTGCACTTATTAAAAACAATAATCTTTTCCACATGTAAACCCCGAAACGTTGGTCCGACGCCGCACATGACATAGCTAACACGGTTAAGTGTACTGCACGGTCGATAACCGGCTACAAATGTACTGATAATAAGCATTGTTTCACTCTCCGTGCAGCAAACAGTGCTTGAAGTGAAATAGTGGGCCATGCCAACCGTCAGAAAATTGTGGAAAATTTGAGTCGATGTTCAAAATAAAATGTTGAATCAATAAAACGAGCTATTGTTATGACAAAACAAAAAAAAATATCACAGCAAGGAAATAAAATGCTACTTATCTATCGGTGAGGTATGAGAGAATTTTTCAAACATCGTAACTAAAAGTAAAGAGCGTGCAGATTTTTAATAGGGGAGATATACATGGCTGTAGAATCAGAACTATTGATAGTACAATCTAAATTACATGTGTTGTGTATATGGTTTGGTCGAGTATTCTTAAACGTCCTATCAACAGCTATGGTCATTTAAGGACGGCCTCCTCCCATGTGTGCAAGATGTATGCGTGTGTTTTGGGAGGCTGCAATATTTTCATGTTTGTCACCTTGTGATAGCACGGTTGGTTGGTTGATGGGTTTATCGCCTCCATGATTCCACCCATACAGGTTTCATCACACTGACGGAAGTCGGTGTTCTGTCGGCGTTATTGATAGGGCAGAACTGATCCCGACTTTATAGTGCTGCCTTACTGAAACATACTCCAGAAGACACCCAGCTGGACACCCTACCTGGTCACATTATACTGACAAATGGCGAAACCAGTTGTCCCACTCCTAAACTGCTGAGCGTTCAACAGGAGTAGAAACTACCATTTTTACAGACTCTGGTATGTTTCGGCCTGGGGACAGAACCCAAAGCCTTCCTCACAGGGGCGAACGCTCAACTAAAGGCCAAAGTGAGGCATTGTCAAGGGAGACATTAGGAAAAAGAAAGTTGTTTAGATAAGATCCCAAATTAAGTCGCCTCTTACGATCATACAATGGTGGCAGCAGATACAATTCTTATGCCGTACCTGCAGGGACTAGTGTATATGAAGCATGATAAAGGAATAGTAACGTTAATGATAATCAATCTAGTCCAGTTCTGCTACAATTGTAAGTGACATCATAGAGAAATTATGTTTTACAAAAATTTGCAGAAAGACACTCTCTTGCCAGACCATGCTAATTTTATAAGATTGTTGACAAGATTGAATTTGGTATTGTGGATGAGGATCAGCTAGATCTGCTGGAAGAACATGTACAGTTCAATGAATGTAGAAAGTAACTTTAACATCATTAAAAGATTTAAGTTATAATTTAATATCTATTTTTCTTATATTTGTTACAAAAAAAAGCTGTCGCACGCTAGGGGACATCCGGGTAAATACGGACACTTTTCAAATGATGACTACTAATACACGCTCCTTGGTACAGTTCATCAAATTGCTGTGTGCGATCTTTCAAAGATATTATCTACGAACATGTTAAGTTAGAATGAAGGACCCTTTTTGTTGCTATTTTAAGTGATGCTTTTGATTGGCTGGTAAAATGAACACTAAAATATAAACCAAAACACGGAATATAGAGAAATCGGTTGTCAAACAGACACGTGTAGGGTAATTACGGACACATGTCGGGTAACTACGGACACGCTACTCTAATCATGCACTCACCCAATAAAACCATAGAAACTGGTCACAATGTTTCGCCAGGGGTTGCTACATCCTGTCCGCATACATGTACAACAAACCGGTCAGTTTGTAATTATAACTTACCGACCCTGTCACAGACTTTCAATTTTGTGATATTGCCCGGGAGTCCATAATGTAAGTTTAACCAGAGACATGTAATATATGTCTCTGGTTTAACAATCTATATATGTGTAATATTGTGTTAATTCTGATATATTTGCTTGTAAACAGAAATCAATGTAAAAGCCTGATTTTAATAACAGGAGTCAGAACAATCTCTGTAGGCCAAGTTGGTCAACTAGCCCCATACTTACATATGGCCACGTGCTTCATGATGTAAGAAATTGTTTCAATCTTGTGTTTTGATTGCAGTTTCTGTTCATCATGACGAACTGTTCATTCTCCGTGAAATTAAAAGTGACCACAAACCCAAACGAATTTGTTGTCTTGAATTCAAATTTCATGTACAGTTATATGTTCAGGTCTTCCGGGAGTATTGCCTTTATCCCCACTTTATGTAAGTCCCCACTTAGTTTTGTTTAATAAAATTTTAAAAAAGTGCTTAGTATGAACGAAAATAACATCACACGCTCTTTTAATGATTTTAAGTAACCTTGCTGCAGTGAGACCTCATCTCTACTGAAGGATTCCAAAACAATAAGTACACAATTTTAGAGTTTAATAAGGCATTGATTGATTATTGCAGTATTGTTAATGTAATGCGATACAGACAGACAAAATTATTAGTTTCGATACACGAGAAAGTATCACGATACAGTATTTTAAGAAATTACTTTTGTAGCATACTGTTAATAAATGTAACTGGTAAAGAACCAAAATGTAATGGAATGAAATAAGATACTGTCTAATATTTCTGTGGATTACAATTTCATTTTTTATCATATTTTCTCTCTTATTTCATAATCATATTTTTTATGAAATGTCATCTTATATACGTTTGAAGCATAACAAGAGAAACAAGGGGGATGTGTAGTCTCAGCTATGGTACATGTAGCCTTTTGTAAGAACCACATAACTATTAATTGATCAATTAAGAACTGTCCGTATTTACCCGCCTAATAAAAATCTGGGGTCATCAAAAGAGGGTCAACACTCTCTTTTAGTATAACCGGGGTTGGCAGGTATGCAAGAAAGAAATATGAATGATGTAACGTAACCATTAATCTGTTTGGGTCCTTTAACCCCATTAAAAGATAGACACTTGAACGTACAGCTGCAGCTACCCAATTGTAATATTAAGTCCTGCATTTGAGTAACAGTTACTGTTTACAGTATCAATTTCATTACTGAAATAGAGAATTAAGTGAAATAAAAACTTAGAAAGTTTCAAACATAAAATAAAATTTAAAAAAAGGGCATTATTCTTTCAAAATACATAATCCAGTAATAATAAAATGAGATGCATTTGTGCAAAAAGAATTGATTCAGATGTCTTAACTTTCTGTCAAAAAAAAGAAAATTAAAACTTCTCTAGCTGATGATAGAAATATTTCATGCTAGGTATATTAGGTATTTTCATTCTTGAAATTCAAATACATTGCTAATTAAGGGGAAAATTGTAAATCCTCATCATGGCATGTATGTTTTAAAAATACGCTAACACATTTTTAGCAGTTGTCCTCTTTCAATGGACAGACAACTGTATTGCCGTTACTTTTGAGACATTGGGTATATGAGTCCCACAGGAAAAGTCCAGAACTCAAATACCTGTGTCTCAAAAAACACCCAAAAATTACTGACTATAGCAACATAATAGTTTTAAATTTCCAGTCACATGCACATGTACAATACTGCCGACATAAAACTGGTGACAGCATCAGCTATATATTCATCAGTAATATTATTAACAAGATCACTTCAAGACCAGCCCCAATCTGATTTCATTTGCCTCCCATGCTATCTACAAAACCACTTTAACCTAATATATAGTTATATTGATGTTTGAAGTCAATAATAAGCATTATCAAATACAGGGTTGACAGAGGGAAAGCTACAGATATTGAAACAACCAAAAAGCATCACTTGCATGTTTGGTTACCATGGCAATTAATATATATGTTTGGATTATGACATTAATACAGTTAGAATATGAAATTGCAATGTGATTCTTGGGTGCTAATTTGAAATTCAATGTTTTTTCTATTATTTTGTGACATTTTAATTATGCATTTATAATTACATGTCCAGCTAGGACCCTTTTCTTGGTAAAGGAATCAATTTGATAAACAATATTGTGACAGCTTTACTTGTTTGTTTTAGGTTTAAAAGCAGAGCTTATTGGACGACTACATAATTACTATGTCCAGGTAAAACAATTTTAAATTAAGAAAAAAAGCATTATGAGCTACTGTCTTTGCCATGACTTAATTAATTTTTGAAATGCTAAATTTCCTCATTGTTGACATTATTGAGGAATTATATGTGGGAGATTAGGTAAATGAAGGATTCAATACTACTGTAGTTTTAAACTGCGAGGCATTTTAAACTGTCAAACTGAACATGATATATTTGGTGCATAGCATAAAAGTAGATATGATTTAAAATAAGTTTGGATGCTATGCATGGTTGTTTTCTTTTTAGATATAGAGACACACTTGAAATATCATCAGTTAGTGTAATTTACATGTATATCATACCTATATGACATATTCTAGTTAATTAGAAATATATCTTTTTACAAGCTGTGCATTACTTGTGTGACATTTCTGTATATATTCCCTGCTTTTAAGAGATAAGGAGGGATATTAATTTGGGTCTGTCAGTCTGATATATATATTGTATCCTTCTTTTTATCCAGGAAAGTCTCAAGCAAGATGAAGGGGAATCATCTCCAATGGAAGAGGGTAAAATACATTGATTTATTTGGCTAGTTTTTTTTTTTATTTATTTGGCAAGATTCTTTCTTTTGTATTTATAAACTGACAATGATACTTAATGGCACAAAAAAGGATAAACAGTGAATTTAAATGTAGTGTCTATGTAATTTGTGCTCATGATCATCAAGCACAAATTATGTCCAAAATGTATACCCACGTGCCTTCTAGAGGTAACATGATCATTCATCACATTTGTTTAAAAATCTTTAATACATGTACTTGATAATTTACACAATATGATGTTAATGTGATATTTCAATGTATATAATTTTTAGATTTGTTTCTCCATTACTGTCTCGAGTGCTAATTAACCCAATATAACTTTTTTTCATTTTTTTTTCAGAATCTCCTGATGAAGAGAAGGAGGTGTGTTATGTCAGCAGTTTGCAACAACAATAAAAAAAAACATTTTGTTCTCATTTGGGAAGTTTTATAAAATGATACAAGTACCAGTACATTAAATTGAAAAATGAAAAAAGGTGCACAATCAAATTAACTGTTATTCTAAGTGCTAAACCTCCATTTGCCAATTTATTAGTAGTTTTAGGTGTATGTAAAAAAAAATTATTAAGACTTAGAAAGGTGTTGCTCTTTTCAGGGCAGTATACAGTACCCATGTTATTACATGTACATCAAATACAGTACATACCAGGTATATGTAAAAGATAAGACATTTGTTATATCATGTTTACAGGAGGATTTGCCACCTGTACCAGTGCAAGTACAAAAAACAGAGGTAAGTTTTAATCATCTTAATCACAATGGGTGAGCACGACTAAACGGTAATAATATATTTTCACTACAAGCTTTCCAAAAGGAAAGGTTTTAATGCCCCTAAGACATAAAGCATTAAGATTTTTGTTTTTCTTTTGGTCTTTTTGTCTATAGCTATTTGTAAGACATTTTGCTTTTTTCATAGGTTCCTGATAGTCCTGGGCCATCTCGATCAGTAGATGAAGATCTCCAGCGAAAGGTGGCTCTCCAGCAACAGATGATAGTGGTGGAGCACCAGCAAGAACAGGAGAAGAAACTACTAGAGCAACAGAAGGAAGCTCTTGCATTACAGGCCCGACAACAGGCAGCGGCAGCTATGATGATACAGCAGCCTCAGCATGTGGCCCCTCCTCCCCCTCCTGCACCAGTGTCTGCACCTCCCCCTCCTAACATAGACCTGATGGAAAAGGTCAGACAACAGCAACAGATGCTAGAGGCAGAGAAACACAAACAGATGATGGAACAGCAGCAAAAGGTGATACACAATTTTCTGGAGGGTAAACCAAACGATAGAAATACATTTTAAATAAGTGCAGAAAAAAAGTCACAAGTATCACAATGACCTTAGGGTAGGTTTTTCATTCTATTAACTGCTCTTCGCAAAGTTTTGCCCCATTATCAGACTTCGTAAGGACAATTTTACATGTTTTTAACCCTAAAGTACTTTAATATACAAAACCAGTCGACAAGTAACTAGGAAGAAGAACCTTTCCTGATGCTTTTGTGACTTATTCCCTTTTTTGATTCAAATCATCCATTACTCTGCATAAATCAAGGTATCTAGTTGAAGGTAAAGAACCCTCCCATTCACCTTTGTGCAAACATTGGTGTTAGCACTACAAACCTCATTCCCCCCCCCCCCCCCCCCCCCAAATAAAAGCATGAAACATGAACAGATCTAAACCATTTTCAGTGTGAAGATTCAATAAAATAAAAACAAATAGCAGTAGTAAGATTTCTCAAAACTGAAAATTGAAAATTAAGTGAGAAAATTTTATTTACAATATTGCAGATGATTCAACAACAACAGCAACAGCAGCAACAGCAGCAACAACAGCAAGCTATCAGTCAGGCAGAGGCAGAGCGAAGAATCAAGGAGGCAGAGATCTTCAGACAGCAAAAATTTGCTCTGATAGAGGCTCAAAGAGAGGAGCAGCAGATGAGAATGCAGAAGGAACAGCAAAGACCACCTGGTGTGTAATCAGCTGTCCTTGTCATAGAACTGTAAAGCATTTTTTATTTGACTTCAGTTATTTGAAAAATTAAATTATTAACTCCATCAGGATAGCTTTCTGATAACTGTCGTATAATGTTTTGTCTTATGATGTAATTGATTGTGTTGTTGCAGCCCACCAGATGCCAGTGCCCCCTCCAGGCCTCCCTGTGATGTCTCACCCACAACCACCATCCACCACCATACAACAGCAACCTCCACAGGCTCCCCCACCTGTTCAGATTTCAACTCCATTGCCCCCACAGATGCCTCCCCAGATAAGTGGACCACCTCCCCCAGTGGGTCCCCCTCATGGCCTTCCCCAGCCAGCTCCGGCTCCTCCTGGTATGGGTCCACCACCAGAGCTTATGAGCTTACCTCCACCCCCTCATGGAGTACCTCCCCCTCAAAATCTTGGAATGATGCCACCCCAGGGATCACCTATGCAGACTGGTGCACCTCCCCCTGGGATGCCACCTCAGCAACAGAGGGATTCTGGTATGCAGCAGATGATGCAACCTGCACAGTCCATGATTCCACAACAACAGGCACCTCCCACAGTGTCAGAGCCACATCATGAAGGACCACCTCCTCCCTTACAGCCACCAATGAGGCCACCCCCTCCACAGCAATCACAAATGGGCATGCCACCCCCACCAATGTTACAACAGCCGCCAGGACCACCATCATCCATGGTTCAGCTAAGTGGCCCCCCTCCACAGCAATCTGGACCACCGCCACCACGGCCCACAGGCATGCTCCCAGGACCCCCAATGTCTGGACCACCACCCCCAGGGGTAGTCCAGACACCACCACAGGAGAAACTTCCATCTCCACAGGTATGTAGACAGGAATATGGTGAATCGTACTAATAGAGGAATTTTTAAAAATGAATTAAAAAAAAAATGATAATTGCGACTTACTAAAACATACAAAAAGCCTTTTCATTGTGAATACCTGTATGTATATTTTACTTTCTGGTACCTTGCTATCATATTATGTACACACTTGTTGTAATATATTATGTGTCAAAGAATAAATTGTTAATTTAGTTGAACTGTTGATATCCATTAAAAAATATCCTCAAATAAATTGTATAGATTGTAAAAATAATTGTATGTTTAAGGATTGATATGTATCATTTATAAATACGATGGTGACTTGATGTTTACAGCTGGAGCCTCCCCAGCCACCGCCTCCTAAGGAGATAAAGCTCCCTCATGCTCTGGAGAAGATTCTCGCCTTTAAGGATGTGAGGGCTCAAGAGGTTGGGCTTACCCCAGAGGAGGTCGAGATCATGCATCAGCCTGAGGGTAAGCCTTTCATGATCCCAACTGTTTTATACTCATATAAGGAGACATAATTAAATCAATCCAAGACAAATAAATGGGTAAGGAGTCAATATTTTCATATTTGTTTTTTAAAACAGTGGTTTTGGCTTGTCAGTTAAAAAGTTTTATTTTACTCTTTGGTGATGAGTTAGTGTAAACTAATGCATTGATTACACTTATTCTGTTATTAGATTCTCTCTACAGTTATAAAACATATTAAAATGCATTGGCAGGCAGTGTAATCTATGTTGGAATAGTTTTCATTTCTTTACTTTCGAGCATCAGACTAGTTATAGTGTAAATATGGTTTTAGGATTGTGTGCCATAGCTGGATTTTAATGCTAATGCAATACAGTATGTAAATTGTCAAAAACAAGTCAATAGGTTAATTAATGTGTTCTGAACTTAACTCTGACAGGTCATGAGATCAGAGCATGATGATACTAAGTGATGGGAGTTGAACATGACAAATGATGTAATATGAACAATACTTGGACAGGTTATGTTGTCAAACAATGATTGTTTTGAGAGGTTGTGATGTTTGTGATCTACCTCGTTTCTTATGTTACTATCACAATAACGTGTGTTGCTGTTTTACAGAGAGGGAGGAGGTGGATGAGATGGAGGGTGAAGAAGATGAGGATGTTGGGTATGGTACTTATGATATGGATGAAGAAGCTGATAAGACAGAGGAAGTTCCTGTAGAAAAAGAGGTAGGTAGCTGTGATTTCTATATTTTGCTACAAATTTGCAGAATTAATAGATGCTGGCAATTTTCAGCATTTAGAAGTGGATGAATTGTTTCAGATTAGAAAGGTTTACATTGAAATTTATTAACAACGACAAAATTGAAAATGTGTTGCTATATTTTCTCAGTTTGAAGGTTATTTTGCAATATAACTAGGCAGTCAACCCCAAATTGTGGAATTACTTTCAAATTAAGTTTATTTGTTATAAATTATTAATATTAAAAATCTGAAAATGCCAATTAACATTATCAACAAACTATGTTTCGTGAGCATGCTAGGCTTTACCATTATATATCACATTACTGTTAGGTTTATGTTCAACATGGCAGTTGCAGGGAATAAAGCTATGCCTATATTTTGAGCATTGTTCCTTTTAAACCCAATTTTTATGTAAAAATCTTAATGTCATTTTCATTTTCTCCAGTCCAAAAATAAAAGAAGAAGAAAGAAGAAAAAGAAAGCAAAGAAGAATCGTCTGCAGCAGCAGCCTGTGTCAGAAAATACACGGAAAGATGACTCCGAGGAAGATGTACAGATTGAGTATGCTTCTATACTAGCTCTCGGGACATTTATCATCAGAGATGTTTTCCTTAATATTTTGTTAAAATTAATTTGAGAATTATTTGCTTATGACCTCAGCATAGACTGTTAGTCTGGGTGTTACCTTCTTGCAAGCCTTGACAAAGACCTTGTATGCCTGGATTTACTGTGGGGGAGAATTCACGTAAACAAACTGGTTGTTTCTGATAAAAGAAAAGGTCTGATAAAAATTGGAAATGCTTTGTTATTAATGTGAAAAATGGTGTAAACGAAAACGTATTGACCGTGGACCGGTAAAAATAACATATGAAACAAATGATCCCATATAAATCTCGTTGCCACTTTGCCAAACTAGATACATTTTCCCGCTTTCTTTTCAGGTACATACAGGAGCAATTAGATCTTGAACCTTCAGATCCAAGCTACTTCACATTTGCAAAGATATTTGAGGCATTTAAGGTAAGGGTATAAAAGTATGCAGTTCTTATAGATGTATCAATTTCATAATCTGTAGCTCATGGGATTATTCAGCTCCACTCGTGCTACATGTACTTTGTCACTTTTTATAGTTGAATATCATCTGATATATAGCATAATCAAAGTACAGTTATTTATTATGCTGTACCTTGATGAGAAAATAGAATGAAAAGATAATTTTGCTGTATACTGTATATTATACTACCTAAACCAGACTCGGTCCAATCTGGATCTTTTACTAAGCTGGCCAAGCAATTTGGTTCAGACAATGACAATGTATAACAAAGAAGACTCTACCATTCGGAACTCTCAGCAAATCGACCAAATTACGTTATCCAAGGGGAGTCAATAGAATGCATTGTAATTAAAAAGATACCTATATCATATACATATTGTAATGTTCTGTGATAGGATATTATAAGAAGGTAAACTTTTAACTGTGATGTGACAAAATTTCAGAATATAATGTTACACTGTATGTGCTGAGATCAGAATTGTAGGAAATATAATCATATAGTCCTCATGGAAGATTAAATCTAGAAAGTAAATGTGTCAGTCATGTTGAATTTCACTTGTTGGTAATCCAATCGACACCTTATACAGAGTTGTCTGATGTTAATGTTTGATCATTTTTCTCTAGATTTCTGAGAATGAGAGACAAAAGGAAAAGAAGGAAGAAAAGGTTGAAGAAAAGAAAAGGGAAGAAATTCCTGAGCCAAGGGGCATTTTTGATGAAGATGACAGTGATGAAGATGAGGTTTGTTTTAATAACTATATTGATCAAGGAAAACATTTTAGGATGTTTCAAATGAGTACTATGTTAAAAAGAAACAATCAGTAACTATTTTCATGGGATCTTTGAATTTGGTACATTTCCGGATATGTCTCCCCATGAAATGAAGCCTATTGTATTAGTCACAGTTCTTCTGGTTCTAATAATACCTTGTTTGCTCCGCAATCAGTGAAATGTTACCTTTATGAACTGTTTTACCCGCATCACCCACAGAAGTAGCAGAGTGTACTATAAACACTTCACTGTGAACTTCATCTCAATGTTGAAGTTCAAATAAGTATTGCCAGGTAAATTATTGTAAAGATTTTCTGGGCCATGATTTTGTGTCACCTGACCAGTAAAGGCAAGACATATGGATCACTCCATCGGCATCTGCAGGAAGGTTTCTGTGCAATGACTTGAAGGAATGCTTTGATTTTCATGAAAAATCATACTTCTGCAGTATCAATTACCTGCTCAAGTTGGATTTTGAGACATATTGGGAATACAATATGGTCAAAAAATCGAGGAAGCTTTAATAGGTTGATGTTTTAGAGCAAGTTTTTTTTGTGCAATGTTAGGTAACCGTACTCAATGGACTGTTGATTATTATGAGGTTGAGGCATATATAATGAGTGTAAGCAATCCAGTTTGATGGTCTTTTCGTTTCATTTTTAAATAAACTGTAAGCATTTTTGGCCTCTATTCATGTATTTTCAGCAAATTATCACCACAAATACAACAGACAAGTATAATTTTGATGTATTTAAACTGCAAATGACCATCTTGGATTTTAAAGTGGTTTCCTTGCCACAACTCTTATAAGGTGCTTTTATTTTGATGAATCTTTTTACACCAGATGGTTGGGTGTCTCTCTTTTAATTTGACCATGGTCCACCATCTATTCTTAAACAATATTTGTTTTCACTATTTCTCAAAAAGATCTGGACAAATTATTCTCATATGTGGTTCCCTTTGGTGTTTAGTTGTGCATTATTCAATATTTAGACAGAACAAGATAGCCATCTTGTAGTTTGATGGTTAAAGTTTGTTATCACTGATTCTCCAGACAGATCAAACTTAAATAGAAGTTAGGAATATCTTGCAAAGGTGAGTGCTAAGATCCATTTGGGACCTCTTGTTGATTGTGTAAATATGCCATGTAAAGTATTTTGTGCCAGGTTTTATCTGCACAGATATAAGTAAATTTTCTGTACATTAGTGTGGAAAGGTAAAATATACATTTTTTTTTTCATGATTGTCTGTCTTCATTTTAACAGGATAAGAAATTAGATGACGATACACCCAAGATGTCAAAGAAGAAGCTTAAGAAGATGACTCGGCTAAGTGTTGCACAGCTGAAGCAATTGGTGAGTCGCCCCGATGTTGTGGAAATGCATGACGTTACGGCCCAGGACCCACGTCTGTTGGTACAACTCAAGGCAACACGTAACACAGTGCCCGTCCCCCGGCACTGGTGCTTTAAACGAAAGTATCTTCAGGGCAAAAGAGGAATAGAGAAACCTCCTTTTGAGCTGCCAGAGTACATCAAGGCTACAGGCATCATGGAAATGAGAGAAGCACTTGCTGAAAAGGTGGGTTAACTATAAAAGACACTACATTATATCTGTCATTTTCTTGTTATCCAAATATCAAATGTGCTAGAAGCTGAAGCTTTTGGTATGTCTTACAAAAATGGTCTCTTTCTCCTTCTTTACCAGACACATTTGTTTGTAATCAGGCCCTGTAATCATCAATACATACAGGAGTGTACAGTTCTAGAGAGTTCTAGCCTGCATGTTGAGTTTTAAAAGTTCTATTAGCCAGACATATTTTCATAATAAATATTGAAAATGTTTAGTAGCCCTGACATAACATCTACTAGCCACAGCCATCAGGTTAGTGGATTCCTTCAAACTTGTATGGAGCTTTTATGGTAGGGAAATTGAGTTAAGTTTGAGGCTGAGAGAAAGTATTAATGATAGTATGGTTAGGAAGATGATCTGTCGGAAATAAAACCTTTGATAGAATCAAATGTCTTTTGAGTAACATGTTGATGTGTTAATCCTCATTAACTGTTAATCATAGATTCATTGTTAATCACAGATTCGTTGTTAATCATAGATTCATTGTTAATCACAGATTCGTTGTTAATCATAGATTCGTTGTTAATCACAGATTCGTTGTTAATCATAGATTCATTGTTAATCACAGATTCATTGTTAATCATAGATTCATTGTTAATCACAGATTCGTTGTTAATCATAGATTCATTGTTAATCACAGATTCGTTGTTAATCATAGATTCATTGTTAGTCACAGATTCATTGTTAATCACAGATTCATTGTTAATCATAGATTCATTGTTAATCACAGATTCATTGTTAACCATAGATTCATTGTTAATCACAGACTCATTGTTAATCATAGATTCATTGTTAATCACAGATTCATTGTTAATCACAGATTCATTGTTAATCATAGATTCGTTGTTAATCACAGATTCGTTTTGACATGAAAAGTGTAAAATGCTATATTTCAGGAAGACCAGAAAACATTGAAAGCAAAAATGCGAGAAAAAGTACGACCAAAAATGGGGAAAATAGATATTGATTATCAAAAACTTCATGACGCTTTCTTCAGATGGCAGACCAAACCTAAAATGACAATACATGGTGATTTATATTATGAGGTAGGTAACACTGTATTCCTGGTGATAGTTTTGTGTGGAAACTTTCAAAGCAATGCTATTTTATGGCATACCTTCTCAATATGAAGCTGTGTAATTGAAACTCTCCACACGTAACAGTTCTTAAGTTATCATTGAAATAATGTTTATATTTAATGTGTGTAGGTATGTGCAATGAATGAAAACAGCAAAATTGGAGTCGGTGATATATTTTTATGTAGAACCCTTTCTTAAATTTGGGGGAAATGTGTAAATTTTGTCTCCCAAAAGTAAGTTAGTATTTAAATTCTGAGACTAGTAGAGTAATGCAACAATTTCTGTAAATTAAAGATTGAATTTAAAGGTTTTATGGTTTTTTGTTCTTAATAATGTGACACTTTGGTAATTTATTCACTTATGAAAATATCGTTTCTTCAATTAAGCTTTTTTTCTATACATTATTGATGTGTACATGTGATAGTCCGTTTCTCACAGCTTCAGAGAAGTGAAGTTGTGGTTTTAGACCATCACAGAGAAATCCATGTCCTCCACCGGTGAGGTCATGGAGTGCATTGCTTCACCCAGGAAAACTGGGGACAGGGTTGTCCTCCATAGCTTTACTGGTTTTGTGGATGCATACAATATCTTTAACTTGTAAGAACAATTAGAACAAATTAATTGACAACACTAGATATAGATGTAAAGAAAGTCTTAGATGTTATAATGATGTTTTGACTGAATATTATAGCTGCAAATCTAGCTTGTTTTCTTTCAGTTTGTGTAACTGAGAATATCGTTATGATTTGATTTCCTTCATGAAGTAATTGTTTTGTTATTTCAACAGGGAAAAGAATTTGAAACACGATTAAAAGAAAAGAAACCTGGAAATTTATCGGATGAATTAAGAACGGCTCTAGGCATGCCAGTGGGACCAGTAAGTATTATTGATGCTGTGATGCCGTGTAGTCTTCTCAAACTGGCAGTTGACTTTGAACTGTACAGGTTTGAAATCAAATGATTTTGTTGATGTATAATTCAACCTCCCATTTATTTACAGTACACGTTGAAATAAAGTGATTGTTTTTCTGATCAAAGTAATTACTCATATGATGGCGTTGACATGATGCCAATTATTCACTGGGCTATTTCAGATATGAATAAATTAGGGTCAGTGACACATTTTAATTAATAATTAATTGATGGTTGAGTCTTAACTTAACCACTTCTCAAAAAAGAAAGAAAAGATTTGTTATAGGAGGACAAAGGAAGACAAATTATGGTCGTTTTCAGATTAGCCCTATATTTATAGTTCATTTACCTAAGATAGAATGGACCTGATTTGTTACCTGGCCAAATCATGTTGTACCTTAGATTTTTTGCCTTTATGTTATATATGCTTTTTGTTTAATGCCCCCAATGTCTTTATCAATATGGAATTGGACTTTTTTTCCAGAATGCAGATAAATTTCCTCCCCCATGGTTGATTGCTATGCAGCGATATGGTCCACCACCCTCTTACCCAAATTTAAAAATTCCTGGACTTAATGCTCCGATTCCTGAGGTAAGTCTCCTTGGAAATCTCCAATATATCTGGAAAACGTGTTGAAGGCATTGTCTTTGTTACTTATACATGAACGTTCCTGTATATATCTGAGATTATTTTTAAAAAGTTTGGTTTGTAGTGACTAGTTCTGACTAGATTTACAAAATCAAGACAACATGTAATGTATTTTTAAGGAATGGGCACAGATGATTCCATATTTGATTACCTTCTGTGGACATATTGAAAATGTTTGTAATTGATTTCTTGTTTTGTGTTTTCAGTCGACCTCCTTCGGTTACCATGCAGGAGGCTGGGGAAAGCCACCAGTTGATGAGAACGGCAAACCTTTATATGGAGATGTTTTTGGCACACAAAGTGGTGACTTCCAGGCAAGTGAATTGATTTTAAAAATGTTCTTTTTTAGTTCGTCAGTTGCCTTATAAAAGTAACTGTCTACATTTACGTTATCTTTTGGGGACAGAAAAAGGAGGAGCGCAGTATAGATAAGTGGGTTTCTTGAAAAATATTTTGCTATGACTATTTATCACCTTCACCTCTATGTTAGTGATGAATTGTCCAGATAGTATGGTCTCCAAATATGTATGTAAATTATCTTTAGAATAATTAGATCTGATTCCACTATTTACTGTTCTCCTATAAATCAGGTCGTGGTGGAAGAAGAGGAAATAGACAAGTCCCACTGGGGCGAGCTTGAGGAGGAATCATCAGAGGAAGAGGACTCTGATGAGGATGACGAAGATGAAGAAGATATGACAGGTCTAGTCACCCCAGGGGGCGAAGGGTAAGTACTACTGCATCAAAAGGAATCTCTGTACCAATTTTGTTTGACTGATGTATGTTCTCTTTAGACTTCAGTATGATGTTGGTTTGACTCGACATTCAGTGAGATATTATTGCTGGACTGATGCTCGATATAAATATCTCCCTCACTATGGAGTTGGTTTTTCTTGGCTATCCTGACAGGCTTCAGTAGTTGTAGAGGACTCAATTCTCCTTAATAACCGAAGATAATTTGATAATATTTTTTACACAAGCCAAGTATGAAAATAACTCTTGACAAATGCATCCACATTTCAAGGTTCCAAATGCTAGGTCATCATTACTATTTATAGGACTTGGTTTACAAATTCAGTGTCATCACTCAGCAACTTTCATTTTTATACGCTCATCAAATTTGACGGGAGTATTATGGTATGGCGTTGGCCGGCCGGCCAGCATAAACTTTTGTGTGTCCGTCAATCTCCTACATTTTTCGACCGATCTCTTTGAAACTTGGTATACATTATAATCTTGATATGAAATTGTGTCTCCCTTAACAGAATTTTGATTCAACAATTTTTCCAAAAGTAACTGCCCTTTGTTCATTTCAGTATTTGATTTTTTGTCCGGAGATCTCCTACATTTTTCGACGGATTTCTTTGAAACTTACTATGCTAAATAATCATGATATGTTGTTGTGTTTCCTTGAAAAGAATTTTGATTCAACAATTTTTGCAAAAGTTATTGCCCTTTGTTTATTTCAGTATTTGAGTTTTGTCCGTCAATCTCCTCCTACATTTTTCAACAGATCTCTTTGAAACGTGGTATACATAATAATCATGATATGAAGTTGTGTCTCCCTTAAAAGAATTTTCATTTAATGATTTTTGCAAAAGTTTTTGCCCTTTGTTCATTTCAGAATTTGATTTTTTTTGTCCTGAGATTTTCTCCTACATTTTTTATAGCATGTCAGCTAACCACCCTTAGAATGATGCAGATCTTATTTCAAATGTAAGAAAGTATATAACACTTTATGGCATTTGACGGGCTTATATTGTTCCGCCTCACGGTACTCTTTTTTTTGTTAATGATGTTATCTGTATTTTGTTATGCAGATTGGTAACCCCAAGTGGAATCACATCAGTACCGATGGGTGTGGAAACACCAGATATGATAGAATTGAGGAAGAAGAGGATAGAGGATGCCATGGACCAAGGGGGAGAAACTCCTGCTCTCTACACAATCTTACCAGAGAAAAAGTCGGCTGTGGGTGGGGCAATGATGGGCTCATCACATATATACGACTTGGCAGCGGTAGGTCTAATGCCTTCACATCTGTTCACATCATTTGCACGAGTTATTTAAATTCTACCATAATAAAGCAGACAAAGTTTAACTTGATGTTTAATAAGATTACTGTTATGTAATGTGAAATAATGAAACAGAGGAATGAATGTTTTGTTACCATTATTTTTTTTTTTAACATTGATCTGAATTTCATTTTTGGTTGAAGTCCCTGTACCTTTTCATTGAGTGTTTATATTACTATCTGTTAAACAGGGTGTGCCTGGGAGTAAGAAGACAGACAAGGTGGCCCCAGAGGGGATAGAGGTGGCCCTGAATCCAGAGGAATTGGATCTTGACAGTGCAGCTATGCAGGCCAAGTATGACCAGACAATGAGGGAACAACAATCACAGCTAGAGAAAGAGGATCTCAGCGACATGGTCGCCGAACATGCAGCCAAGCAGAAGGTCAGTTTACACACCAGGGCCGTTTTCGTTTAAAACTGTTGAACCGGTCGGACACAGTTTTCCGTTTATTAAATAAGGTCAGATCTAGTAATCTGATGCTGCTTTCAGGCAAGCCTCGACGAAGCCTTGCAAGGCCTGCATAAACATTTGCAGGTCTGCCAGGATTTATATGCGAAATTGTTTCTTTTAAAAACGGACTAACTGGTTGTTCCGCATAAACGAACAGGCCCCTGGTCAAGACATAGAATAAATGTGTTAAAAGTCAAATATGTTTGAAAGCGTTCTTTTTCATTTTGCGTTTAAATTTACTTTAGTATCACACATATTCCAAAATATTTATTGATTTGTTGTGGACAAGTTTTGTTTGTTTTATGAATATCTATGAAGTGTGAACATGATCAACAGTCTAATAAATTCACATTATTTTATCTTTTTTCAGAAACGAAAGAAACAACAACAGGATAGTGGAAAAGCTGCCAAAAAATACAAAGAGTTCAAGTTTTAATGTCATGTTGTCTGTCTGTTGTTGTGGTAACCTTTGATGCTATATGTGTTCATGGACAAAAATAATGGAATTGAAAATCATGTAATGGTGTGAAAGGTGTGGAAATGATGGGAATTTGTGGTAATTGTCGGTACTGGACATTCTTCTGAGAACTAAGTTACATGTATCAAAACATTCTACTTACAGTTTTAGAAGTGCTGACTATCTCGTGTGAACCCTTCATTTCTACAGATTGAGAGGTATTTGGAAGGTTATGCAAGGAATAAAATTTTAACACTGTCATTTGGTCTTGTTTATATTTTCAAATACATTTCATCATAATCTTGTGTATAAACTGTATGTAAAAATCTCAAAGATAATCAAACATTATTTATATCACACACATTTTCTGATTCACTCACATGTTGAAAAAAATAAAATACCATCCCTTTAAAGGTATACCGATATAGTTATCATTCAAGACACTTTCTAAAGATAGATATGGGCATACCCTTAGTTTATGAAATGTTGAAGTGCCTTTGCCAAAATACACTAGTAGTCTTTAAAAGAAAATGTTGATAGATGGCAAACACCAGAATTTAAGCTCACTGGATCCTTTTAGATCAGATGAGCTAAAATTCTTTAAAAGTGAACCAAGGTTGTGACCAAGGGAAGAGTGTGGCACCCAATAGTGGGGGGTGGATACCAAAAATTGGGTAAAGGAGTATGAACCTAACTTGGCATGGAGCATCCCTGAATGAAGGGGATTCAGTGTTGTGTAAGTAAATGTCATTGAAGGCTGAGGGGCAGGGCCAAATACGGACAAAACATTTTCGATTTCCTCTCCTGGCGAATCTTAGGCAAACAGGAACCAAGATTGGTGCAATGATCATCTCCCCTGGGTCAGAAGACTGCCAGATTGACAAGGTTGATCTATAGCACTATTGTAACTAGGGATTGTAACAAAGTCTGGAATGGAACACCCACGGGCAACGACAATCTAAAGTTCACACAAGGACGTGGGGATGTTGGTGTGGCATATAGGGGTTTATAATTAATAGACAATCCTGACATACTGGTAAACGGATCTAGACCTACATGATTATTAGTCATGTAATAATCCTGAAACAAAGAAATCCAATGCTATGAAAATTAACGGTGTGTGAAAAGGGAACTGCAGCTTTAAACCTACTTAAGTATGGTGATTGGTGCGGGATTTCTGCCTAATCTGGCATGGAGCATCACTTTGGCCAAGGGAATATGAAGACGTGGTCTTTGGGGAAGAGGTCCATAAGAGGAAACAGTTAATTAAAAAGCTTACTTTTAAAGTTCAAATGAATGAATTTGAAGTTCATTTACCGGGGAAAAGAAATTTGTCATTTGATTTTTAGCTCGCCTGCCCGAAGGGCAAGTGAGCTTATGCTATGCCATGGCGCAGCGTCCGTCCGTCAACTTTTCCTTTAAAACGCTACTTGTCCTGAAAGGCCCAGTAGATTTTGACCAAATTTGGTCAGAAGCATCTTTGGGGGAAGGGGAACAAATATTGTACAAATGGTGGGTGTGGCCCCCCTGAGGGCTGAGGAGCTGGGCCCAATAGGGGAAATATAGCAAATTCTTTAAAATTCTTCTCCTTCTGTAGGAATGAAAGGATTTGTTCCATATTTTACGTCTGAAGCATTCTTGGGTGAAGGGGAACCAATTTTGTATAAATAGTGGGTCTGGCCCCCATAGGGGCCTGAGGGGCGAGGCCAAATAGGAGAAACAAAGCAGTTATTATTTAAAATCCTTCTTTTTCTGTGCGAATGAAAAGATTTGGTCCATATTTGGTTTGGGTCATCCTTGGTTAAAGGGGAACCAATTTTGTTTAAACAGTGGAGGTGGCCCCCCTGGGGGCTGAGGGGCAGGGCCCAATAGGGGAAATATAGCAAATTCTTTGAAATCCTTTTTCTTCTATAGGAATGAAAGGATTTGTTCCATATTTGGACGAAGCATCCTTGGGTGAATGGGAACCAATTTTGTATAAACCGTGGGCCTTAGGGGCTGGGCCCAATAGGGGAAACATAGCAAATTATTCTTTAAAATCCTTCTTATTCTGTAGGAATGAAAGGATTTGGTCCATATTTGGTAAGAAGCAACCTTGGGTGAGGAGGAACCAATTTTGTATAAACGGTGTGTCTAACCCCCCTGGAAGCAGAGAGACAGGGCCCAATAGGGGAATTAGAGGTAAAACCTTTTAAATCCTTCTTCTACCATAGGGATTAAGGGATTTTATCCTAATTTAGTCTGGAACATCCTTGGGCCAAGGTGACTCAATTTTGTATAAACAGTGGGTATGACCCCCTAGGGGCATAGGGGTGGGGCTCTGTTTGAAGTTTGTTCTCGTTTTATCTCAAGTACTGGATGGATCTTTCTGAAATTTCATACGTACTTACAGCACCTACCATTGAGTGCTATATCTTTACTTCATACCATTTATTAGGTCACCTGAGCTTTGCTCAAGTGACCTATTCTAATCGCTTTCTGTCTGTCGTCGTCCGTCATCCGTCTTGCGTAAACTTTTTACATTTTCAACTTCTTCTCAAGAACCAGTGAATGGATTTTTTTCAAACTTGGTCAGAATCATCCTTGGTAGATGAGGCTACAAAATTGTAAAATTGGGACTCCTACCCCAACCCCTGGGGCCAGGGCGTGGGGCCCCAAAGGGAAAATTAACCAATATTTCAAAAATCTTCTTCTTCACACTCAGAGGTACTACAGTCATTTTCTCTGCATAGAAAGAAAGATCATCAGGGCTTTACTTAAATTGTAAATTTCAGGACCCCCCAGCTATTCGTTCTCCCTTTGGGAGGGGGTAAAGTTTACTATAGTTTATATAGGGAAATAACACTTTTGGGTATATTTTGACAACTTTCTGTAGGAAATTATTTTTACTTGGTGAGAATTATCCTTGGAGGAAGATGGTTTCAAATTGTAAAATTGAGATTCCTACCCCGACCCCTGGGGCCAGGGCGGGGCCCCAAAGGGAAAATTAATCAATATTTCAAAAATCTTCTTCTCCAGACTCAGAGGTACTACAGTGATTTTCTCTACGTGGAAAGAAAGATCATCAGGGGCTTTACTTAAATTGTAAATTTCAGGACCCCCGAGCTATCCGTTCTCCCTTGGGGAGGGGGTAAAGTTTACTATAGTTTATATAGGGAAATAACACTTTTGGGTATATATTTTATCCATTTTCAGCAGAAAATTACTCAAACTTAGTCAGAATCATCTTTGGTGAATGAGAGTATTACTTTGTAAAATTGGGATTTCTGCCCTATCCCCAGGGGCTAGGGCGGGGTACCAAAGGGAACATTTACCAATATTTTCAAATTCTTATCCTTTGATGACATGACAAGTATTGTATTTCACTTAGTTTACATGCTGATTTCCACATCACATCTAAACAATAAAATAAATCTACCAGTACCTATGATATAACTCAGGTGACCACTAAGGCCCTTGGGCCTCTTGTTTTAAACACATTCAGGTGAGCGATACAGGCCCTCTGGGCCTCTTGTTTAATAATGATATATATATATATAACATATATATGTTCCGTGTTTGTAGGTGTCCCTCTGTCTTTAAATGTCCCGTTTCCTCCAATTGAATTTATATATATAAACAAAACAAATCTCCTTAACAAACATAGATAACATTGGCTACAATGCAGAGTAATGTAATATCTTTGAGAATATGTATAAATTGCTGTGAAACAAGAAAAATAGCGACTTTTTATTGTATTTTCCGTCTCTGCTTTACTATAGCAAAAACGTTTTCATCACAAACCAGTGTATCAACAACAAAATATTAATACATTTGTATGTCAGTTATATAGATATTCTTATTCTGTATATTCGTTGCATAATTTAAAATGATGCTCTCTTTTTAAAATCAGTAGACACATAGTTTATAATCTTCATAAAACAGAACTGTGTATGCCATCTATCAACAGTGCCTAGCAAGTTGTACCGTCGCATGCCTCGCAGACTGGTAATTGCAATGAAATAATAAGTATTGTTTAATTTTGTCAAACAGCAACACAGGGTGAAAAAAGGAAAGTTTTAGCGATTAAAATCCTAATGGTAACAGTGGAGACATTTTGCCGACATCACCATGTGTGTATTCTGATGTGTAGAAATGGTTGCACTAGAGACGTATACAGACGTATATATAATATATACGTCTCTGGTTGCACTGTGTAAATTGCTATATATGTATTGCGTCACATATTAGAGATGGCGCATGCTAATTCGACCCTGAAGCTTTATTTGGACATTTTTACGCAGATATAAAATCAGCTAATGTCCTTAATACCAAATTTAGTATCGAATTAACAGCCTCTTTCTTTATAAATCATATGAATATAGTGACGACAAGAACAATGGACATCGATATAGCCGTACTGTTACTTGTTAATCGATAGGCAGTAAAATGTTTACAGTATTAAAGTAGAAAACATTCTGATATAATGACCTCTAGCTGCGAAAACGACTAGCTTTCTGACGACAAGAGAAAGGAGGCCGGGTATTACTATTAGTACTTAATGACGTCCTGCTGTCTGACTGTCAGAAAAAAATCAGTTTCATTACCCAAGGACATATTGTGTTCCGTGTTTGAAACGGCAACATAAAAAGTCTGTTCGTGTTCGAATGTGTCCCTCTGTCTTTAAATGTCCCGTTTTCTCCAATTGAGCGAAGTATTGATTTCTATTCTTCATTTGCAGCACAATCACAAATAACACAGGTCGAACTAAATATCCAAGTTAATTCGGGGTATCTCGCGTACTTAGCAACAATACAGGTAGATCAAATTTGAAGCCTCGATCTACACTCAACAGTACAGTTCACATCCTAAACTGGATATGTGTAACTTCAAATCTACAGACATCATTTACAATAGTTACAACTTCCAAGTCATTGTTAAAATGAGTGTTGAAGCACAGACTTATACTAGCAATCTAATTTATATACCGTAGTCTCATTACGCGGTTGATGTGTGCCTATTCAAAGAGGTGCTGCTTTACTTAAAGGTAGATGGTCAAACTACTTGTTAAACTGTCAATAATACTTGAAAAAAGTAGATACTTTTTTTCTCAATATATGTATACATGCAAACACAGTATGTTATGTAATGTACATGCACTGCTAAAGTATTGCAATCTGGAATGGTGTACACTCCCTAAAATGTCTGACCCGCCCCTGATTCCAGTATTGGAGTGGAATTAAGGGTATGGATTTAATAATGAATATTCTTATCGGTAGCGAAATGGATGAATTCCCTTATTTCAAGAGGTCTGTGGATCACCATAGCGGAGATGCTGTTGGTATTGGTATATCATGTATCTGTGTAGTTAACTGGCAACTCAGAAAAAAAGCCGGAAATGGAACTCTTCTTCCTTAGAGATTTAACAAAGCTAGACCTTTGGTATTCTTCCTTAAGGACCACCACTAATAATAATAATAATAATATTTATTCAGATAAAAGGCAAATAATACACGTATATCACATTTTGCAGATTGGACATAAATATATATATTATCACAGAATGAGATGTTATTTATAAGTTATTTATGCCATAAAACTAGTAATCAGTTAGGTGTTAAAACTGGATTGGATTAGATTAATTTAGGCCTTTACCTGGGATGACCCATAAAGCCACATTGTGGCTTAATTCCAATGGGGTCCCTTAAATCTAAATCAATCAATTCAATTCATAAAATAGTTACATAATTACTTAGTATATATTGTTAATTTGGTAAGACTCTAAGACACTTCTGTTACATGTGCCATAGACTATAATCAATGAAATAATGCTGTTAATTGAATGATATAAAATATGAAGAGATTAATATATTGGAATTTTAACAATCAAAGATATATAGTATTAACTTAAAATGTTACTTGTATCGCTGGTGGTTGGGCCAATCCCAACTGACCAAACTCTCAGACATTAATGTACATTAACATAATTGATTGACATGTACTGGTATATAACTTATCCTAATAAAAATCTGATACAAACGATACATTTAAACCAATTGAATTTTATAAAAATCTGTTTCAGTGTTTGCTTTTTGCAGAAGAGGGCTGTTGGTGGTTGGGCCAGTCCCTACCGACCAAACTCTCTTACTGCATAAAGTAATAGTAATTGACATGATGAGTCAATGACACAACATAAAAAAATGGAATGTAAAAAATGTATAATGATTTTGAATAATTCGATTAACAAATTTTAACAAGTTTATTTAAATACCTGCTACTTGGAGAAGAGGGCTGGTGATTGGGCCAATCCCTACCGACCAAACTCTCAGACTGCATATAAAGTAACAATATAGTATACTTAGAAATTTGAATTAAGAAGTAATAGAGTATATCACTGAAGTCTCACTATTACCCTTTCACAAAATCACCCTTTTGTTCCAATCTAAACTTAAAAAACATTTGACAAGAATTTTGAATCTGTGTAAGTTGCCTTAATATTATCTGGTAATGCATTCCAGTCCGTTATTGCATTGTAAGAGAAAGATGTGGACTCTACCCACTTATATTATGTACAATAAAAGTTATATATTGGCATGATCTTGTACACATCTTGTTGTTCCTTTCAAAACCTTCCTTCATATAAGCTGGATTTTTTTTTTTTAAATCAGCTATGTATATATATATATAATGACGCAAATAGTACTCGATACCTTATGGTGCTATCTCCAAAGTAATTAATTGATTCCTAATTAAAGCTGACTATCAAGCTAACTAAATAGCTAGTCATAACAAATAAGTTACATTCGGAACACACTAAAAGTGAAACCTTTGTAACATTTGACCTAGATTTCACTGCTGTATCTCTGTGGACGCATTTGAGTTGGGCTTTCATTGTATGTGTGCAAAGATAGGCTAGCCTTAGGTAGTTCACGTCGATATGGAAAAGGACGCCGCTTATATAGCGTTTGGCCTGCTCGCAGCGTCAGCAGCCAAGTTTCTGCTGTCGGCATGGATACGGAACAAAAGACTCGAGAGATTTGTGAGGATCGGGATGGTATCCGATCTGGTCTATTACCCTGTTAAGTCCTGCCAGGGGATACCACTAGAGTCGGGCACTCTTCTTCCGCTTGGACTCTACAAAGACGGAATGGCGGACAGGTACGGGTACATCATGTGTACAACACGTGTCACAACGTTTCACTTTCACTTTCGTATTCATGCGGTTGCAGTTTAGGTCCAAACAACGTCAACTGTAACACATTCTCAGGTCCATGTACTGGATCTGATGCAGTGTTTTTAAGTGATCTTGATTATACGTTGGAACATGGATCTATAGCAAAAATAAAATGGAAAAAAACTCACAAGTGCACTTACCATGGTAATAGATGCTTATATAAATATTAAATGCATTAATTGTAGTATTTTCCCCTCATATGTGATGGTTGTCCCCAAAGCAGGCTTCACAAGAGTTTAATACGGATACAGGCGGTTTACTGGTAATAGGGATACTTTAGACAGGGACACAAGATACTTGACAGGGTTTCAAGAGACTTGACAGGGACACATGAGACTTGTTAGGGACACTGAGGACTTAACAGGGAAACTGTAGAAATTCACAGGGATTCAAGAAACTTGACAGGGATACAGTAGAAATTCACAGGGATTCAAGAAACATGACAGGGACACAGGAGGACTTAACAGAGACAGAAAACTTGACGGGGACACAGAAGGACTTAGCAGAGATAGAAAAAACTTGACAGGGACACAGGAGGACTTAACAGAGACAGAAAACTTGACAGGGATATGAAAGATATTATATACAATGTTAGAATGTTAATAATCCTGTCCACCAAAGAACTACACATGTCAGTCCCCAGCAGAATTATTTTGGAAAGAGTTTCCTACAATTAGGATGTGTATCTAGAAAGACAATAGAATCTGCAAAAGCACTCTAAATAGTTGTCTTTCAAAAAATTCAAATGTGCTGTTGACATTTTCAGAAACTGGATGTTTACTCGCCCTGATGGTTCATTCCTTAGCCAACGCCAGTGTCCCAAGATGGCGCTGATCAAAGTCAGTAGTCATGACGACATGATCCATCTTGATGCCCCAGGGATGCCAACTTTACAGTTACCAAAATGTCCAAAGGTCGATCCAAGACGATTTATTGCCTGCAGGTACAGAGTTCACTGTTAAAAGAAGGAGTTTAAAAGAAAATTAAATGGAATCTGTCAGAGAAATTACCTTGAAATGATAAGAGTGCCTGAATTGATGTCCGAAGGACCAAGGTGAGCTTATGCCATACCGTGAAGTCCGTCGTCCGTACGTCGTCCGTACGTCAACAATTTCTTTAAACGACCTCTTCTTCTTAACCACTGATTGGAATTCAACTAAATTTGACTGGAAGCATCCTTAGGTGGTGGGGATTCAAAATTGTGCAAATGGTTGGGCTGAGGGGCGGGGCCAAAAGGGGTCAATTTGGCTATATTGCTTTAAGCGACTTCTCCTCTGGAACTAAGATGTGGATATCAACCATATTTGACTGGAAGCATCCCTAGGTAGTGGAGATTCAAAATTGTACAAATGGTGGGGCTGACCCCCTAGGGGGCTGAGAGGCGGGGCCGAAAAGGGGCAATTTGGCTTTATTGCTTTAAACGACTTCTTTAGAACTATATATGCACTGGATATCAATCATATTTGATGAAAAGCATTTATGGGAGGTATGGATTCAAAATTGTACAAATGGTGTGGCTGACCCCCCAGGGGGCTGAGGGGCGGGGCCAAAAAGGGTTATTTGGCTATACTGCTTTAAGCTACTTCTTCTCTGGAACTAAGTGATGGATAACAACCATATTTGACTGGAAGCATCCCTAGGTATTAGAGATTCAAAATTGTACAAATGGAGGGGCTGACCCCACAGGGGACTGAGGGGCGGGGCCAAAAGGGGACAATTTGGCTTTATTGTTATAAACGACTTCTTCTGTAGAACTATGCCATGGATATCGATCATATTTGGTGGGAAGCATTCATGGGAGACAGGAATTCAAAATTGTACAAATGGTGTGGCTGTCCCCCAAGGGGGCTCCGGGGCGGGGCC